TGGCATCTTGCTTTAAACCCAAATATTTCCGGAAATTAAATTCCTTCAAATTCATTACAAGTTATTCAACTTTAAACATCGGCGTTCACCCTCAAACTAACAACAATTATTAAGCTAATAATTCTCCATTACATCAAAATGGAATTTTAATTAGAAGGAAATGTAAAGGTGTACCTGCGTACTTTCCCCATTTAGCAGCAAACCACTAAAGTCGACACGAAAAAAAAAATTCATCACCTTTTTTGATTGTAACGACGCAATTTTTTTGGACCTACATGTAAGGATGTTTCTAAAGATGATTCATGCTTGGATGTAGCGGTCTTTTTTGGACGTGTTAAATAAATGCAGGTACATCAATATCGTTCATGATATTCCCTACGAAATTTGTCTTTATACCGGAGTCAAAAGCAAGTTAAAATATTACCTTTGAGACGGAAATTAACGTTATAAGATTTTTGGAGGCGAGAAAGGGTGACATTCGCTAACCACTAGAGCCAGACAATTAACCCTAGCCAAATGAAATTTTGCACAAACATAGAACACCACTTGGCTAATCATCTCGGTGTGTGACAGTTTAGTAGCATAGTGGGCAAGTCTGTAACAGCATTAGTTTAAATCGTTCCTGAATACCTAACATTTATTGATAAGTGATACCCTTGTTTGATAATAATGATTTTCTGAGGTTAATTTTTTCACTCCAACTTATTAGACAACTAAAAAATTAACCAATACCACAATAAACAATGTTGATAACGTTATTACTTGAAATCAAATGAATATTAATAAACGATTTGCATAAAAATGAAAAAAAATAACATCGAGCTGTTTCAGAGCTTTTTCTGATAACATCTGCTTGGAAAAAGTATGTGTTTTCATGCATTAGGCCACACTATATAAAGTTTGAAAATAACATAGCACCAAAAAAAAGGTTCTGAAAAAAATGTGTCAGGTATTTGCTTATCCAAGCAGGTGAAGTAAATCGAAATCACAAAATAAACGGTAGTAGGTATCACACGTGATCAGCACATTTACTTGAGTAAGATAAGATTTACGGCTCATTGAATATGATTCTTTTCAAAAATAAATATCCATTCATTGCGTCATAATAACATAGCTTCGACCACTTTTCTCATTCGTTTTTAATGTCGTTCTCTTGTAAATCCATAGTTTTATTCTAAACAAAATAATGTTATTGTAGGTATATTCAAACGCACACACGGTTTGCAGACACAGGTATATACATAAGTGTTATTTGCTTTAAATGTTGCAAAATATTTAATGATATATTCAGAGCTTTTTAACCAGATATTCTATAAACAGCATTGTTATTCAAAAATCAATGCAACGACTTGGTGAATCACCGTGTCAGTCTTTGTAAAAATGCGCTTAAAGGACTTTTACCATTGTAGTCTTTGTAATCGCATTATCAAAAGAGTAACGTGCTTTACAAACAATATCGTTCTTGTATTAAAAATATAAACGCTTCTGTTAAAAATAATCTGTTTGTTGAAAATAAATTTATGTTTTATATATTGTTGTACACTGTGTTATATAAAATATTGTTTTTTATAATTCTTGGTGAAGTTACAAAATTTTGGCTGATAAACGCTTGATTAACAATTAAAAGTTTTCGTTGAAACGCAGTATCGGACGAATACTAAAATATAATGCATACGTAAAAACATGAATAAAACTTTTGTGAATAAAAGCTTAAAACAACATAATCAGATCTATTTATAACAACATTGTTTAAGCAGCTTTGCGTTAATTTCACCGTCTGGGTTGATTTATAGATTTACATAGAACTGACTAACAAAACACTCATGGTCAGGTTAAGTCTCCCAATTTCTAGCGGCACTACTTATACAAACTCAAATTTCCTAAGGGATCTCGAAATGGTCCATGGTTGTTACATAATGCAGTAATCGGTTACAGTTAACAAGAAGACCTACATTATTGTGAGGCAGAAGAGCAAACGATAATTTCGCTTAATAACGCTAATTAATTGTGAACTCTTTAAAAAGCATGTTTTATAGTATTAAGGGTCAATAATTTCACAATAGAGCGTCTAATATATATAAATTTATTTTGATGTCATATGTTAAAACGTGAAATATGCAGTAGAAGATAAAAATTTCTTTACATATATGTATTTGCGACGTATTACAAGATACTCAACTGATTTTAGAAACTGTTCCGTCGAGACTTTCTGTAATGTGATGATTGGTGCCCAGTAAATAAGTAAAAGGATCTCGTCAAGATACTATTTAGTTGAATTTATATTTTTAAGGAAGAGATCTGTGAATACCTGTTTCTTATAATTGTCAAATATCTCTCTTTTACTTTTTTATAATTTATCTTCCCTCTGATGTGCATTCTGGCGATCAATAAACAAGGTCGTCGACCTGGCCAATCCGGGAGACTTACTACTGTAATAACTGCACTATTTCTTAACCTGTATAAGCTTTGAGAGCGGAGTTACAAAAGCACGGTGCTCTACATAGAGATTGTCATGTGATCCAGAATTAAATCCATTAATATCTAATGTACCTATATCAGCAACTAGCTCAAAACAAACTTCATTCATATTAATATCGATTTATAAATAAGCTTTTTATTAAGTGTATTAATAGGCTACTAATGTTACCCTTCAAAAATTCATTAAAATGTCATTATCGTTCATTACTCTGCGTAGCTTTAAAAACGAACGAAGATCTCGTTTTTAGCAAGCAAATCTAATAAAAACTTTGTGTATGTATTTTTATACTGTGCGATTTACCACAGTATCTATAAGTAATCACAATAAGACATTGGACCGTTGGAAGTCGGCGTCAATGTGATTGCAGTGGCGTACGTCAATGACCTACTTATAAAAGCTTGCCTGTCTCCGTTACTGATATCGATCCTCCCATGCTAACTGTAATAGTGACTACCCTTTCATTTTTATATTTTATATGTGACCTCCAACTTCACATAAGTGTTTGTGTAAATTTGTACTGAAACGAAAATCTGACACGAAATGCATTTTACATCAAAAATACGCGCACGCTCAACCTATTTACACAACTGTTAAATTTTATCTAAGCAAATTTTAACGAAATGTCCCCTTCGTTGAATTTTTTCGTATGCCTCATCTCCCTTGTGATTTACAGGAATGTGGATAATTTTAATTGAAGTGATGTTTTCATCTACCGTGAAACTACGACTACCTTTCTAAAACCACTCTTTCTGGGAGGCAACTGAAAAGCGTGCACGTTCGTGACGACACATTCTTATCTTATTTCCACATTTATTTTCAACAATGGCTGGTCTAAATCAAGAATTTATAAATTTTTCGACAAGATATTACAAAAAAAAATTAAAATTCCCGCCAAATAGTGGGCAGAAACGACATTATATATACATATAAAACTGTTCACAAAAAAAAAAAAAAACAATTTTATCATCCTTGTATTTATAACAGTTTAACAATCTTCCTGAATGGGATGTTGAAGACGGTTTACAAGATTAATGAATGATTCATAAATGTACAGTTACCATAAATAACAACAAATAGAGGAAATTAGAAACAATTGGTCAAAGGAGTACAGTGCTTCCCTTGCCATTTAAAATGTGGCCAGTACCCATTTCATGTCAAATATTTAGTTGAACCTTTCATATACACAACTAAAATTTTGTACCTTTATTACATCCATTGTAGTACATTACAAGGCACTGATACGCAACATCTACATAAATTGCAGTGTCACTAGTAATCATGTTAGGTTTATTATTATTAAAAGCTATAAAATAATAATAGTAGGACAGTAGGAGTATTTAACTGAATTTTAAGTTTAATTAAGCAAAAAGAAAAAAACACCCCCTTCTAACAGGAAATTGAATGCCGGTCTCCCACGTAACAGGCGGAGACACGGACCACTGAGCCACCCAAAAACAGCCCTCGGCGTGTTTCTATAATGGGTATTACAGGTGTCACCACTTCTTATATTTGAATTACCTTATCACTTATAGACGAGAATAAAAATATGGATGCATTATTCATTCACATTCACATATAAAGGAGAATCACACAACTTAAATTTCAAGTGAGATTTGTTTAGCAAAATTTTAAAATGATGTCAATACATGTCTGGAAAAACCGTACAGATAGGTACTTTCGGATTAGCTATTTACCACACTCACGACAACCTTAAAGCATGTGCAAAATTTCAAAGCAATCGATGTCAAAGTTTTTAACATTCGTTGTAACTTTTTAAATGTACCTACAGTTTCGATTTTTTTAACTTAAAGATAGGGATGGTTTAAAGAACAGGTATGGAACTGTACTGTTTTTGGGTTAACAGACACATTTTAGTTGGCATTTTACTATGCGCATGATAATTCTAAAAGCATCGGAAATTTCAGTCCAGTCGAAGATCAGGTGCCTAATAAAATCTCCAATAACCAGACGATAGAGAGACGGAAGGAGGAAACCTATTGTTTTGTATTCTAGAAGCTATGAAATATGGACTGAACATGAAATTAGCCATTCGTCAAATGAACCCTATTACAATACTTCCCGAGCTTACGTTTGGGAAGTAAAAATAATAACAGTAATAGAACATGCTACAAGGAAAATAAGTTTCCATATAAGAACGCAATAAAACAAATTATGTGAGCTTAGTGCAAAATAACGTAAAATAAAACAGGAAAGAAATTATTTAATTCGCCTCAATCACCGGATGACAATATAATGTAGATTCGTATATTTAAACGCTGTTTTTATAAGAAAACGAGAATGATTAGTAGTAAAAACTCAAATTATATTCTCCTTAAAAAAAAGTTCAAAACCGCGTAGTTGGAACATGGCTAACATGTTTTCTTGTGTGAAACGTCGAGGAAACGTGACAGTAACTATTCACGCGATGGACCCTATTACAGTACAGTAAAAATACGTAAAACCTATTTTTTCGTGAAAGCTAATGATATTTATAGTGACACATATATTTTTTTAATTTCAGAAACAAGCCATGTTAGTACGCCAGCTAGAAGAAGAACTGCGGATGCGAATGCGAGGTCCTAGCATAGAAATGCAACAACAAATGGAAGCCTTGTATCAAGAGAACGAACACTTAACTAGGGAAATAGCTATATTGAGAGATACAATAAAGGTATTGGCATTTTTACCAATTATGTTTGCAAGAAATGCAATTGCGTTGTGTATGAAATAGGAACTGGAACTTCGCATCGAGACACAAAAGCAAACTCTACAAGCCCGCGACGAGAGCATCAAGAAACTTCTGGAGATGCTCCAAAATAAGGGCATGGGTGAGTGGTTTTCGTATGTGTTCTATCGCTGCTTGTCCCTGCACAATCTCTTCCCTTCATTTCTTCTGATGGCGGCGCTCGGGGAAGTCTTACATAGTTACAGTGCAAAACACTTAGCATTGTCACACGTAGCCGGAGAGGTGTCTGCCTTGAAAGTGGTGGAGGTACTTGGTCTAATCCCTTGGGTGTTGGCTCTGTTCCAGGTAAAGAGGAGGAGAGGCAAATGTTCCAGCAAATGCAAGCCATGGCCCAAAAGCAGGTGCTTATCATTCATTGTAATTTAGTAAGACATCTTGTCGAGTGAGTGTGTGTGATTGTATTTAGTCGTAATTCATCTGGCACATAATCAAGATATAACCTCAGGCTCATTAAGCATGTTCGATGTTTCCATATGGCTGTTATCATACCACACCTAACCAAAATGCGGACCTCTCACTACCCAATAAGTTTTGTCAAAATTGAAGGTTGTGGTGCATGTCCCATCTCCAATCGTCAATAAAAGCTTTTTTCTTTAAGAAAGCAGGTGGTGGTGGTCTTGATCATGTGTCGGTAACGGTGGGTGGTAAAGCGAGCGAGCGAGCGGTCGGCAGCACAGGCTTGTGACCGCTGCTTCCCTGTGCAGGAGCTGCAAGCCGCCAATGAGACGTTACGCGTGCTGCAATCGCAGCTGGAGCTGGTGCCCTCGCCCTCCAGCAGCACGGTCAGGGTGCTCCTGGATACGAAAGACGCTAGAATAGCGACTCTGGAGCGCGAGGTCAGCCTGCTGGAAAGCGAGGTGGAACGGCTGGGCGGGGGCACCCAACCTCCCCTACCGTCGAGTACCGCGGACATTCCACAGGCTCTTCCATTTAAGCGACAAGTAAGTTTTCTGTTAAACGATGTGCAGATCGGGAAGGATGGCGCCGTTATTGGTAGACTGTAACTAGCTGTAAAGACTCTCCGGCCGCTTGGCGCTGAGTTCAGTTTTACCACCTCACTGTCTCTCGGCACGCATGTGTCCCGCATGGATAGTGCATGCCTCCGCTCATGTGTGCAGTTGGACGAGTTCCGGGTGGAGATCCAGCGACGCGACCAGGAGATCCTCGCCATGGGCGCCAAAATGAAGACACTGGAGGAACAACACCAAGACTATCAACGTCACATAGCTGTCCTCAAAGAATCACTATGCGCCAAAGAAGAACACTACAACATGCTTCAAACCGATGTCGAGGAACTCCGTCAGCGGCTAGAAGAAAAAAACCGACACATCGAAAAGAAAACCCAACAGCAGCAGCAAGAACGCGCTCGGGCCGCCGCCGAAATTGCAGAATTACGAGAACATATGGACATCAAAGATCGCAAAATAAACGTCCTTCAAAGAAAGGTAAAACAACGCACCTTCAAAGAATCTCGTCTACTCGTTGAGCTCATTTTTTTTTATCTTTATTATTATTCACATATATTTAGTTTACTTTCGTTCACAATTTACATCGTGAGTATACACGGTTCCTTTTCATTGGTGATGCACATTTCTACCTATGCTTACTTCAGCTGCCATAAAATTCTCATTGCTCCCTCATAACCACAACACAGCATCTCTTCTTGTGTCATCGATACCTACAACGTGCTAGAATCTTTACAAAAAATTACTAAAAAGCAAATTCTACGGTATTCTGTTCTGGGCATGCGACACGTGACCGGCTGTTGTTAGAACAATACCAGATGTCTCTAGAATCCCTAGGCGGCATTGTTTTAAATGGTTAGAACGGATAAATTACAAGGTGACCTAGCTGGTATGCATGCTGTGAAATTCAAGCTTTATTTATTTACGTATTATTCACTAATGTTGTAAACAACGTCCAACACCGCTACATTGAGGGAGAGTGTCCAGCGTAATTAACTGGATAAAAAGTGATTGTTCTTTGTAGATTGGGAAGGACAGTCATGGATGGAATACCTAACTAGGCCGTGGGCACATTTTACTCTGACTACCAAAGTTTAGATTACCGTCAGAAAGGGCCTGATGTTAATTTTGTTATTTCCAGGCCCTTTCTGTTGACAAAACAGCGTTTTATGTCAGCTTTGGTCTTTTCACACCAAGCAATCCATGTTTTTCAAAAATGTGGACTGTGTAAGTGCGGTACAAAAGTCCACCAATTTCAAACCCTGCCCCATAACCTGATTGCAAACGGATCAAATTTTAACTTTCGAACAATCGGTGTATGCAGCACACGTGCACACTGAAAAGGAATCAGTTATAGACATATTATCCGTTTAGAAAAATCCTCACTAAAAAGTTAGCACTTAGGCTAACAAAGATGTCAATACAATAGGGACACAACAATCGAATTTAAAAAATAAAACATCATTTTTTCCTCGAGTGCGAAACAAGCAGAAATTCAATTGCTCGAAAACGAACAGTGAATGAACTTGTACATTGAACCAATAAATAGAAAGCTGTTTGTTACATCATCAGACATCAGATTTTGAGTATAATAAGAAAATTCGTTATGACATTCATCAAGTACGGCTTTGTTTTAATGTCTTCATATTTGCATGAAAATAAAGATTGGCATTTTTAATTTAAACCTGAATGAATAGTGAGTGCGTGACGATGACTTTCAAGGGATTCCAAAAACAGTTTTTAATGAAGGAAAACAATTCACGATATTCCAAGCTGAATATAACCGTAGTTTTTGAAAACTACGATTTTAAGGTGGAAAATAATATTGCATAGTGATTTAGTTTGAAAACACAGGCCTCTCAGTTTAATTGGTACTAAATTAGTTGCAAGCACTGTTAAAACAAACTGCCTTTCATCAAACTATATATAACAATGGAACTGTTTGAGAGCTTACCACAACATTTCTAAGAGAAAATATGTTGCAAGTAAAATTGTTGACTCTGAGAGATTGTAATAGGAGTACTATTTTCTTTTCAGTTTTTTAATTGTTCATTGATATATCTAACTCTTAGAAAATTATTTCACTACTATATTTTATGCCAAGAAATATTTATAATAAATAAATTGAGTGGATTTTCTGAACGGATAATGGCAGTTTTTGCTCTACTTACTTTAACAATACCATAAGGTTAAATGTTTTGGGACAAGATATCCATTTATCATAGCTCTATTCTTAACGTATGGAGTGCAAAAATTGCGTAATATTTATGTATTTTTTTTTATTAAAGTATTTTCATCATTTATTTTCAAGTGGTATGAAAAACACTTGTGTGTTTCTGTTTATTTTTGTAGTTATTTTTTCAATGGTGTTGGTGTAGTGTACATGAAACAGCATTTTGTTTATAAAGTATCGTTAAACAAATGCAGGTTGAGAATTTAGAAGATCTACTCAAAGAAAAAGATAACCAAGTCGACATGGCAAGAGCTAGATTATCGGCTATGCAGGCACATCATTGTTCTTCTGAAGGTGCATTGTCCACTTTGGAAGAAGCAATCGGTGATAAAGAAAAACAAATGAATCAGTTGCGCGAACAAAGAGATCGAGCAGAGCAAGAAAAGCAAGAAGAGCGCGAACTGCACGAACGCGAAATAGCTGAATACAAAATGAAAATACATGCACTGAATAGTGAAGTAGAGAAGCTCACTGCTCGCTTGGAACGAGCTCAAAACGACCGAGATCGCCTTGAATCAAAACTGGAGAGTTCCCAGTCGGAATTGGGTAAATCCAAAGCAGAACTGGACAAGGCCACGATAGAAGTGGGTCGCAGTGGCGCCGACTGGGAGCAAGCCAGACAAAGGCTCGCCAGACTGGAGCTGGAAAATGAACGACTCCGACAGGATAACGAACGCCTGAGGCAAGACGTAGAGCGTACTCAGACAACCTTCGGGCGAAACACCTTCAGCAGCACCCACGAACTGGACAGGGCTCAAGAACGCGTTGACAAAACTTCTTCCGACCTAAGAAGGTGTCAAGCTGAATTAAGGGTGACGCAAGCCGACGCTGAAAGGGCTCGCACCGAAGCAACCGCGCTACAGGAAAAATTAGAAAAGTCGCAGGGGGAAGTGTACCGCCTCAAGGCACGCCTAGAGAATTCACATCAAGAACAAGACAGCCTTCGAGAAGAGCTAGAGAGGGCCCAATCTACTACCGCCAGATTGCACGCGGACAAGGACAAAGCGTATGCAGAGCTGGAGAAAGCTCGGGAAGAATTGGAGCGTCTGCAGGCGACCTTGGGAAAGGCCAATTTACAGCAAGACAAGTTACAGAACGCTCTGGACAAAGCACAGACAGAAGTGGACAAGTTGCAAGAAAAACTAGACAAGTCAGTTGGGGAGACCAGAAGAGTAAGTCACTTTTCGCAAACAAACACATTTCTAATAGTATTGATTTACAGATACAACTGGAGAAAGAAAAATTAGGATACGACTTAGAGAACATCCAGTCGCAATTGGACAAGGCACTAGGCCAATCTGCTCGTATTCAGAAAGAAAGGGAAACCGCACAGTTAGAAGCAGATCGTCTTAGAGAAAAATATGATAAATGTCAGGTATTGCTTTAGATGTTCAAACAACGGAAATTTATTGTAGACTAGAAGTGAAACTCACGGTAAACAAATTTATCACCTTCACGTAATTAATTTTATCACTATTACCAATGCAGAAATCATCTCACATAAAAGTCCACAGATATCTCAAGAACGAATTGATACATTAAAATTCTGTAAACGTTATGGTTTTGTCTCAAGACTGAACCCTAATTTTATGGCCACGAGATACGATACGTCTTTAGCGTAAGCATCTATCAGCATACCTGTCACTACAAATGCTAACAGAGTTTTTTTACATATGAAAAATTGAACCGTGTTATTACAAAGGTTAAAAGTTTCACATTTGCTGTAATTTTATATTTTTATTACCAAAGTGTTGGTAGACTTCATTTGATAGAAGTGTACACCCGAAAGATAAATCTCTTTACCTTGACATTTTTATAACTTTATTGACAAAGTAAACCAAAACAACGTGCATGTTTTCAGCGTAATTAAAGTTTTTTAATTCTTTAAAAACTGTACCGCTTCATAAATTGTGAGTTGATGTCGCGGCACGAAAGCTACATCTACCCAATTAAGCTTATCCTCCTCAGAAAAAAGCAAATTGAAATTCAATATCGCAATCCCTCTGAAGTATGTGCTTAGAGACTTGTATGTGTTAGTACATATTTATTAAAAAAAAACCTGTACAATTGAAGTACGATTTCAACAATTATTAACAAAAAAATGACAGACCAGAAATATTAATAGCTTAATAATAATTTTAGCTGGCTGTCACACGTCTGCAAAAAGAAAAGGATACGTATCAAGATGAATGCGACAAGCTTAAAGAAAAAGTCGAAATCCAATTAAACCAAATTAGTAAAGCGCAAAGAGAAAAAGCTGACATTGAACACGAACTAGATGTTATTAAAGAAAGATGGGAAAAAGGACACATGCAACAACAAAAACTACAAATAGAACGAGACGATGCCTACACGGAAATAGACATTTTGAAAGAAAAATTAGAAAAGGCAATATATGCCTCCCAAAAAGCAATAGATGACAGAGAAAATATGCATAAAGAATTTGAGAAAGTTCTAGAAAAATACGATAGGTAAGTGGAAATTACGCGGGATATTAATAGCTAGGGGTTTCTTTTCAGATCCCAAAGTGAACTTTATAGACTCCAAAACAAATTAGATACAGTCCAAGCTGATAAAGATCGATTCGAATTAGAAGTAGAAAAACAACAATTACTAGCAACGAAAGCGAGGGAAGAGCAGCGAAAGGTTCAAGAAGAACTACAAAGAACACAAGAAATGTACGATCGAGCGTCTATTCAACTTAGCCGAACGAAAGAATTGGAAGAAAAATCGAAAGAAGAATTAGAACGTTTAGGTTTAGAGATGGAAATGATCCGCGAGAGATATGAAAAAGCGCAAATGGAAATTAGGAGACTTCAAAGCGATAAGGACAAATTCCAATCAGATAACGAAAGACTTCAATACGAAGTTGAACGCGCACACGCACAAAGCGGAAAAGCACAAGCGAGTTATGAAAAGAGCCAAGAAGAGATCGCAAGGTTGCAAGTTGAAGTCGAAAAAGCTCACGACAAACACGACAAACTACAAAATGAATTCCGTAAAATCGTTGCCGAATATGACGCTTTGCGAGAGAGTAACGCAGGTCCGACAAGTAGATACTCCAAATATGACAGAGACGATAGAACAAGAGAGGAAAATGACAGATTGCGTGCAGAGGTTGAAAGGTTGAGAGAGCGATTAGACAAAACTTTGACTGATTTAGACAGATCGAGAAAAGACTTGGCTCTAGCCGAGAGTACACGAGGTAAATACAGCTACGAACAAGAAAAGGAAAGAAGTGCGGAATTAGATAGACTTAGAGAGGAAATGCAAAGAACTCTAAGCAGTAATGGACAGCTCGAAACTAAATTGCACGAAGTTACGATGCAACTCGACTTGGCACGACAAGAAGTTGCTAAAGTTTCCGGCGGACAAGACAAACAGCGACATGAATTAGAACGTGCTGTTATTGAATGTGAAAAACTAAGGGATAGGCACGACAAACTTAAGGCACAAATTGAGAAATACGAAAAAGAAAACGAAAAATTACGCCTCGAATTGGCTCAAGCAGAACGTCGTCAGACACTTGCAGCAGATAAAGTCCGCAACGACGAGCGACTAGAAATTGAACGCCTTAAAGAGAAATTAGAAAAAGCAATTCAAGCTAGAGATGCCACTGAATTAGAGGCTGGTCGATTAGCTCAAGAACTAGAAAAGTCACAGATGCACCTCGCCAAAGCTTTGGAAACTAACGAAGCAACCAAAATCGAATTTGAACGGATGGCAAACGAACTGGCACGGATGCATGAGAGGATCGAACGAGATAAATTGGATTGGAAAACAATGGAACAAGAACGTGATGTTTTACGGGCAGAATTGCAACAAGTTAGAAGTGGCCTTGATACACAAAGAAGAACAATGGACCACAGGACACAAGAAACGATAGTTAAACTTCAGCAAGAACTGGCTCAAGCATCTAGAGAAAGAGAAAAAATGGCTTCGATGTTAGATAAACAAGGCCGACAAGGTGACTCAATCGAAAAACAGATAATTAAATATGAAGCAGACATAAAACAACTAACGATGGAAAGAGACCAACTAGTCATACAATTAGAAAAGTCACAAGATATGTTGATGAACTTCCAACAAGAACTTAATCAAAGTGAGGCTGAGCTAGAAAAGCACAAAGCAGAAGTTGCTCGATTAAAGGCAGAACAAAAGAAAATGTCCCAAGACATGGAACGTGGAACGAAAGATATTCTCGAAAACAGAGACAAAGAAATCTCAAAACTCCAACAACAGCTGGTGGCTGTACAAAAAGAAAGAGATACTCACAAACAACGAGCAGAAAAGGCTGAAAAAAGATTACAAGAGTCCGGCGCACGAGGCGATTCTGAGCTTGAGCAGTGGCGAAAGGTGGTCGAACAAGAAACTAACCGAGCTGATCAAGCTGAGAAAGCTGCTCAGGACCTACAGAAACGTATTCAAGTTATGGAAAAACAACTTCAACAGCAATTACAACAAATGGCCCAATATCAAAAAGAAAAAGGTATTCAACTTCCGTCACATGACGATAAAGAGATGGCTAGGTTAAGAAAAGATCTGGATAAAGCAATGGCTGAAATTAAAAACAGCACTACCGAGAAGGAACGTTTGCAATCACAACTCGAAATGCTTGTGCAGGAATTAGAACGAAATCAGGTTGGTAAAAATTATAAACATATTCAAAATCATAGTAACATTAACATAAAAATCGATGTATTTATGTTTTGTAATAATTATTTTATTTACTTTTTACAGCAGTAAGTAGTTGTTTTATTTTAACTTGTCGTTCCAGCTAACGTACCTTCTCCTTTAATGTTATTTAAATATTATTTTTAAACAATATACTTTGGAGTGTACTTTACGCAATATATGTATTTATAGCTTGAATTACACGAAACTACTAAAAAACTGCAGAGTGTTGGTGTACAAAAAGCACCTGAAGATGTATCCGCACAAAAACGACAACTTGATGAAGAGAGGAAACGCTTTGAAGAATATAGGAAACAAGTAGAAGACCAAAGAAAAGCCGTAGATAGCAAACAAAGGCAAATTGAAGAAAAAGAAAGAGCATTGACTGAACTAGACAAAGAATTAAAGAAGAGGAAAGAACAAATGGACCAATTAGAAATTTCTTTACAAAAAGTAAGTTTGTTTGTCTGAAATGTGGATTTGATATATCGTGAATTTTCAGGCTGGTGGAAGTGCGGCCGCTGCTGGAGAATTAAACAAAAAATTGACAGAAGCCGAAAAGAATTTAGAAAAAGCTCAGGAAGAAGCAAAGAGATCCGCTGCAGAAATGGAACGACTGTTGCAGCTAGTTCAAATGAGTCAAGAAGAACAAAATACAAAAGAAAAACAAATAATGGACTTACAACAGTAAGTTTGTTCTTGAATTAAATAAACCGTATATAATTTGTGAAATTTTCATTAATAAGGGCACTGAAGACTGCACAGGCGAAACTAAAAAGCCAACAACAAGTGAATGCACAATTAGAAGAACAAAGAAAAAAAGAGGAGGTGAGGTGTACATTACGATACGAAAAATATGAACTAATATTTTTTTCTTTTTTCTTGCTTCTAATTGGATATGTATGTATCATTGTTTGTCATTTCTTCTTAGGCGGGACCTGCTGGCTTCCTCAAAAGCTTTTTCTAGTCTTTTCAAATTTATTCATATACTACAATGTTGCCTCATTCCTATTACCACTTATTAACTCACCTGATTTGAGCAGTTTTAATGCTTTGTCCCTTTTGTACAGTGTTAATGTGTTTTTGTTCTTTTCGTACAAAATTAGGTAAATAAAGACGAGGGTCTTGTAATTTTCGATTTGCAAGAAAAAAGTGCTGAAACGGATATCAAAGAAGAACTATCTTCGAAACAAGAATACATAATTGAGCTGGAAAATACGTTGGATTCGTACGAGCAAGCAATGGAAGAATATAAAAACGAGATAAAAATACTAGAAACAAAATTAGAAAACAAAGAATCTGTAATTAACGATCTTCACAGGAGTTGCATCAAAGCAGATGACGCTAGACGACTTCAAAAGGAAATTGACCAAAAATCAAATATTATATTGCAACTCAAGCAACAGTTGAAAGAATTACCTGAAAAATCATATCCAGACAATGAAGATTTCGAAGAACTCGTAAGAGTAACCGAAACCAAAGATATGAGAATTAGCGAATTAGAAGACGCACTCAGGGAAAGTATGACGATTTCTACCAGGAGAGAAGCAGTTTTACACCAGGAGGAGTCTAAAAGAAAGCAAATTTTACAAAAGGTATGTTTAAAACGAAGTTGAAAAGAGCACCAGGTATTTTCTAAGATTTTGTTTCAGGTAACAAAACTAGAACAGAGACTGTTGTCATTACAAGCTGCTCAAGCAATGCGTTGTCATTCCTGTCGTCCGTATGTCTGTCGGATGACAACACTTGAATCAAAACTCTCACAGCTTATTGCCGAACGAAAACAGCATTTGCAAGAACTTGCCCAAATGAAGTACTTAATTTTAAGGAGTTATTATGACTGTAGTAAAATAATACGTTACAGGAGAGAAGCACTGGAATCTGCAATTAGTGAAAAAGATGCCCATTTAGCTTTACTGGAGATGACAGGTATACGAAGTGCAAGACAAGCTGATGAAGCTGATCGTCTTCGAATGGATAAGCGAAGATTGGTTGAACGACTTAAAAAAGAGGTAAAACTTTGTATAAATTTTAGTGTGAGGATATTGTTTTATTTTATTTCAGACTGAGTTGAGTGTGTCATTAAATGAGACAGACGAAGACGAAAGATCATTTTATTGCTTATACGAAGAAGAAGACGAAGATGAAGACGAAAAAGAAGCTCAAGAAGATTCCCTTGATACTACGTGAACTCGAACCAAATTACCAATGATTCCAATGATCTCAGCAATAAGGAGTATTTTATAGGCATCCGTTATCAGGTTGCCGTCATTATTACAGAAGCACTGCCTGTAAAATTGTATTAAGTACCACACAAACATTGTGAATGTGTTAGTTTATTATTGTTACCTGTTCGAGTTTAGATATGACAATAATTATTGGAATGGGGCAGAATTGTTTTCGGTAGTTCGGTTGTGTTAATGAAACATCAGCCGCCTTTGTCGGTACATGAGAAACTCTCAACTTAAGCGAAAGTAAATCTTTTGTGATTTTTCTTTTACTCTGCAATTTTAGACTATTGTTTAAATATGTGCTCTCTTGTAAAGCGGCTATAATTTTATATTTGAACTAATTTTATAAATTGTAAACTATACCTTAGTCGATGCGGCCGACCCGAGTCCGATTACATTTTATAAGTGCGCTGTGCGTGTATGTGTGAATTTCAGCTGCCTTTTGCGACTTCACAAAAGTATTAATGACTTAATTATATCACTAGAACTAGGTACTTGTTTCAACTAGAAGTCAAAGGTGTATATATTTGCTTCAACATTCCGACAAACGTATTACACATTCCGTTAGAGTATTCAACATGAAGCTTGCAAAAGGCGGCAATTTTAGCGCCTCCTATTTTGTAAAAAGCTGGTATGTTATACTTTGAGTACAAATGGTATATTGTATTTCTTCATGCAAATACGTATTATACATTTGTCATCAAAACGTTCGGAGTAAATAATTTCAAATGCCTTGTATATCAATTTGTACATTCATTATCATATCATAGGCCGAGCAACACTGCCATCTCGTGCCATTATCATAAATAAACAGCGTTTGAGTCCCTGTATATAGTGCGCCCAACCAGCTTCTCCACGTTGTGTCTATCCGTACGTAATTGTTAGAATTGAAAGAGTAGATAGACGAGAGACCAAGTGCGCAAACGCACATTTAATTACCTAATTAACTCTATTCATTAATTCTCTTCCGTGTCGCTTTTAGAACATCTACTGGTTGGGCGAACAAGCGGGTTAATGCGTTTTTACTTCTACCCGCATCCTTCGGGGTATATGAAGTGGTCCGCAATTCTTTCCAACTCTACTACTTTCTTGTCCATCCAATTTAAAAATCTTGAAGGAAGCTTCAAAATCTGCTAAAACGTCCTTCCGAGTACCGTAAATAGGGTTCCTATGTAAAAGCGTTACGGACCATGACACCCCAAACTTTGTTAAGCGAATTTAACTTTATTCTATAATAAAATTTCATCCTTCAGTGTTAAAATTAACCTACTATGGCAAATATTAAACTAAGCACAATAAGTATGTAATAACGGTTATGATGTATAGTTAGGGTAGTCACAAAATTATAAAAAGATATTCATTATCATCAGAGAGGTTTTGATGTAAATAATGATTTTTTTATTTCATTCGTAGAGATGTGTTTATAATTGTTTCTTTTTCGCGCATTCGATGGCGATGGCGACAGCGGCAACACCATTTTGCGTCTGGAAGCTTTTTGTTGTATTACGGTTTGCTCTTAATGCAATGTATGTCTCGTTATTAATACTAAGCACGTGGCGTGTATCATGAAGTGAATAATAACGCATATAACATAATTTAATTGCATAATATCATCTCTTCCTCATCGAAACCTCACCACTTAATGTCACCTAACATATCTCATCCAAACTTATATCAAATTGCTTTTTATATAACGATAAATTTGGAACTTGGAATAGGATGGATAAAATTGTTAGCAGTTACAATAATAAATGTTAATTGTTGAGTACATCAGACGTTGTACGAAGAAGATTTCGTCTGCAGTTGAGATTTTAACGATGTAAGCAATTCATTAGCCAGTTTCATCAACCACTTAAGTCGGAACCCTTCACATGCCATATGTGCTTCCGAAATTACCCCATGAGGGCTGTTAAATGAATGTTAATGGCTTGCTTACATTTTAAAATGTATAGAAAAACTAGTCTAAGTAGTTCATGTTACTTTCTTAAGTTGATACTGATTTATTTATGTCACGCTGTTGTAAAAACATGTTAAGAACGATGTATGAAAGTGTGAAAAGAAAGTGATACAAAAACAACTACTGTGTTGTCTGTTCGCGTCTGCACTACTGGAACGCCGCTCATTTTTAGACTGAAGAGTTCAAGGTTCATGGCATTTAAAACGAACTGCTGAACAATACTCTCTTATAAATATCAGTGGTCGGCGACAAAATAAAACTCCACACAGAGCAAAAGCTGTTAGTGAAAAAAGGATACTATTGTCTATACCCAAGATTTAACCCGAAAACTATGTTGCACTCATTTTAATAAAACAACAAACACTTCTTTCCTTTCAAATACCTACCCACCTATTTCGGTAAGAGATCAAACGAATCAATTAATATCAACTTTAAAACTGTTGTTGACTTCAAAACAAAGCTTTTTATACTTAATTTAGAGAAAAATACATGTCACTGTTATATAATAAAATACTAAGGATAAGTACATAAATAAGTAATAATTATTAGACTCTAATTCATTGAAAAAGTTAGTACTAAAGTTATTTTGAAGGACTTCCGTCGCCCCTGAAACACAGTCAGACGGGTCAAGTTTCTTACATCAATTATAAAAAGTTATTCTTAAAATGAAATATGGGAAAATGGTATAGCATGACCAACTATATTCCGTGATTATTGCTTTATGGGTATTTAACTTGTCCCACCCCTAATAACCACCCGCTGTAAATTCTGTTTCGGATAGTGTCAAAAATGTGCATCATCTAACAAACTTGCTTTATTCGTCAACAAGGGAAGTGAAGGCGTCAAAGTCGTAAAACCACTATATTATTTCCTTGGCACACTATTCGATAACTCGCCTAATTATCAATAAAAATATAGGATAGTTTACGAAATATCGTTGTATCCTATAAAATTTTATTGACAATAACGAGACGGACAGTAGTTCAATAGCAAAAGATATTTACAACTTAAAGCTGTCGCGTGGCGGTAATCCGCAGATGTTATAAAGCAGAATAATCCAGGTCCAAACAGTGACCATCGTTACTCACGAACGAAAATGAGCATTATTTTACGAGTACAACTACCTGCTAAATGTTCTCCGACAAATTCGGGTTGAACTAGTCTGAACTATAAATATTTCTTACCATTGTACTACTGCCCGCCTCGTTATTGTCAATAAAATTTTATAGGGTATTTCGTAAACTATATATTGTTAAATCACAAATATAGGACTCCTGCTAACGCACTCGTGGATTCATTTGCAAGCACAATTGACATTCGTGACAGTTTGAAAAATAATCGACATAACTTGGACTACTCGTGGTGTTACATATGAGAATTCAACAAGAACAATACGGAAGAGATTGTCCCCTTCACCTTCCATTTGATACTCGTTGGGATTCAATTGCCCAATCTTTAAAGTAATTTTTATTATCTAAACCAGCTATGCAACTGGCTGCAGTTACCCAAGAAATTTCAACAATAAATTGAAAGCGATATAAGGAAAAGTATTCTTGATTTTGAACAATTCTGTCCTACAGTGGAAAACATCTATAAGCTTATTAAAAGTCCTTCTAATCTAATAACAGAAATTGAGGGAGACAAACCGAATTTATCATATGCCCATACAAAAATTGAAACAATGCAACGTAACATTTTAAAAAACATGCAATTTCTGGGTGAGCAAGACCAAAGGACAATTCAAGCTGCAATAAATCGTCGTAAAATCTTTATGTTTCATCATGCAGAATTGGTTGCTCAACTTATAAATCCAAAATCAAAGGAATAATTACTTACCATCAACTGCAGCCCCTTGCGAGAAAAATTGGAGCACCTTCTCTAATGTTAAAACAAAAAACAAAGGGATAAACTCACAGTTGACAGAACGAAAAAATTGGTTTCAGTTAAATATAATTTAGCAGTACTAGATAGATGAAGTGGATAATAATTTAACGAAACCAAAAATTATTGTAAACGAAAATCATGACAGTTACAACGAGGACGAAGGTGAGGAATTTGAAGAGTTTATTATACAATATGTGTCAAATTCCGAAGAGGAAAATTCAAATCCTGAACAAAAATAAAGGGACCTGCTTTGTGTTGTTTTCTTTTTAAGAATTTATTTCTAATTTTATCTCTTGAGAAATTAAGAGGTTTCAAGACTGATGAGGAGTATCAAGAACTAAGAATTTAGTTTTTTTGTTCAGTCTAAATGGTTTATAGTTTTTTTTTAAGTATGTTTATTTTTATTATAGAACTTCAATAAAAGTGTTTATTTTTCTTATCAGACATTACTCATTACCTATCCTACCACTTAAATATTACAAATAGAACGACAATCTGTCAGTGTGTATGTAATTAAATATTTGGGTAATAATCCAGGATAGAAGGCCATGATAAAAACCCGAAGGTTATAATTCAGGATAACAAACCATGATAAGAATCAGAAGGATTTTATAAAATTTTTTATTTGTATAAATATCGGCTAATTAACTATATTAACTTTACACATTTTATACAGGATTTACTTGGTAAAATATTGAGGTGACGACAACAAATTATTAGTAGAGGACATCAGACAAAATTTAGTTGCATTTTACCAGCTACGACGATAAACGAACAGCTGGATAAAATAGTTCTAGAACTACCCATACAGAGAAAAAGAATTATTGTAATTTTAGAACGAAAAAATTAGTGAAATGGTATAACATCACTATTAACGTTTATAGAATTTAATATTCTTGTGTTTGAAGAGTCAACAATACTTTTTACCCTAAGTGTACGCGTCCCATTTTTACTATTACTCTCCTATTTATTAAATATTTCAAAACTCTCGAAAATTTAGAGTTGGTAATTTTCTTATCTTGACAATATTTTTTTATTACTAGTATATTATTCTGTTTAATTAAGGTTATTGCATTAATTAATAGTAAGTATAATAGCTTGTATAAGTGTAATAGCTTGCCACGGCTAAATATTGACGGAACTTTAGAAATTAAGTAAAATGGACATAGTACGTCCGAATGACATACAGTTCTTTAGCAAATCACTCAAGTTAACAACGAAAAATTAAAGCAAATATTTATGTAACAAGTGTAGTGCATCCCATTGTGGAGAAAAATTTCTCTTGCGTTTATAAGAAAGAGACAACCATCGTTTTTATTAAAAACTCTTGAATTACTTTACAATATAAACGAGAACGATTTTGATTTGGTGCGCTTTATATACAAAAAGTTCAAAACAAGTATTAAAATTAATTATTTAAACAACCGTGGAGTGAGAGTGACTGGATCAACTGTCTAACTCCCGAATTTGAAGAGGTGTGTATAGAAATATTTGTAAACAAAGTTAATCACTTTTATTGCTTTCACAATAGGACATAAATAACCTTACCCTAAATGTTTCACAACCCAGTGCCGCAGGTCACAAGTCTACACTTCACACAATTGTTTAGGGTATGTTTTACAGGCGTACTATTATCAGACTTAATAATTTTCTAGGAACTATATAAATACGAACCTAGAAATCAACCTTAATCGACCAGATAATCGTGTACTTTAATGAGCTGCCCAATTGGGGCTTACCAAAGACTAATGGCATTCATAAAGTGATTAACTTTGTTTCCAAATACATATTTTTAGAAACACTATAGTGCCACCTGAACCAGGACTGAAGGGAGCGGCCGAACAAAGTTCCGAAGTGTGATAATCCTAATTAGGGTTCGAGCCATTGTTATTTTTTCTGTTTGATATTTATAAGCCTATTGTATGGAAAGGACGCTTTTATGACTGATATTCGCGGCAATTCTTTATTTTCATTTAAAATATGTAGCCTGTTGTCAACGCTGAAAGAACACGCAGCTTTTTTTACTCATCGGATATTATTGGGGCCCACGACCGGTTTTACTGCATTACATTTACACGAAATACCTACTGTTAAATTTGTGGTTAGATTTTTTGTTGTTTTGTTGCAACTGATACACCTAAACATTTCAAAGTTTTCAACGAATTCAATAACTTATACGTTAAGAAATGACGTTTTGTAACAAAATATTTAATAAAGTGCATTAATCACACAAAGGAAATTGTTTTGCAAGATGATGAATTATCGGTTTTACTTGACGTAAATGTTCTCTTTTTCCAACCGTTTTAGTTCCACAAACTTTAATTTATTTTGAAGAACCAAAAAATAGCTTGGAATCACATATCAAAGAATATTATATCTAGCCGACGTGTGGTATGAAATAGGCAAGTAATCCCCCTAACACCATGAAAGAACGGATTCTCTACTTTTCATTCTTTTCATGAGCAAATTTGCAAAAGATGGTCAAAAAATATTGAATATTTCAGAAGAATATGGGTTTAGGTGTTCTATATTGGTGAATAATATGTTTTTCACTTCTGACACATATAAATGTAATATTTTACGTAAAATGGCCACACTTCCATTTGTCTCTTCAGTCACCCAGAATTAGATTTTACGATTCAGTAAAAAAATTGTTGATTTTTCAAAACTAAACTAAAAAGGATAAAACATGACTCAATGGAAATTCGGGGGTGGATGAAATTATGTTTAAAAACTGTAAAAAGAAACATAATGAGCCAACAGGAGAGTTAACAAAATAAATAAAAGCCGTAAAATGCAAGTATCATTGAGATTTTTCCTTACTGTTTCTCTTGTTTTACCTTATCAACTACCTAATCTTAATTACGTAATCGTGGTTTGTAACTATCACACTTTCCTCTATTCAGCAGTCCTATCCATTTGTATCATGTTTATTTTTTTTTCAACTTTAAATTTTTTAAAGCACCGAAAATATATCTCTTCAACTATAAATGATTTTGCAAAGTTAATTTATTTAAAACTTGTAGTTATCACAAAGGGTTTTAAATAAATAAATAAATAAATGTATTTATTATCCAACAGACAGACAGTCTAACAGGATAAATGCTTTGTAGTATTATAATTATGATTATAACATGCCTACTAAAATCGACTACAAGTATTATAAAAAGAGAAAAGAAAAAAGAAAAATACAAACAGGAAATATTCTATGATACAACATGAATAAGTACATATAATTCTAATTAACACAATATAAGTTTTTTACAATTTCGTCTAAATGTCGTTACGTTATATTGGAATATATCTAGGACAGATGCTACAACATTGTAACAGCGGCATATATTATTTAACGGTGCATAATAATGTTGGTTTGTTCTGCATGTATCTATTGAAAATGTTACATGATGTCGACTATTTAGACGCGGGACTAGAAAATGGATATCGTTGAGAAGTTTGGTGTTTACAATGATACCATGAATTAGCTTGAAAAGAAAATAAATATTACCAAACGTTCTTCTAGCCTTTAGTGTACAAAGATTAAATTCTTTTAAGAGAATATCATTAGGATATGATCTAACTGGGTACACACCATGTTTAATGTAATATAATCTCTTACAAAATTTTCTCTGTATTCGTTCGAGCGACGCAATATGAATATCATAATATGGATCCCATATCATACTACCATATTCTAATTTAGGGTTTTGTACAATGTACGGCAGCTACACCTATTCCAAAAACTTTTTTTATCATAAAATGTGCTGAAACTACGAACAAAACAATTTGACCTGAGGTATTCCAGCAAGGGTAATCAAAAGGTTTGTAGATTAGACTGGGTCATGGAAATATTTTTATGGCTTTGATTAAAATTGCATCATCGAATAATTTGGCGTGATTTACAAAAGTTTGAACGCAAGGACCACCGACTGCACGCGCCAAACATGTGCAATAGACTCCAGGGACTAGACTCCGCGCAGCGGTGATGAGGGAGGGTCATAACCTCATTTGCAGACATTCAAGGTATTAATATATCTCATCTAAAAGCTTTTGTACCCAGTACCTAAATTAACGAAAATTTCCAACTGGACAACTGCACAATCGCCTTTAATCCCCCTTCTGTCCTCTATATCTACTATTAATATATATGTCACTATTTAAAGGTACATCACAAAAGTTTGTGTGTTGTCTTCCCAAAACAGACAATCGAACAAAATGTTCTGAATTTTATTATTATAATTCTGATTTTGTCATTATTAAATAAAGACTTACGTATTCTCATATTTTTGAGAAAATGGGGTAACACGTTCTTAATTTGATCAATAAAAAATCTGTGATGACGCCAATTGCGTAAATAATACTTGTCATAGCACAAAAGAAAATTAGTCACAACGCATTACCAATGCAAGAAAAAACCAAAGTGATAACAGTTGTGAAGGCAGTACGACTCCGCAAGTACGACTGATAAATTTTTCTTGTGCACTTTTTCGAAATCACTGAGACAAGTGTTATTGTTAAACAGGTACGTGACAGATCGAAAACAGAACGTCTGGGGTTTCTTGAGGTTCCAACTTGACAAACAAAATCATAAAATTTCTTCGATTCTTTTCGGTGAAGGGATGAACAGGCGTCAATGGTAGTATAGTAGCTGTCACAATAAGCTGAACGCCTCAAGCGCTCAATAAACCCCTAACCACAGTTTATAGATGCCATAAATTTGGGCCGAATGCCGCGTACCATTCAGTTAGTACTTAAATAAGAGGTATGCTGTGCCCAAACATTGGAGAGTTATAAAAATTACAACCATCCTAATCACTTCAATGACAGCGCCCCAAGCAGCATTCGGTATAATTTGACGACCACTTTACTAGTAACGCTCGGGAAGTAAAAATATTAATAATTTGAAAAAGTTACTGCACAAATTGCAATTTCCAGCTGCACAAATACATTTTTGAACTGCACAAAATGTGTAGAAGTGCACATTAATTTAGGCCCTGTATTGTATCACCCGTTATATCTAAAGTTAGAGAGAGAACGATAACTGAAAATATAAATACAAAAAATAAATATTTATTCTACATAAAAGTTGTTTGTCTTTGTTAACATAGGGAAATATTTTCTCTCAAAATTGCAATTTTTCACAAGATTTCCATTGGTCCAAAATTCTCTGTCGCTGGCGGCCGCTGTCTAGTTTTAATAACAAATAAAGAATACTTTCACTCATAAATTACTATTAAATAAGAGTCGCTTTTCCCTATAACTCGAAGTAAAAGTAACTAATGATTCATCGAAGTTCAGCAGAAATAATACAGTTTACTATAAGTGTCTAGACGAATAAATTATATTACAATTTCTTAGAAGACATAAAAACTTACTTCCACCTCGAGTTTTAATTAATAACAGTCAAAAATCAAAGCGTGAAACAATTTATTTATTATAAAATTTAATAAATCTTTCAACTGTATAATTAAAAACATAATTCAGAAATAGGTACATGCGCAAAATTTTCCAACAGTTGACGAATATTAACAATGGATTTTAATTCTTTATATTTATACATATGAGTAAGAATTATTATTATCGTGCGTATTAACTTTATCTTTGATGAATAATATTATAATATTTTTAAATTTATTGCAAGTAACAACAGCCATAATATGAAATACGAATAAGCGTGTCGATGCATTTAAAGCCAAAAATCCCACCTCAAAGTTTGTTTTTTATTGGTGTTTACTCATTTTTAAGTAAATATTAAAACGGTGTACGGATAAAAAAAAGCAAATAAATAGAATATTTTTTGGGAGATAGAGGCCAAAATTTTAAGGTGAGAATAGTGAGATAATCCTTTTTCACTTGAAAACAAGCTCTAAATGTCCTCATTAGTCTCATTACATAATTATCTCAAAAACCCAGTACCAACCATTACAATTCAGGTTACTTAATTAATATTTACTTGTTTTATTGCGCTGTTTGTTCTACGAATTAGTAACAAACTTTTCTAAAAGAAATCTTACGAGTAAAATTTATTTTGTATTAACTAACTAGTTATTATTCACTGCAATCGGCGAAACCTGCTCATTATCATAATGACTCACGATTTGATGACGCATCATTCACGTCATTAATCTCACGCTACAACGAGAATAATAACTATTGTTTTCCCAACCCTTACCTTCCACTTCACGGACTTCCCATTTTTTCACAATATAAAAATGCGGAAAATCATCGCTTAGTATTATTAATATTCTTATCATATAAAATATTGTCGATAATGGTTTTGAAATGCGGTTACGACTGTCGAGCTTGGGAAAGTAAACCTCAACCGCCAAAACAGTAGATTTCCACTAAACTGCAATTGCAAAGGAAAAAAAATTGAAATTGTAACTAAAAAATGAGTTTAGGTTGCATTTACGTCGGGCCATATGTTTTGTTGTCACAATTCGTCAATGTTTTTTAGTCTGCATGTGATGAAGTTTGAGTTACATTTAATGCAGGACAGAGAAGAGTCAACGCAGAAGAAAGCACTTAAATACTTAATTTAAAGTAATGGGTAGGGTTCAATTGAGGTCTGAAGGTGCTGGTCGCTAGTGTTGCGGTTGATTTCACAGAAACAAAAACGAGATCTGCTTCGGTTCTTCTTATTATGAATGGCCACATTCTACCTGGATGGCTCAACACTCAGTCATCCGTGGAATGTCTGCCTCGTACCGTATTACCTGTTAGTTGCTTGCTGAATTGAGTAACACGTGGTTGGCTTCTGTTGTTGGTGCAAACAACTTTTCTAGTGTTTGGCTGAAATATTTTAGTGTAAATATGAATAATGTCTATAATCCAAAAGAAATTTACTCCATCCGAGGCGATATGTGCTACGTGAGTATGTCTCTTATCTACAGACCATATTGTTGACATGTTTAAAAATTGTATAAGTCAAATATTAAGTATTTGTATAAGAATAAATAGGTAATTTGTGACATACTAACGACCCCTTTGTAAATATTTTCAGACCTTATCATAACGTAACATTTATCATTAAAAAATTTAGCACGTAGATTTTATTTAGAGAGGAAAAAAATACTCTCCATATTTTAGGTATTAAATAACTCACTGCATTTTATAATTGGTAACAGATTAATTAGTGAAAAAAATATTTTTATATATAGATATACCCACATGCTAATTTTATAAATAATTATTGAAATGTTTTTAAACATAAATTATATTTAACTGTCCTCGACATGTATTTTTATTATCACTACTTCTAAAACAAAAAATAAGTTTAGCAATACACTGATTTTTTAAATAAATTGTGATCATAAATACAAATTGTTTTTTAACAATAAAAATTTATCGCTAATAACTTGGTAGGATTTTTTAATATAACAGATTTAATGACGCTTTAATTTGTCATCCGGAACTACCACACTATATTATATTCATTAAATGCAGTGAGTTTAAAAAATCGTAATAATGCTCATATTCCTTCATATTTGTAAATAAATATTTGATACTAATAATTTGATAACACTTTCAGAATATTTAAGGAAAACGTTTACGGAAATAGCTACTAATTAAGTTTCTTATGGTTCAGGTGATGATTACTAACATTCAGAAATTTGAATTTTAATAGCCGCATTAGTTTCTCATCCATCAACCTTGACTATAAAAGAATTTCAGGAACATGGTTAGTATTAGTCACAACACTTGAAGTATAACGTACGTTTATAAAAAAAGAAATTACTGGAAATAACTGTTGCAACTTTAATTGTTTTCAAAGTGTCAGCAATAAGTAACTAACAGGGGTAAGCCATTTCGTTAAACCTTGGAAAGTATTCAATTTTATCGAAGTAACGTTGATAACGTTAATTATTATGTACTTACTCCTACATTCGTTAAAATTAAAAAAATATCTTTTTTTCTTCATCAAGGGTATTATGCATAATAATACTGACACAGAACTTTCTGTTTACATAAGCTTTAGATTAAATTGATAACATGTTGGACTGAGGTAATGACATAATATGACATTGCAATTCAGAAAATAAGTTCAGAAGATTTTTAGATCTTCTAGATTACTATTTAAAACCATCAATTTTGTTTCATTATGAAGACAATTGTATATTGTTGCAGTTATTCGTATTCTTCTAATTAGTAAATACAACCGAATTACATATTTACAGACTCGTTTTTTATCTTTGACGTAAAACACGTTTCTATTCCCTGTTTTTTGGTTTATTGAACTGCATAGAAATCGAATCTATTACTTGAAAGAAATTCCAAAATTTGAAAATTTTTTTAAGAATTTGTAATGGTTAAAACTTATGATTGTAACCTCACATACCATATAATGAAAAAAATCATCTAGTAGGCTGTGCAATTTATTTTTAAAATAATCATGTTGGCAAAACCAATGCATTCCTTGTTCAGGTTGACAGTTACGGTCAAATAACTGTCAAATAAAGAGTCAAATAGCTGCAATGCCAGCATCATTGTTTTAAAAATGAGTAGTGGCCTGCTCGAATAGTTTTTCTCGATCATGTGGTATCTGATGAGCCTAAATTTATTTCCAGATCATATAATTTTATTGTGTTTGATAAAAAAGGAATAATTTCAATTTTTCCTTCATATTTCAAGTGTAAACCTGTGTCTAATTTAACCTATACCGTATATCACTTTATTTTATTGTGAACATTCTTAATTTGCGCATATTATATTCATATTATATACTTTGTTTAAGCTCCAATTATTTTTTAGCAAAAACCTCAACCGAGTAAAACTTTGCTGAAAGCAATGCTTCGGTCCACAGTAGAAAATTATAAATAATTAATCTTTGAATCTTAAAGCCATCGCTTCTTATTACTTATTAATAAACATACTACTAGGAAAAAACACAGTTTATGTTTGTGGTTTACGATGACCAATTAGCGTCATTGGCTGCTTAACCAACAGCATTAGATTTTCTAAAATAGTTATTATCAAACTACAAAAAATGATCTAAGGTTACTTCGACAGAACTTCCCTCGCTTCTGAAGCACAGTACAACAAATCCTGCTTCTTCGAAAAATGATAAAACGTGGGATAATAATAATCCCTATAAGCCAAAAAATATATTTAACTTTGGTAAGCCGTCCATTTATATTAGTACAAAAGGTTGTTATTCAATTTGGATTTTTTTGTGACAATCGCGATGCCAAGGGGAAAAACTTGATAAACCAAGGGTATTTATATGAAAAATTTTAGGTAGTCATTAAAGGCTTGGTGAAGATGATTAGATAAATTTTGGCTAACGTTTTACCATATTCTTAACATACATATAAAATTTAACAACAATTAGACGATAGTTTTGGAGATTATCTCTCTGATAGAAGACTTATTTTTCCGTACCCTAGAGGTCATAAAACGTCATCGGATTGGACCCTATTACAATATTTCCTTAGTTTACGTTTGAAAAGTAAAAATAACCCATGAAAATTATGGTTATAATATTAATAATAATGTTACATCTTTCTTACGAAAACTTATCTACTATGTGTAGATTCTAAATAATGGATGCAAATTTCGGAATGGTATTGGGTGAAAATACATCAAGAGAATATTTTACTGAGACCTAAATTTGTTCAGCTGTTAATTTGATTACTTGTGTCGCGTCGTTAAATATTGATTCAAAATATCAAATTAACAGTTGAACAAACTCAAGTCGGAGCAAATTATTTTTGTTTGCTTGATGTAATTTTTCAAGAGCAAAATAACTTGACAATAAGATGCATTTCTAAACATATATTTTTTTAAGTAGAGATAAACTAATTATTGCGAATTTCGCATGCTTTTCCATTGTTTGTGGTACAGTATATATATATATTTATTGTACTATATATTTATTTAATTAATTAATTTCATATTTAATTTGTTTTGAAAACTACTTGAACACCTAAGGGAAAAACCTTGAACCACAAGTATAGGGGTATGTTATTTTATAAAATCTAAATATTATTTACCATGCAAAAATTGGACGTGATATCATCAAATTGTTGATGGAAATGATTAGACAAAGTTCGGCAATAATCAGTCCGGTAATTTGAAAGATTATCTGCCTAATAAAAATCGACACAGACGACAGACAGACCGAAACGGAAGACCTATGTTTTCACACTCTAGAGGTCATGAAATATCAAGTAACATACGCCATTCACCGGGTGGACACTATTACAATACTCCTTAGCTTACGCTCAAGAAGTAAAATCTTATTGCGAAAGTTTTTTGAGACTAAAATCATAGAGTACAGTTGCGTTGCGTGACATTATACTGCAGACACGAAAAAAATTAAATGTGCGATAAATTTCTTCAGAAACCGTGTTATTTAAACTGGAATTTTGTATATGTGATACTTTAATAGGACGTTTTATATTAGTTTATTCGTACAAAAAAAAGTCATATTTAGTCGAGTTCATTGCCTTATGATCCAATTTAAAATGATGACTAAAACGCTTCATTAATTTTTTAAATAGTTCATGCACCTTGCATTACGGGGTCATCGATATTAAATATTACGAAGATATTTATAAAATTATATTAACATCCACCTCTGCATTTATTATTTTATGTTGTTAGTGTGCTTCCTTTATGTAGGTAATCCTTCTGAAATAGCCGTCTGGAGCAACCGCCACTAACTATAATTATATGCCATAAACACATGTTTGATGTTTGTTTTTGTGTGTTTATAAAATAATAATCATGTTATAATATGTTGCTATATAAAAAATATTAACATCTGTCCTGAGTTGTGTGTTGATAAAACATTTGTATTTCATGTTTGATGAGCGAGGCAGAGATTTGATTTCAGTTTCAATGATCTTAAATTATATTTGTTATGACTGTTTCAACATTACCCGAATGAGTGTGTTTCTGTTTTTCCAGCGAGTGTTCTCTTTACGCATTTTGTATTTCCTTCCGGCAGCAGACGTCGCCGTCGCCAGTAAATGGAGGATGTGGAGTAGATAATAAATTAGTAGTGTTTACGACTTCGTTTAATAACCATATAATATACAAAATGAGAGATGTTGGGCTTCTAACATATTTTCATATTTTCAAATTCCAAAAGAGGACCTCAACACATTTCGTAAGAGCCATATTCATTTCGTATTATATTTAAATATTTGTTTTTGATTCAATAATTTCGTAAGGGTTTGTCGCTTATCCTACATGCGCATAATTCATTCAGTCGTGGCAAGTTTATTAGTACTGCTACTGATTGTGTTTAATTTTCATATCCTCATACACTACATTTACACGCAGAGGGGCACTAACAAATTTTTCAGCCTCACTGTTTGCACCGACAGGAATACGAACACTGCGGTTAAAACGAGGTGCAAAAGAGCTCACAGTGGTTCCCCTCAGAAGTACTCAGAGTACTACCCTGGTAAAGATTAAATTAATTGATCCTTGAAATCTGGCGGGCTGGTTTGCCTTAAAACAAAGTGTAAATATTTATTGGTCTTTGCGCACAGAGATAGTGTTAAATTTAATTACGTGGATCATTATCATGCGATTTTTTGGTTACTCACTATTTGAGAAGGCTTTAATTAATAAACATGGAATCTGAGGAGAGTATTAATAAGGTAACACAGCATGCCATTTAGTTAGTGATTGTGATTTTAAGCGACAAGTACTTGTAAGTATTTTTTTCTTTACTGATTCTGAAGATGTTTAAAAAAACCGTAATAAAAGTTATGCATGTATATAACATTTGTTTACAACGTTGTTCGACCAATTGAGCCGATTTAAGAGGATATAGGGACTTAATTATAAAGAAAAGAGATAAAAAATATTAAATTTCTTGAAACCCTTTCACTTTTATAAAATTACAGATTGCGTTAACTTTTTACAATTTTGTTGATTTCTGCCTGTAGTTTGAAAACATAGATCTGAAACTGTTTTTGTAAAAATTGTACAATGATCAATTGATCAAACACTGTAATTTTGCAAAATTTGGGACGAATCTTTATATTCCGTTAATAGTTTGTCATTACTGTTAATTTTTTGATTTTTAATATATATAATAATTATTAACTCAATGTTCATTATGTCATTTTTGTGATAATTTGTAAAGTTTTTTTGTACGAACTTTTTTATTATTCCCTGTGCGTAAGGCTCAAAATAAATTCTGTTATTAAAGCACCATGGAGAAGTACGTGACCAAAAGAACCATTTCTGCGATAATTGATAAAAAAATCCGTTCAGACAAGCACTTTTTGAAACATCCTGAATATATTAACAAATGGGAAATTACGCGTTGCCTTCACTTCTACAATATTTCTATCTAGTAACTCGGTTTCGTCTTTCGGTGTTATTGTTCTCAGATAGCTACAATATTCCTGTTGCCTGTTCTTAATATTCTCCTTGTTGATAATTTATCTAAATCTTTACTATATTATAGATGAACATTGTTGTTGTGACAGTTTCTAATTTTTAAATGGCACATTGTTAAAAAGCATTGTAAAAAAGAACAAGCAATATCATTTTTATAATAATGTTTTCCAAGTATTAATTTAATGAACTTGAAACAACAGCAAATAAGTTTCTTTAAAAGTAATAATGCCGCTTATTATCGGGCACATTTTGTGTTCTGTGTATAGTGTACCAACGAAAATAGTGGTTTTGTGGCTTTGATTTCCTTTCTTGTAAACAAAAAGCATCTTAAACTAATACCGCTAAAGATAAACCGGTGCTGTTTAAGAGAAGCGTGCCAGTGAAATACAACAAAAAACCACTATTTATTAAGTTGGGGATGATGTCAGAAATTTGTGTCTGATAACCTACACTATTCGTTGACAAGGGTGGGGGAGAAGTCAAATTCATAACACCACTTTTCGTGTTGATGCAGTATAATAATACATAGACTTCCAACTTTGGAATCACATGATATTCGGGACGCACCTATAAGTTGTATACTGGGTTTTATCAAAGGCACGGGACTCTGGGAAAGTCTGACACAATGGGGTACCATACATTGAGCAACCCAAAATAACTCAGCATTTTCATCGCTTGAACACGAATATACATAATATAGATTACGAACGTCATTTACATTGTAAATGAACGATACGTTATTAACTTTATGATTAAACCACAAAACCGGATATTTGTACTTAATTACTTTTAATTTATTTATATTGCACCAGTTAAACAAGTTATTCACATTATTTTGTAAAGCAATGCAATCATTTTAAGAATTTTTACATTCATTCAGACTTTACTCTAAATCATTAGTACAAATTTTAAATAGCAACGGTCTTAAGTTAGAACCTTGACATAGGTACACTGTCATTGTAAATTTTATTAATTATCACCACCTCAAAATACTGTTCCAACTGTACTTTCAAATTCAAAAATAGTGAATATGTGAAAATTTGTGACATGGTGAGTTAAAACAAAAATTGAATGTACATTTACAAAGTTCAAAATAATATAGATAAATGCAGACTTTCGAAGATGTTAACACTTGGTTCAAAACTTTGCCAAACTATGATCAACATTTTTCAATACTATCCGAGACGGCTGTGCTCACGTTCTGTCACTTTAGTTCGATACTGTTTGGCACTCAGATTTGTCTATCAGAGTGATATAAACAACGAAAACATGCAACGAGCCAAAGTATCCAAAGTCCTGATATCAACTCTACGGGTGTGGTCAAGATCTGCCAGTTACGAATCGACAAGAAAAAATCTTAAAATAACCAAAAAGAGTACCCTTATTTGTCAAGGCTTTACTGGAAAACAAGCTACTTTCCACTGCAAACTTGCAAAAGAATACGGAACCAACTTAGTAGGTGGGGTTACTCCAAAAAAAGGTGGTCAAAAACATTTGGGATTACCAGTATTCAACACCGTTAAAGAAGCGGCAGCTGCATTAAAACCAGACATTTCAGTGATATTTGTGCCTCCATTTGCTGCAACTAAAGCCTTGTTTGAAGCCCTTGAGGCACAAATTCCGTTAATAGTTTGCATCACTGAGGGAATACCTCAACATGATATGGTCAAATTTTGCTACCAACTGAAACGTCAAGACAAATCACGCCTAGTAGGCCCGAACTGTCCGGGAATCATTGCACCTGAACTTTGTAAAGTTGGAATCATGCCAGGTACGATTCACAAAAGGGGTATGGTAGGAATAGTTTCACGTTCTGGTACTCTCACTTACGAGGCAGTACAGCAAACAACACAACTTGGATTAGGACAAACGTTAGTTGTTGGTATGGGTGGTGACCCTTACAATGGAACAAACTTTATTGATTGTCTGGACATTTTTCTCAATGATCCTGAAACGAAAGGTATAATACTGATAGGAGAAATTGGAGGAGCAGCAGAAGAAGAAGCTGCTGATTATTTGAAAAAACATAACAGTGGACCCACAAGAAAACCTGTAGTTGGCTACATAGCTGGGCTTTCAGCTCCACCAGGGCGAAGAATGGGACATGCAGGAGCTATCATATCTGGAGGAAAGGGCGGGGCTAAAGAAAAAATAGAAGCTCTGACTAACGCTGGAGTTGTTGTGGCCAAATCACCGGCTTTTATCGGAGCTCATTTAAAGAAAGAATTGACAGGATGAAATGAATTATGTTAATTTATTTTTTGTAGTACAAAGATTGTTTAAAAAATTATAAGGCCAATTTTTCTAAACTTATTACGTTAGGCTCGAAGCCTGTGGTGATAAGAATAATAGTTGCTCCTTTTAGGCTCTCTCAAGGAAAATCTTTGTTGTACTGCCTCATTTAAACAATAACAGCTCTCACAGGGCTCACATAATCCCCCGTACCATTGAAAATTTGCTACAATAGGTTTTAAATTTCAAAGAAAGCTGGTTCCGAAGTTGGGGTAGCTTGACTTTGCAACTGCATTGTATATTGAAACTTCTACAGTAGAACCAACAAAGTAGTACATGAAGTAACTATAGTCATGTATACTATTCTGAACATTTCAAATGAGTAATTTTGAGATGACGCCAACAAGTTTTTGGAAGTGGTGAACAGATCACTCTGTTTATAATATTGAACGCGTGTATAAAAAAAGTGTTCTGGGAACCCCAAATTCAAGTTACTTCCGGCTTCACAAAGGTCATAAATTGCATGTGTTATGAACAAAATTACGCCTTAACTCCTATGATCTATAATTTTTGGTATACCTTGCAGATATGGTGGTATTTGTTTATTTTTCGATTAGATATATTTTCCGTATATAAAATGTTTAGGTAAATTAGTTCATTCAGTTGGCATGAGCGTTGCGTGACTAAACGTAGTGAGTTAGTGATTGACGTATATTATTAAAAACAGTAAATTACAGTAAAGTACTTTTTCACAAATTTCTTAAAAAGAAAAGGGAAATAAAACTTACATATATCAATACAATATCATCGGTTATGCTTCGGCCGGCATACTTTCTTGTAAGTGTATGTATATTTTTATATTTTAGTAAAGTTTATTGATATTGGAAATCACTACAAAGTTTACAATAAAAACGTCTAGAATAATGGAACACTATTGTCTATACGTAAATCAGGAAAAACAATAAACATCATTATTTTTTCTTTGTAAATTTAATCGTTCAGTCGCCTTTGAGCAGGTTTCTGTAAACGTCGTAATTAAGTAAATTGTTAAAATGTCACGACCAACAACTATTAAAAAAAAATTAAACGTGCTTTAACGTTAGATTACATATTTGTGTATTGAAATCTAATCTACATATTTCAAGTTCACTCGCCTATTTAAAAAGCAAAAATATTACTCACGAAAGTATATGTAGTCGATATTTCCGCTTTTATTCGAAATGAAATGACGTAGGTACTTATGAAACAATCTATCTTTTATCTATTCCGATGGAATAAAATTTTTATTTACAAATATTGCTTCCATGTACTACGTCACACTGAATCCAAATTATTTCTATGAGGCAGATTTTGAAATTTTGAACTTTCCATTAAGTGATTTGATATGCATACAGTATTTGAACGAAAGTCAAAAGGCTGAACCAAGTCTTCAAACTATGGGCATCTAATTAAAAATCTCAATATTAACTATAGAAATCTGTAGTTATGTGCACAAAAAATTCCTCGCCACTGATGTATATCTAACAAACCTCGTATATGTCAGCGAGTATTTTTTTAACAATAGTTTATTTCATATTTCGTTTTTATCAACTTTTTAATGAGATAATTATATTCATTTTAATATATAAAATGTTTGCTAAAAACATTTTATAACTTGATACAAGGACAAATATTAATTTAGCAAATATAGGTCTTATTAAACAGAAATACTTATTTTAACTTGTGACATTTATACCATGAAAACTGACATCGCTTTATAGATTTTGGTTGCACAACCACCAAAATCGACAGTGGTAAAAGTGGGCGTTGAAATTTGTCACTTCGTCAAAACTGGAATTATAATCGAAGTTTAGTGTCAACTTAACGTATCATATTAATTTATGATGGATAGTAGATGTAACCAAATTTGAATTTCTAGAGATTACTAGATATGATAGCCATTTATAGATATTCTACCTAAACAAGCGTATATTAGAAATTGTTATTTTAAAACGGTAGTGACAACACTCGATAATCTTACGTGTACAGATGATATTACACATTTCCGCTTAAATATTTGTTGTAGCGAATCACTAAAGAGTGTTGTAAAATTTCATTATTTATTATTGATGATATGTTGTGATTTATTGTTTTTAACTGAATTCATAATTATACACTTTCTATCTGAAAATCATGTTGTAGAACGACATAACTTTAGCATTTTTTTCTTTCCAGGATAACAAAATCATGATGGTGACTACGCCCCCTGAAGGAGGTTTAGGCGAAGTGGTTATTCAAAATAAAATAGGTCTCGATAAAAGCAGCGAACTCCACAAAAGATCGAAATTGGGAAAATTGCGAGCGCGCCTGCGTATACCAATTTTGGTTGATATCTTCATAATAGTAACAGGTAAGTCAATAGTATTGTAACAATGCAATTGCTAATGCAATCACATATCACACATCAAACCCGTTACGTATCACTATTATGCACTTGCACAATGCATATATATTTTAACTTACTGAAAAAATTGCGAATAATCGATAAATTACTTTTTTAAATGAAATTAAAAACAATAAATGTGTATAAAATCTCAGATACATAAGCACTGTAAACTCTTCTATTCCAGTATTGTTACTTTGTAAATTACCAGGCAAAACGTTTTTTATAAAAAAAAAATATTTGTAGACACGTTTTGCCTTACATGTTTTTTGCTGTTTTTTGGACTTCTGATTTTGGTTCACAAACAAAGTAACATGCGTTTATAAATATACACATTTTTGTCTAACAATACTGTTTCAAGCCTACGTCAATCGTATCTTTTTTCATTTCATTTTTGTATTTGTAATAACATAATAAGAGACTCCTGTCAGGGCTCATTATTTATTCAAATTCAAGTAGCAACAAATCCGCTTCCTTGTTTATTTTTCATCCGTTGTTTTATCTGAAGTACACATCCATCTTTGTTTTCATGTTTTAGATCATTTTGGTAGTATTTTTGCTTCCCCTTTAGTAAACCTATTGTAATTTCTATTTTCCTTCCACTTAGGTCACATAAACGGTGGCTGACATCTAAAAAAAGATGCGTAATCGCTACAAACTTTTATTCAGTAAGTGCTACATTTGACGAAACCCGGCCATAATTTTCTAACAGTCCACAATGTCTCAAAACTAATTTTAAAATTTTGTTACAGTTGGATTACTGATAGGGTTAATCGAATTTGGCGTCATTCCCAACACCAAACAGGGTTTCATATGTAAAGATCCGAAGATATCTCACCCCTTTCGAGGAGACACAGTTACGATGACAACTTTGTTAATAACTGCTTATTTTGGACCTATTTTAATAATAACACTAGTGGAAATGTTAAAAGAAAATTCCTTGAAAAAAGTGTGTGTAGGAACTGTGTGGAATTATTACAAAGAGTGTCTAATAGGAGCAACTTTAGTTCTGCTGATAACGGAAGTCATTAAAGTTGTAATGGGAGAACCAAGACCACACTTCTTGGATTCTTGTGACCCAGATGCGAATAGGAACTGTACACAAGGAACTTTGGTGTTCGATTACAACTGTACGAACACGGGTTTAAGTAATTTTTTTAGAACCGATATTACTAGATCGTTTCCTTCTGGACACACCTCGGTTTCTTTATTTATCGCCCTTTATTGTTCAGTAAGTAAATTCATTGTGTGATAATAACATTTTATGACGTTTTTTGTTTTTAGTATTTAGTCCAAATTCGTATACCTACAAAATCTGTAGGCACTTTGACGAAACCGTTCCTAATTGCCGTGTGCCTTACGTGGAGTCTTTTATGTTCACTGTCACGAATAACTGACAGGAGACATCACTGGTGGGACGTTCTAGCAGGGGCATTTCTAGGAATTTGTGGTGCTCTCTACACTCTTAGTTTACTTCATAGTAAGGAGAGAAAACAACGAACGAGAAACAGAGTTAGTAGAACGAGCACGACTATGACCACGTTGTCAGATATAAAACCCAGGGACGCTCCTAGTAATGTCATCATATGAGCTTTGAGTGTATAGTACAATTTTTGTAAAATAATTTTTAAGACTTTTCATTGTACGATGGAAATTTATTTATTGTATATTTGTAAATATGTAGTTAGAATTAAATATTAATGTCAGTATTACATCCGAAATTTGCTTAAAAAACCCGAAACGATGTCATCAACAGAGTCTACTTAATAAATACATATTTAGTCAGGTACTCATACAAATGTTACCAAAATTGTACCTTTTTCAAGTTCAAGTGGTACGTCTGAGAAAGTTATAAAAAATGTCAACCACGTGTATTTATGTTTTTTTTACTTTATACAATACAAATATTCAAATATGTACTCTAACATTGAATATGGTTTTACCTAGTAATATAAACGTTGAATTTATCAAATTTAGTCAACTTTTTTGTGTTTGTTCAAAACGTCTCAATCTTATTCTACTGTTTTTAATTTTGTTACTAAAATGCAAATTAATAGTTTATTTAATTTTTATACATGTGTGAATTCAACATTTAAGTACCTAATTGTAACAAACAAAACTAATTTGTTACTAAATTGCACACATTAACAGCTCATGTTTTGTAAATTCTTTTTTTATGTAGGCAAGCAGGTACAAGTTTGACGAAAGCAATTCAGATTATACGGAATTGTAACAAAGAAAAACTAATTTATTAACAAAGATAAAATACGAATAGTGATATTTGTAACTTGTATAACGCTAAAAATATAGTTATGTACGAGGACTGTTTGATAAGTACCCGTTTTAAGAAAGAGAAAGCATTTTTTTTTTAATTCTGTATATTTATTTCTCAACCTAGTCTCCTTTCAACTCTATACACCTCGACCAGCGATATTCTAACTTTTTTAACCCATTCAAAAAAAATGATTTATCAAACTCTGCAAAATAAGCCTCTGTTTCATTGATTACTTCGCCGTTTGAAGTAAACCGCCTTCCTCCAAGCCATTTTTTTAGATTTGGAGATAGATAAAAGTCACAGGGTGCTAAATCTGGCGAATAGGGAGGATGCAGCAGTAATTCATAGCGTAATTCAACCAGTTTTGCCGTGGCAATTGCAGACGTGTGAGCCGGTGCGTTATCATGGTGAAACACGACTTTTTTTTCGACAAATGGGGCCGTTTTATCTTTAATTCAGCATCAAATCGGCTCAATAGGCTAGCATAGTACTGCCCTGTGATTGTTTTGCCATTTTCCAAATAGTCTATGAAAATGATGCCATGCGAATCCCAAAAAACAGTAGCCATAACTTTTCCGGCCGAAAAAACCGTTTTCGCTTTCTTTGGAGCACGTTCGCCGGGTAGAGTCCCTTGTTTTGACTGTTCTTTGGTCTCTGGAGTTGGTGGTGTATCCACGTTTCGTCAACACTCACGTAACGCCTTCGAAACTCCTTCGAATTGTGCTTAAACATATTCAAGCAATGTTCCGAAGTTGTAACGCAATTCCGTTTTTGCTCCACTGTGAGCAAACGCGGCACCCATTGTGCCGATAGCTTTCTCATACCCAGTTTTTCTTGAAGAATGTTGTGCACACGTTCGGTTGAGATGTTTGCAATCTCAGCAATCTCTCTGATCTTCACCCGACGGTCTGCTAAGACAATATCGTGGATTTTGTTGACCATTTCCTCAGTAGTTACTTTAATCGGACGACCTGGGCGTTCTTCATCCAAAACAGATGTTCTGCCACGTTTGAATTCGTTGAACCAGTATCTGATGGTAGTCATCGAAGGTGCTTGGTCCTTATAAATTGCCTGCAACTTGATTTTGATTTCTTCACACGTTTTCCCATCCAAAAAGAGAAATCGAATCACAGATCTATACTGCTCTTTTTCCATTTTTGCAAAAAACACAAAATTGTCAAGTTTCAATAAGTGATATAACAAAACTACTTGACAAATTTGACTGAAATTTTGACCAGCCTCGTTTGAAAGATGGCACTAGACCATGGCATACAAATTTTGGGTCAGTGGTACCCACAGTCCTCAAACACGGGTAGTTATCATACAGTCCTCGTATTGATCACCAATATAATCGGATAACGAAATATGTAGACGCAGTATATAATCAACTACATAACTACTATATTAGTTACATGTAGCACTATTATATAGGTATCCCAGTGGTCTGCGCATTTATTGTTACGAACTATTGAAGAAACTCATTTCGATATACAGTTTTACGGAAAAAATGGTCCTATTTAAGAATTCACAGCTGGAGTAGAGGTTTAAAATTTTGCACAAAATTTTTTAGTCATCTTGTCTTACGTGCAAAAAATTAAATAACACTTAAACTGGTTTATACAAGGTCCCTAAATTTGCAAATTCTCAGTTTTCTCATGTTTTTCCTACAAAAAACACTTGTATATTTTACATTTTCGACGTTGTCTCTAAGAAACCGACTTCCGCGGCACTCCACTTAAGAGTTTCAGCGTTTCGTAGTGCTGGTACTTGCAACAACGGTGATTTGTTAAGTGGTTGACCAAACAGGAAATTGAAATTAAAAATTATTGTTTAAATTTAAGATTTATACAAACATAAATTCAAAAAAAAAAGTTCGAGTAATTAAAACAGCAAATTCATCGATTGAAATTAAGTATCTTTTGCAAGATCATGATCGTATTCGCTATTGGCTATCCTTGTTCATAAGTGCTGCAAGGTGCTTTTTCAACTTTTTATGCACCTTTCTACATCTGTTTTTATATTATTTGTTAACATTGCTAAGTCTAAGTAAATCCATTGACCAACCCTAAAAAGTCAGGCTTTTCAGTGGCTTTGAAAATCAGTATTATCAAGTAAGCATAACTTTTACCGGAGGCAAAAGTTCGGAGGTAGGGATTAGACTCCCAGTTGAATCCCAGGTTGTCGTTTTTTTCCTGAGTCTTTGAGTCTATGTCAACTGAATCAGCTGATAGATGTAAAGGGTTTGAATCATCTAAATTAACATTAGAGGCAGTTTTCGTTGATTCAGTTGTCATTCGATAATCGAAGAATTAGTATTTAGATTTCATTCAATTGTACAAGATACTTAAGATTTGTGAACGTTGATGGGTTTATCAGTAATTTGAGTCGTATATCGTGAAACTCTTCGACAAGATTTTTGTCAGCTAAATAAATGCACACTTTATTATTTGACATCCGTGTTGCGAATGAGATATTTTTCGATGAGACTATATTACCTACAACCCCCACATACTCATTGTTCATTAAGTTTAAGTTCATCTATAGCTTCAAGAACAATGCCTTGATCTTTTCTGAAAATTGATTGTTTGTGCTAATGTTGGTATTCTAGCTCATGGTATTACCATGGTGCTAGACTTACACTTTGTTCCAAGTGTGGACAAGTACCTTAAATTTCAATGCAAGGGTAATTCGAGGAAAGCTCGCCTTACAATAAGAGAAAAACGACTTATCAATGGGCAAAAAATGAAGCGAGAACACCGTATTTCAAGACCGATGATATAAACCTACAAATATGTTGTACTCCCATTGAGAAAGCCAAAAAGCTGCTGGTCTGTATTCGTAACTATATTATATATTGGCGTCCCGCAGGGCTCAATTATGGGTCCTGTCTTATACATCTTGTATACTAATGACTTGGAAAATGCATCTGAGGCAAAAATAACCATGTATACCGATGATACGACAATTATATTCTCTAACAAGTCCAATATGCTCCTAAAGGATAAAAGTAATATATGTAGCACTTGAAAAAATTGAGAACTGCTTTAGCTTAAATTCTTTATTTCTTAATTTAAAAAAAAGCCGAAGTTATTAGATTTCATAATCGACAAAAAACTTGTTCAGAAATTACTTTTAACTATGACAATAAGCTTCTCATTACTATCCATTAGAAAATTATAATTCTGTACATAAAGATGGAACGTCAAAGTTCGAAGGTTTTATACATATTTCTTTTTTTGTATTGCTTAGGATGTCACTGCTGTTAGTCGAATAACTTGTTCCAACACATATGCGAAAAAAGTGTTTCTGTTGCATTAATTAAAAATGTTAATAATAACACTAGTTTACAAATTTAAACTTTTTTTCGTATCCAAAAATAAAAAAAATATTTTCTACTTCTAAATTACTTACTGATAACAAATCCAAAAACGGATAATCTCTATCACGTCAGGTTTTTTCATAAATCCAAAATAATGAACTTTGCTTTTACCTTCTTGTTAGTGTTAAACTGATTCATGTTAATGCACCATTGTCGCATAAAAATGTCTTCGAGATCGTGCAAAGTAGGTGCAAATCAGTTTTCTTACGTTTGTGGTAAAATTATAGTACCTAAAGCTGGAAGACCTGTTCAAATATGCTTAAAAAGAAGGTATCAAGGTTTTTGGGACGAAAATGTGTTACTGTTGGTCTATTATAAGGGAAACTGACAGTACTGCCAATAAAAGAAAGTGTTAATCATTTTTAATTTTCAGTCATACTGTTTATAATATATACTGGGTGTTGCTTTTATTTGATACAACCCCTGTAACTTCTTTATTTTTAAAGATAAACCTATACTTCTTTGAGCAAATTTGTATCATTTTAAAAGATCTTTGTCAGGGCAACCTCACATTTTTATTATCACTTCCCGTAGAAAAATCAAAAGCAACCAATTATTCTAAAATCAATACTTGAAAAATTTTAAATAAAACATTGATGACAATCTAGCTTGAAAAATTGACTCATGTTATTTATTTACGTAAATGATCCTTTAAAATGATACAAATTTGCTCAAAGAACTATATGTTCATATATATTTAAAAATAAAAAAATTACAAGAGTTGTATAAAAGAAAATAAATACAGGGTATGTTTATATAAATATCTCAAAAACCTGACGTGATGGATTTTTTCTGCTTTCAGATTTGAATTTCCCGAACCCAAATCCTTTAGATTCAACTATTTTTGTCTTTGGATATAAAACCTTGTAAACTAGTGTAATTGACGATTTTTTTTCGTATGCTGTCCTATATAATTGTATTTACATTTGCCTGTAAAGTACCGACCATTATCAGTATTTAAGCCCACACTTTTAAAACCAATAAAATCTTTAATGTGTTTAAATTCATATAGCTATGTACGTACTTACTCCCAAAAAAAAGTTTAACCAAACAATTAGTTATCATCGCATAATCATTAATCAATAATCACTTAGATACTTTGATACCTCGAATTTTCATATTCAGTTTTGGAACAGCGTTTACAGCAAAGACATTCCAAAGGCGTTTTTCAAAATCAAATTCGCCATTATTTAAATTTTTTTCTCTATATTTTTAGCATTAATTATAAATTATACTCTTAAGCTGAATCTTTCAATAAGAATGCAGAATTATAGCATTTTGCGATGGTCTGGTTACAGGTTGGTATTTATAGGATTAAGATTAAGATTCAGCTGTGTTTACAGCGGTGAAAACTGCTTTCACTGAAAAATGAAGAAAGTTTGATAACACAACATGAAATGAATGGAGGTAGAAAAGTGGGCACGAAATTTTAACGTTCTATTGGTACTCATGGATATGTCAACTACGGTATATCATTTTCTACTCTGTTTACTAAGTCTGATTAGGACACTACATCATATCAATTGATTTACGCCTGCGCACGAAAATATTCATTTTGAATCAACATTCATCAAAAGCATAATATAAATTCGTAGAAATAGCCTGTATTGAGTTTTTAATTCATTTCTATGTTTCTAATTACAAAAAAAATCGTTAATGTATGCTTAATAAAACAGACGAAACACCTACTGCTTTGATTTGACCGTGACACAACGCGGTGAATCTATTTATCCAAAAACCCAAAATTTTACACACAAATTTATCGTGGCAATTTGAATAATGCCGTAACTTCTGTATAAAATATAAAACACTATGAAAAACAAATGATAGCAAAGCAAAAATTTCCTCCAGGGAACACAACTGTGTACTTATCTCCAGCATTGTGGACTTCTATATCTAAATAAAACCTTATCATCACGCTGATTACATAAAATGAATACAGTTGTTGGCAGTATGCAATTTATTATACACTAAAATAAATAAATTTTTGACCATGAACGTCGAATCCTAAAGTACTGAAGATGCACAAATAGAAAATGTGCAGTATTACGAGAAGTGATTAAAACGTTAATTGATTCCTAATTATTATGACTTTTAAATAGTTTAAACTGTAGAAACGAAATTTAACTCCCACTATTTACGACAATTACAAATCATCGTTGAACTAGTCTGCTATTATACGTCAGCAGTAAAGCAGTTAATGTCAGCTGTATTCAATAGGTACTTATATTTCCCGAATTCACTATGCTAACTAGTGCAACGTTAAACAGTTCACGTTTTAAGTTATTATCTATTTCTCCTAATAGATAACTAACTCAATCGTTAGTAGATTTTATGTCTCTAATGAAATTGCAAACAAATGTCAATGCCAAAGTGGATGTTGTATATAGCAATCCTAATTTGTAAGTAATACACAATTTTATTTATTAACAAATAAATAGTTTGTTTTGTTTTTTCAGTTGTTTCATTACTGTTACTACAATTTGAGGTAATACCGAATCGCAAATCTAGTTTTAAATGTAAGGATCCAAGCATTTCATACATATTAAAAGGTGAAACTATTTCGGAAAAGCAGTTATTACTTAGTATATTCTTAGGACCTCTTTTAATCATCACTTTAATTGAAGTTCTAAACACAATATCATTCCACAACCTTAATAAAAAAATAATATGGAGTCTTTACAAACGCTGTTTAACTGGAGTTATATTTGTTATTCTTATAACGGAATTTTTAAAAACTGTTACACGAGAGCCTCGACCTCACTTTATGCAGTCCTGCAAACCTGATGCAAATGAAGTCTGTGAAAAGGGAATTCACGTTTTTGAATATAAGTGCACAAACACTCGACTTACTAGGTTTTCACAGGCTGATTTAACAAGATCATTTCCTTCAGGGCATACATCACTTTCACTGTTTACGGCTCTACACTGTTCCGTGAGTACAGACGATAAATTTGGTCTTACTGTGTTAAACTAATTTATTTTTCAGTATCTTCTTCTCATACGCTTACGACATGGGTTTAAAAGAAACGTTTTCAAAGTATTACTTATTACAGTGTGTTTTGCGTGGAGCTTCATCTGTTCGCTGTCAAGAATAACTGATAAGAGGCATCATTGGTGGGATGTAGCGGCAGGAGCAACTCTAGGATTATGTTCTTTTTACATGTTTTATCGTTTGCAGAGAAGCAGTCTTATAAATACTGACATAAATAAGACGGAGTCTTCATAAATCTCTACAAATACATGGCATTTTTCTAGTCTTGGTAAATGTTTCTGTCCATTTCTTTTTTTTTTATAAAATAAAATAGCCAAAAATGTTTCCATTTAATTTTACGAATCTATTTCACTCACGTTGGTTGTATTTAGTCCGACTTTACAGCTTCCAAACAAATAATATTGGTGTGACGTCATTCCATTGATGATTGATAATAACTAATTGTTTTTGGGTGTAGGCTAGATTAGAGCAAATTTTGCATTTTACTTATCTACGACATACTTGCTTGTTGCTAACAGTCTCCCTTATTGTAAAATTCTACTGTAACATTTGATGATTTAAAATTTTGTGTCGTTACAAATCAATAGCAAAGCTGATTTAGATTTCGCAATAACCCGCTGAAGTCTGATTCGTGAATTGAAGCTGAAATAATTTTAATTACAATAATTATTATATCTGAAATTAAGGAAAAGAAGCTGTTTTGTCAATTAATGAAGTAACCCATTTAAATATAAACAACAATGCAAAACCATTACAATAAGTGAACTTGCACTACATAGGAGAAGTAAACTACCAACGGGCTAAATTTAATCGAAGTCACTAGGGTCTCTCCAAAGATAGTAAAACAAGAAATTTAATCTCCTAACTTGTAGAAACTGTAAATTTCACACCACGTGCGACATAGCCAGCAAAAACAAAAGATTTATCAACACCATACCCACACTGTAGATAAGTTTAAACAGATTTATGAAGTGTATAAATTCCACAGTTATTTATTAGATTAAATTTAAATAACAGTAGTTTGCTTAAATAGTAGCGTTGTAGCGCAATAAATTATGCGAGGTTCTTCTCTCCCCAAATTTAACCTATAAACCCTTCATAAGACTTTTTTGTTTTTTTTTATATCAGCGTACGTGGTCTAAAAAAAATAAATCATTGTATAACATTTCTTTATCCTTCCATTAGGATAAAAGAAGAAGCTTCAGAACAAATTATGTTCAAATAAAATAGTATTCTAATTTTTTTAGTGTCTTGTTTTTAAAAATTTGAAACGATGAACAGTGACAATGTGATTTGAGACAGTGATCGTGATCATATATACTTTCGTCAACTCACTCTGTATGACAAGTAACTGTGTGCTATGGAAACAGTGATTGGATACTTCATATCACGAAACATTCTCCATAGAGGAGCAACAATCATCCACGAAAACAGTGATTTTAATACTACGACTTCTTCGCCACTCTTGTCAATGAATAAGGCAGCTTATTAGATGCAAATTTATGACACTACCCCAAACTTATTTTATTAGGTTAGCGGCTCTTTGTTGTGTTTAGCCAGCATGCTTCTCCTGAACAGGGCCGGATTACCTGTTTAGAGGTTTAGTTAAGATGGTCTTTCTTCGCAAACAATGAGTTTGGAAAAGCTAAAATCATAAAACCACTTTTTCGTGTTTCGTAGTGAAATATCACTAATCTCTAGATTTTAGCTTACGTCTGGTTCACATTTGATTACAACTCTAGGTATATCGGTCAACGTTTATCGGATTGAGTCAAGTTGGGCAACAAATTTACTCGACCAATTTACAGGAGATTTTGTTATATACTAAACCGTCAAACAAAAATCTACTTTCACTGTCATTTTTTTTCGAACTCTTTAAGACTTCCATGTGTTGCTGGAGGTTAGAGGTACAACGTTAAAATTTAAAACGTATGGATTAGTCATCAAATGATGCTGATTGACGCAGTGACGCGCTGTGATCATTAATTGTTAAAACTATGACAAATAGGTAAAAAATTTAAACATCATGAAAGCTCCTCTTCTGGGAACTTATTTCATTTTATACATGATATCACACTTAAAAAAAATCATTGAAAACACTGGTAAATTAAATACCTTGTTATATTCAAAACGGGTTTCACGAACACTTGTAGTTGAAATAAACCAGGTAATTAATAACAGGCTTTAATTTCTGTCAAGAGGTCCAACGCATTCATATCGAGCATTCATTAAGATATCATACAGTGCTGCTTTAAAGTCAACCCCTCCTTATGACTTTGGAACCTCTGGAGGTACAGCTCTGAAATTTAAAACGCATGTATGAATAATTAAATGGTACCAATAGTCTTCATAGTGACGTGTTGTGACTTTGAAATGTCAAAAGTATGAGATGTACTTAAATAAAAAAAAATAAATGACACAGGGGGTCGAGTGACATCTATTCTGAGAGCTTATTTTATTCAACAGATGATACCAAAGTTTAAAAAAAAAATATCAATGCAAAAAACCTATGCGCTTAAACGTAACCCTTACTTACACAAATCGGAACAGGAGCATATCGTTTAAACCAGTTTGCGGTACGTATACATAAAATGTGTCGATATTTTTCAAAGATTTTATTTTCATCTCCGTGTGAAGCACCCGAAATATAATTTACACAACAGAATTTTCCAGTTTACTACTTACTGGCATACCTTCCCTGCCTTAACTTCCAACAGTTCATCGAATTTATGTGGAGCTCGCTCTTCGAATACGTCGCAACCCTGTAATAAAGTTTTCCAGATCAGTAAGTGCATCATTTCAATATTTTTACAACACCCCAGCTACTGCAAGACCGAAAAGAAGCGCCTACATATCCAACATAAAAATTTAATTAACAATATCCATAAAACAGGAATCCATTTCGTGAACGCTTGCTAAATTAAAAAGCATACACGTAGCGGCATGAGTCCCTTGGAAATTAGAAATTCCTTCAGCACTCTCTCACATAATCCTCGCGAATAGATAACAAAGGACGTGACTACATACAAATTTGATGTAGTTGATACGCAAAAGCAACACAATAATGAATTTGTTGGCGCGGTCCGGACCGCATAGGGGTGGTGGGTCGATATGTAGCGGCTCTCCGCCGCCCCCGAGCAGACCGCGCACAACGCCGCCGCCGCTTCCAGGCTCTTGCAGTGCTGCGAAACTCGCTACATCGCGGAGATGGTCACGCGCTTCCTCGCCGTCAAGCCTCGGCCAGCCGCCTCCAGCCACCCCCAGACGCTGTGAAGCGAAGCTCCGACGCCGATGTTGCGCCATGTAGCGCTGGGCACGTGCTGCGATGACCCGAGAGCTTTACACCCACACGGTAAGCATTCTGCGCGATTTTCAACCGCCAAATTTTTGGAAAAGCTTACAAAACTGATAGATGATTCCGGCATACCATAACATTATGGATTATGGGTATGGTACGCATCTATCAGATTTTGGGTTCTTGATTTAATAGTGACAGCTACAAGTTGATCGTTTTTAAAGCTATTCTTAAGGCTACAAAGTAAGCAAAAAGGGTCAACTTGTCACGTTTTTCCGGAACTTCGTGTCGATTCTTTATCCTCCGGACCATTTACTGCAGTGACCGATCGCGGTAAATCACTTTCTCGCGAGAAAGGGTTTCATTTAGCGACATTTATTTTAACGGTCGTTTTAAGGCACATAAATCTATTTTCTACTCACAATTTTGAAGTTGTATGGCATAGAAAATAAAACGCTTTTTTTGTTTACTCTTAAATGCACATTCTGTCTGTAAAGTTTAGTTTTCGACAATTATGTCGAAAACTTTAAGAAGACTTTCTTTCATTAATCATGTTGCTAAAGGAACCGTAATTACAGTAGGAACTAACCAAAACTTTTTGTGCAATACGTATAAAACTACTTCATTGAAAGTACGTCAGGTACAACTTAGAAGAATCAATTTAAATCAAATATTATAACTCTTATCATCGAATAGCCTCCAGGTTAAAAGCTTTCAAAGTTACTGGGGAAAAAATTGTATAACAGCTGAATCGAAGAATTTTATTCACTTACAGAAATAACTTAGTTGAACACTCTGCTCGTAACGAACTTATTCTTTCCGTATTCATTCATTGCGACTGTTATGAATAGATCAGAGTCATAATTATTATTTAACACTGGGAGGTATGTTTTCAGTTGTTTTCAACTACCCCAAAATGTTCAATAAATTAAAAAAAAACGATAGAGTGATCGCCTTAAAGAAGAGTAACTACTTTCTATGTTAGGAACGTTTATGCATTCATAAACTCAAATTCATCAGTGTCATAAAATCTGGAAGTCTAAAAATAATGACAAGCAAGCTGTTTGAGACAAATTAGAAGATTAAGTTACTGTTGTTGCGACACTAATATCATGTCATTATTCATAGTGACACTTACCGTGTTAATTTTGGAGGAAACGTCCTGAAAATTACCACCTGTATTGTCGTGACCCGGTCAACGAAATCTTGATTCTTGATGCCTGACTAAATCTGTTGTTAATAACAGCAAATTTTAACAATTCCCACAGCTACATAACAAATGGAGAGGTTTGTTCCTTCTCGGGAGAAACTTCAACCGAGCAAACTTAAACTAAGGTTTTAAAGCATTCAAGCTACATGTAATAATATGGCAAAGTCGTATCGGAACAAAACTATTCATTTCCCAGACCGTTCAAAAGCAAACTCAGGTGTCAACAACGCTGCAACTTACTAAACTCGCACTCCAATAAATCTCTAACTTCGCAGTAGGTACATTTGAGATATGTTTACAAGCGATCAATTTATTTTGCATGACAGATTTTTGTCGCTTGTCTTTTACGTGGTGTATATTTAAAAGAATTGTTTTGGAGAGTAATGCATAAGCGTGTAGCGAACATTAAGGCCAGGAATTTACGTTGACGATTATTGTTTTAAAAATTTGCCTTAAAGCTTATTATTCTGCGTGAATATAACAGTTTTGACTTGCAAAACCCATTTAGTCGGACCAGGCTTCTCGGATATTTTTTGAAAGTTAGTGAGTAGTAAAAAAAGTCATACGTGTATAAAACACTGATGATGACCCAAATGAAAGGTAAAATGGCAGCGCCGCCTACAATATATCGCTCAATATTCCTAAAAGATCGCCGATTCCTCATTTGAGGGATAAAAGAACTAGAGTCCGTAAAATAAGGATGGAACGTCATAGACGATAAAACCACTAGCTTTTGTTGCTATAAGACATATACAACCTTCAACCCTTCACCGCAACAAAAAGCAGTTTATTGAGTAGTGGGTGTCTAATTTTATGAGGTTCCGCCCTTATTTTTATGGACTGTGGTGCTTATTAATTGATTGCGAGACTGAGAAAGAATATGGTGATGAAAAATGAAATGAAAATAACAACGCTCTTGATCTACTTAATCAACTATTACTAAAACTGTACTTTAAGCCGCTTTTATAAATGATTGGGTTTTACTACCAATGCAAGTTCCAAATTTACAATGAAACAACAGTTAAACCTAATTTTTCAGACATTAAAATGTAAATGGAAGCCATCGCATTGTTGTAGTTAATTGTAACGCAGACGTAATGGCTTCTACGATGCCTGTAATACAATTTCTTCGTATTTTACAAGCAAGTTCTCCAAACGGACAAATGTAAAGTAGCGACTTAGTGAGATAAAAACAAAGTCAAGTTCAGTACTGATATGTAAGTATAAAAATTTTATGATGCTTAAGTCATCAAACAAGTTATTGGTTAAACAGTAAAAGACATCAGTTTATACAAGGGATAACTATAAAAAATTGAAAAACTTTTTACATTAAAAAGCACTATCAAATCGAGGGATCCATGCATAATAATGATAAAAACTATGAATTTATTTTGACTCATCCATCATTCTCTCCGGGTCTTCACAAGCGAAAATGATATTTATCAATTTATATACAGTTTTCAGTTCATTTTAATTCACGTAAGCTATCGTTTTATGTTAATAAATAAATTTAAGTTTTTTACGATTTTTATAAGTAAAAGCAACAATATAAGTAATTATTTTTCAGATTAAAGTTTAATTTTAAATTGAAAAAGACTACGATATTTAGATGTTTTTATTTCATCAGCGGAAACTAGAGAAGTATTATAATAGGAAGTAAATCTATCTTTATAACAGATAATAGTTGTTTATTTTACACATTCAAAGTATTTCATGTTAACAAAAACTGAAATCGCGTTTACTTTGTATTAAATTACTCAACAAACCCTGGTAAGGTACACGTTTTAGTTTTATTAGTGTTTTTTTTTTTGTGTTTATACCTACTTGTTTACCTCTGCCAATAAATCGTAAGCCAAAGAAATCCTGAGCTTGTTTAGAGAATACAGCTGCTTTTAACTTTATTAGTATATAGAGTGGTTTATATCTGCTGTAAAGAATTTACATCGTTTTAGCACCTCTCATCGTATTTTACTTTATGCGTTTTTAATGACTTTACAGAAATAACAGCTTTATTTTTTAAATTCAAATATGGGGCAAGCCTGTTGCCGTCTGAGTGTAAAATCGCCGTTTTGTGCCGCCGTGAAAAAAGTGTCTATGTTTTTCATAGTGTTTGTTTCTATCCAATTCCATCTGTAAGAACTGTAATTATTTATACCTTATTTCGCAAAAGCGAAATGACAAGATACACTGAAGAAAAACATTTCTAAATTAATATAAATCAATTCTATAAAATTATTCTTCACTTCTTCAATGGTTCTCTCACTGCGCCTTTATTTCGTGTGCTAAAGTACGATGTGTGTAGTTTATGCTACTAATATTCTGGAATTGACGATGTTGGTAATATAGTGGCGATCTTCATCTGGTGGTTTCAGTATTCTTGTTAACATGGGTGGGTATATATTGTTACGTTGATCGGTGAATAAAATCGGCGTGGGTAAAACTCAACAATCTATTTCTTAATAACTCAAATTTACACGACTGATTACACAGAGATTATGTACAAAATAATTCCGGCACAACTTGACTGAAACCCATAGGCGTCCTACCGGGGCGGCGTTTGGGTTTATTTCGTAACAATATATACTATTTATTCTATTTTAGAATGATAATCTTGTTTATACGCACCCAAATGCGGGCATAAATTGACCTTTATGACACAAATCAGCCAAAAATTGCTAAGCAACGATTGATTATTCATTTACATTAATTGATTATTCAAACAAGCTTCGATATTCAACAGTTTTATTAAAGTTGGAAAAATAATATTTCATCAAATCATTCCCTGGCCGACTTCAAATTCTTCTAAAATTTCTTTTGAATAAACGTTGTCCGCTTCTTTAGTTTGCATTTTGAAAATCGAATTATTTAACAAATAAACAACATGGTATCCATAATAACATCAAAATAAATAGCCAGCAATGTATTAAAGTTCACATCGGCACAATTCACACAATCTTGCCGGAAATACACAATATTTCGTTAAAAATATTTTAGAAACTAAAATAGAACAAAACGTTGTATGTACCACGGGCATAATTGTCGATTGTGGCCCTCGGGAAATTAAAAACCCTCCTTCGTCGGGCTTTAAACATTCCCTCGTGCCATAATCTTCCTAATTATGCCCTTAATGGATAAATAACTATTTTCGAACAATTTAATACGAAAGATTATCGTTAGGATTCAAAATAATCCCTAAATGTCCCTTGTTCTTGAATATTTTCTACTGAATGAAGAGATATTACTCTGTTTCACTATACTAGTTTCTTTCTACGTTCTATTTCTCGTTTTCTTTTGTGTTTGTTCCAGAATTTGTTCCCATGTTTTTTTCCTATTTTTCCTCTTAAAATTGCATATACAATTTTTATATTTTCAGTAGTATATTCATGGAACATGGATTTAAGATTGTTTGCGTGACTTTTCCTTTTATGGTGATAATGTAAAACATTAAAATGTGAGTAACTTATTATCATTTTCCATGGAACCCTATCATCTGTTATACAACACAGGGCATTTTTTGCAGGTATTCCTATTTTTTTTTATACCGCGTGTCTGGAAAATAACGGATCCAGTACGTTACATACCGGGGTTTTGGGAGTCCCAAAAAAATAATAAAAAAATTCTTTATAATGTAGATTACGAAAAATACGTAATTTTATAAAAGTAAAATTGGCAACACTGCACACATCTAAGGCGTGAATACCTTCGGCTTACTTTCTGGTTTCCTAGTAACGATGGTGACTGAAATCCACCTTCGCTTTATATCAGGCAAACATTGTTGTCAAATGGAATTTTATCAAATTATTACAAAAACAACACAGCCATATCTTTGTGCACTCTAACTGAAATGGTAATTAAACATGGTCATGGGCGAGAAAAATATCAACTAAAAGTTTTATTACTGGTTATTGTGATAATGAATGAGTTGTTTATTTGTTAAACGCAGCAAAAGAACCAATTTTAAAATCATTATAACTCCACCAAAATGTGAGAAGGATTTTTTTACTATTTTTCCCAGACTCACCAGTTGATTTAAAGAGCGGAGAGTAAATCCGCCATTTTCCAGACACTCGGTATATCAAATGTAGCCACACTACACCACACATTTTGACTAGTTTTCTTTGTCAATCACATTTCCACCCGACATAAGTAAACGCAATAACCAATAAGAGTAAAGGTCGTCAGCTGATATTGCAGTTAGTACACCGAGTCGGTAAAAACCGCTTTTTTCTTCATAGAGAATATAACATTCGGTACATGGTATTCTAAGAAATGAGGCAACATATTCTTTTAAATCTAAAATCAACACATCGAGATACTATTCTGAAAGCCTGTAGTATATCATCTGAAGAGAGACCTTGAAACTTTACACACAGCATTCACAACTTAGCTTAAAGTTCTGTTTTAAACAAATTACAATTTTAAGATATATTTCTTGCCTTGTTTTAAATCTTGTGTACCTCGTTTAGTACAATCACTGTCATAATATAATTATTATTATTACTAATTACAATTTTGTAAGATCCCTCATATCGAGATAATACAAAGATAATAAATATAACTGATAACAATATTATTGAAATGAAGTCGGAGGTTTTCATGCCCAGAGTCAGTGCCGAAACTAGCTATAGGCCGAGTAGGCCCTTGCCTAGGGGCGCCAACGGCAAGGGGCGCCAAATTCGTCCAAAAATTATGTTGTATAGTTTTGGAAATTTCATTGTACCCTATAAAATTTTATTGGCAATAACGAAAAACACAGTAGTACAATAGCAAGAGATATTTACAACTTAAGTTGTCGCGTGCCCGTAATCCCCAGATGTTAGAAACCAGAATAATCCAGGTCCGGGCTGGGACCATCGTTACTTATGAACGGAAATGACCATTATTTTATGAGTACAACTACCTGCCAAATATTCTCAGACAAATTCGAGTGAACTGGTGTGAGCCATAAATATTTCTTACCATTCTACTACTGTCCGTCTCGTTATCGTCAATAAAATTTTATAGGGTAGAATGAAATTTCCAAAACTATACCAAGAATTATGTCATATTAATCTTTTTTTATTTTGAACGGAAGCTCAGAAACATGTAACCGGTGCGACAGGTTTTTTAATGTTGGTTTTATTTTGAACTTATATAATATTTATAGATTTATACATATTATATACCTATATGTATAATCTCGAATTTTTTTTCTTTTTTTTTTTATATTTTATCATAGTATCTGTTTTGCAAACTTATTAAAAAATATAAATAAAACTGTTCTGTAAAATTGCATTTTTATGTGTAGGGGCGGGGCGCCTAACGCAAGGTTCGCCTATACCTAATATTCTTTGGTTTCGGCACTGCCCAGAGTCATTAATATAAGGACGTTTTCCGAGCTGGGATCATGTGAAATTTAAAAAAGGTTTCGACATTTCGCCCACTTTCGTAAAGAGCATCTTCAGGAACGAAAAGTTCAATGAAGAGAGAGAAACCCTATTCCAAACCCGGAAAACGTCTTTATATCAATCTGAATTTATAACCAAACGTTTTTTAATGTTTTAAAAATTTACATTATGCCATGGTAGTCTTGTGAGTTAATTTTGAAACGAGACCTAGAAAAGTTATAAATTTTCCCGTCAAAAATAGCCCTAAAATATTGTCAAAAAAGTACAAAAAATCATCAAATAATTATTTAATTTTTGTTTGTTTGTTTGAGAGCTGAGTTAATCGGGATGGTTCTAGCTATGTTTAATGATAATTATTTTAGCCATTTCGAGATAAGTCACTCATAACAGTCATAACACAGTTGGTGTAGGAGTCAACTCTCCAGAAAGTGAGGACTGCGCGTCGACCGTCGCAGCGAATCTTAACCAATTTCAATATTTTTAAAGGTTCGTTGCTTTTGTGTCGACGGTTTTAAGTACCAACACTTACTGATAATACGGTTTTTAAAATAAGAAGTACAGCTCAAAATGGAAACAGTATTATTAAAAACTTCCTATTACTGTTTTAAATATGAATTAGGCTATTTAAACAACAATTAATTAATATTATTTATCAATAGTCATACCATATTTAATTTTCAAACTAAAAATGGTGTTAGTCAATTCACTAATTTTACGAAAACTATCTTTGGTTCAACTTTACAATATCTTCTATATACTGACCTATCAACGCCCAGCCCAAACCGCTAACGCTAGAAAGTTGAAATTTGTAGAGAAGGGATTTCTCGAAATTCATCCCCTAAGGGAGTGAAAAGGGGTGATAAAATTTGTATACGACCAATATGTCTAATATAAATTTACATTGTTATGTGAAACCTGCTATTAATTCTCTTCAATACAAATAATGAAACACATATTTAAGCACTTTCGAATATTCAACCCCTAAGGGGGCGAAAAGGGGTGTGTATTGGCAAAAATATTTTGATGGTAATGTTTATGTAAAATCTGATATTAATAGTCTTCAACACAAATAACGAAACACGTATTTAAGCATTTTCGGAGATTCAACCCCTAAGGGTGTGAAAAGTACTGGTTAAGTTTGTATGGGAAACGTATTTCTATTGATAATTTGAATTTTTACGTGAAACTTGATATTAAATTAATGCTCTTTATTACAAAGAATGAAACGGGAATTTAAGCATTTTCCAAAATTTTCTAAGGGAGTGAAATATGGAGGTTAAGTTTGTATGGGAAAAATATTTCAATTACAAATTAAAATTTTTACGTGAAACTTGGTAGTAATGCTCTTCAATACAAATAATGAAACACGTATTTCAGATTGTTTCGAGATTCCACCCCTAAGAAAATGAAAGGGGATGAGCAAAAATATTTTTATGTCGATTTTTACTGGGAATTGTATTAATGCCCTTCAACACATTTTTTACTTGAAGGTTGGTAATAATGCTCTTCAACACAACGAATCGTCTACGCGAGCGAAGCCGCGGACGAAAAGCTAGTATAATATAAAACAAAGTCTCTGTCTGTCTGTTTGAACGCGATAATCTCAGAAATTATTGTACGGATTTTGATGCGGTTTTCGTCAATAGATTGAGGGATTCAGGAGGAAGGTTTTAGTGTATAATTTATGAAGGTTTTGTCTAAATTGGCCGAACTATGATAATAATTGTCGAGTAAGTCAGAAAAAAATCGAGCCATCTGAAAACTTGACTGGTAAACCGTTCGAATATCGGGGTTGCATATTTGTTTTGGTTTTATAGTGTTGTCTGTCGTGCATTATTATTAAATAGATCACTTGAAAATGTGTTTTGCAAAGAGGTTTTATTAATGACATATTTTTGTTTAAGTGAATTTTAGAAGTTAATGCACTTATTTCAGTACCTAGGAATAAATAACAGTGTTTGTAATATATACCTTAAAATACGATGTAATTCAACATGATCTTGACAACAATTATTTTTATTTAACTGAAAAACCACATATCAATCAATTTGTCTTTTTCTGACACACGATCTACCAAACCCATATCTAAAACAATTGAAGTTCGATTTTTTTTGTCATTCGCTTAATGTGCGTGATTTAAATTAGTTTACTAATTTTTGAACACCCGTTATATTAAATTAAGCATAACAATAGGGAGTAGACAGGTAATTATGGCCTAATTACGTTTTAATTTTAATTAATTGTGGCAAGCTGATTCAAAAGTTCGCAGAGTAATAGGAAAAACAAAAAATCATTCCATAGGTTGCTGGAGTTTTCTTAAAGCGTATTTTAGCTTCTTTTTAAATGTTTTACGAGTGTGTTTTACTCCGCAGTCTTCAAAGGAGATAACTTCAATCTCGTAAACAAATGCAATCCCATGTAAGTTCCCTAACTGACGCACGGTATCAAAAGACACTCCGCTTTCCTTAAAATATCACCCAACGAAATTTAAAGTAAGAGTAATGTCACAGTGCGACTTCTATCTTTTACGCAAAATATTCGATTTTTTTGTACATCATGCGACATAATTTTTATAACCATAGTTTTCTGTTTTAGATAGCGGGACCTGGAGGACGCCTTCTCGTAACCGGCAAACCTGAATACCTAGGGCAAGTTTTAGCCTCACTTGCGGTTTCTTTGGGCACGCTTACTGCAGGACTGGGGAAAGGTTACAGTTCCCCAGCGATAGCCTCCTTGCAACAACGAGACGCAGATGCTTTTCCGGTCTCAAGACAAGAAGCTAGCTGGCTGGCAAGTCTCTCCATGTTAGGAGCATTTTTTGGTGCTCTCCTCGGTTGTGCCGCAGTTCGATGGGGAAGGAGACGCACACTTATTTTAACAGGCATTCCACTGTCGATCTGTTGGATCATCATAGCTTTCGCCGTCAGCGTGGAAGTAATGTGTTTCGCTGCCTTCGTCAGCGGCTTTTTAATTGCAATTGTCCAATTAGCCGCTCAAGTATACGTTAGCGAAATTGCGGCACCTTCCATTAGAGGCGGATTAAGCGGCATGCTTAAAGTTGCAGGCCATGCTGGTGTGCTGGTAGCATACGCAGCTGGCGCTTTCTTGGATTGGAGGCAGCTAGCGGGATTAATTTCTCTCGCTCCAGCAATAATGTGCGTAGTTATGTGGAAAGTGCCGGAGAGTCCTGGATTCCTGGTGCTCCGAGGCAGGGATGATGAGGCAGAGAAGTCCCTTCGTTGGCTGAGGGGCGAGAGTGCAGACTTACGGTTTGAGCTTGCTGTTTTGCAGGCTCATGTCCTGACTCGAACCGTTACGACGAATCATAAACTGCTTTTGCGGACCCTAACGACGCCAGCTCTCATCGCGTGTGGCTTGATGTTCTTTCAGCGTTTTTCAGGCGCTAACGCTTTCTATTTCTATGTAGTCAGTGTGTTTAAGGAAACGTTCGGTGGCACAAACCCTCATAGTGCAGCTGTTGCGGTCGCAATCGTCCAGTTTTTGTCGTCTCTGCTCTCCGGATTGCTGGTGGACAGCGTGGGAAGACTGCCGCTTTTAGTGGCGTCCAGCGTTTTGATGTCACTTGCGTTAGCATCCTTCGGATCTTTCGCTTATTACGAAGACGCACACCATAAAAACGTTCCAAATTTGGACTGGATACCCTTACTTTGCGTGTTGATATTTACTGTAGCTTTCTCTCTGGGAATTAGTCCGATTTCGTGGCTGCTGGTCACGGAATTGTTTTCGCTAGAACATCGAGGTTTAGGCACCGCTTTAGCCACAGCTTTCAGTCATCTGTGTTCTTTTGTAGGCGTTAAAACTTTTGTCGATTTCAAGGAGTTGTTAGGGTTACATGGAGCGTTCTGGTTGTATGCTGCCATTTCAGTTTGCGGTTTGTGCTTTGTTGTATGCTGCGTTCCGGAAACCAAAGGCAGGGATCTGACAGAGATAGATACGGTGAGGTGATCAAACGCCAGCGGGGGGAAACGTAAAATTTCTATCAGTGTAGTCGAGAGGTATTGCTGATTCTTTATTAGTACCTTTACTTTGTGATAACGAATGTACAATCGTGATACTTTCCCCCTGCAGTATCATTTTCTTAACATTACGTTTCAGAACATATCGATTATATAGAGAATTATTTCGTTAAAACAATAAAAACAATCTTTGGCGCCGAGCTTCAACTATACTACCTACCAAAAGTTTAAATAACTACTATATCAAAAAATATATCGTTAGATTATATCAACTGTTGATGAATTGTGGTCCATTTTGACAATACCACCGTTTGACAATACCAAGTAGACAATACTATTATACCTAATTAAAATTAAAATGCTAGAGTGACGATTGACTTAATCTTTAAAACACTTAGGTGCTATTTAGAAGCTTTAGCAGAGATAATCAATTAATGTACCTAATTAGTTGATAGAACATGCAATGTCCAGTGTCATCCCCACTAAGATTTTCTGCTTTGTCTCCAGCTGTTCAGTTATGTAAGTTCCAGTATTCACCACACAAAACCAACTGCTACAATAAAATTAATAATTGGGTTAAACAATTAAATAAATTAATGGCAAACAGTAGTCATTGTTCGACCTCAATTTCTACGAAATTACGGAGGCAAATAAGGAAGCTTCCAATAATGTCGTTTATTACCTTATATACTGAACAGCTGAATCCATTGTGGTTTAAACAATAAAGCTCAATCTAAAGTAGCCTATTTCCATGATAATATTTTACAATAGGTACTGTGTAAAATGAAACGTCTAGTCAACGACTGATGTACTCGCAGTCGTGGTTCTGGCGATAAAACTATTAAATTTTCCTATTGTTTGTATCATTATCGCGACAACTATTTATCACAACTGTGTTTGATAACGGGCATAAACAAACTTCAATCTAACTGAAGCCGTGTATACCCGTTCCACTTATTTTGTTACAATACAAACAAAGTTTGTTGTACGAATTCGTTTTAATAGTTTTTAGAAAAAATTATGAAGAAAAACTTTAAACCGATCAATAATGTTTTAAGTTTTTCGTACTGAATATTGTACGTAGTCATTATTATCGTCAATTATTGTCAGTTGTTACATTATCTATAATGTTTACGGTAAAGCTTTTAAAACATCGTGAAAGCTTGTACCTAAATAAACAGGTAATGTGATGAAACAAACAGCAGGAAACATTATGTAATATGTATTACTTCCGCTAAACTGTAACTACAAATACAAACATACTATTTATTACAAATAAATCTATTGTTCATAGCTGGTCTATGACATTATGTGATGTTTATGAATGAACAAAAGTGTTTATTGTAAAACAAATTACTTAGTAAGTTTTGTGAATGCTTCGACAATAATTTTTAAAAGCTCCCTTTTTATAATAGTTTACTTTGTACTAGAAGATTTATTACGAAATAAAGAATGATGAGACAATAAAATTTCGTTTATTTTCTTTCTAACGCTCTCGAAATTCATTAACAAACCAAAACCGCATGTCAGATAAGAATACAAAACTTTTGTAAAAAATAAAAAACAAATACCCAATTAAGTCCGAGAAATATATAACCCCTTTTATTTATTAAAACTTTAATTTGTATCCAGAGAACAAGCTTCTATATTGTGAAATATAAAACAATTAATTGTCAATTTCGAATTTCTCGCAAAACATAAAAAATTCAACCTTTCCCAACATTTAATTAGTCTAGTCACGTAGTAGACACAATAAAAGTTTAATTTTCCCTTCTCTGTAAGCAACCTACGAATATTACATAAATTAAGCTCAAACACTTTTAAAGTGTAGAGCTTTAAGTTTGGTAATAAAAGCAAAAAATAAACAACTAATAAAAAAGAAATCGGACGTTCTGTTTAAGTTGGGTGAACACAAACTTGACGAATACTACTTCGACTACCTGGTATTCCGAGATTATAGTAACACTATGACTAGTAATAGATAATAAATATATTTATAGCAGAACCAACATAACAAAGTTTTTTGAAATTTTAGTAATTCTCTAACATTAATTTAATGACTACAGAACATCACACTTATTTTTTCATTATTCTTTTATTTATTTTATCGTTTCTTTGACACAAGCTGATTTTACTGTAGTATCTCATTTCTGACAAAAAAAGTTGAGAATGGTTCTCCTGTAATTTTGTACGCTAAAAACAGCGTTCCGAAATTTCCATAAATACCTTAAGTGAGATACGGATTTGTAGATATACGTGATGAAAAATTTCACCAAAATTTTAGAAATAATGGTGATGATAAACAGTTTTTAAAAAACTGTCCTTGTGTTATAAGTGTAGCGAAAGTTGTGAACCGGTTACAATTTAAATTTCATAATAATAAATAGATCTCTTAATAATAATAGAGACATTACGTTCTGAAAATGTAGTGAATACCCCACAAGATCCAAAAGTAGTAGTAACGTGTAGCAGAAAGAAAGGAACCCTACAAGTTATTATATGTGTGCAAATTCCACGATTTGGATTATTTAATGCTTGTTACCACATATATATTTTTTAATTATATCTGTTATAAACGGTTGTATCATAAAAAAATAAGCTGGGTCTAATGAGGAATGTACGTAATAAAGTGAACATAATTTGACGAACGCAAATCAGGCGAAAAAATATGTATGTTGTAAAACGAAAAAAAAACAGAGTAGGGAAATGGTCTTTGTTCAAAAGTAAAAAAGGCTATAAGCATGGTTTATAAGTAGTTAGTTACTAATGAGGTGTCATTGCACAGTATAATTATGCATAGTTTTTTTATTAATGTTAAGTTATTAATTCTCAATAATCTACACAATTAATGACGACAATTTTTACAGTTGCCAAATTTAATTTTTTGACCAAATAAATGTCTGTTTCATGTTCACTTGTCAGAAAACAGGACTTGCTTACACTGAAATGTATTAAAAATAACTAACATTTTAATAATCTTTTTAACAAGCAATATTGCAAAATTGAAAAAAAAATGACTAATTCTACACTGACCGGCAAAAAAAAACCGGCCACCCTAAAAATTTTGCAAAACCAAGCTTTAAAAATTATTAATTTAACTAGTGATCGTCATTTTATTAAAGAACCATTCACTATTGACACATGAGGTATAAATTAGCAAAAAAAAGGAAGCCAATTAAACGCAGAATTAAATTTAATAACAGAAACAGAGCGACACTTTGAGAGACGTCTGTAAGAGTTGACGGAATTATTTTCGCGTGAAAACGTTTATTAATTGCCAAACTTATAATCAAATGACGAAAAACATTCTTTACAACAAGAGCCTCCTTTACTGTTTTTTTTTTAAGAAAATATCGTACTTGGTCTGTTATTGTGTTAAATTGTGAATTATTCTTTAATAAAATAACGATTACTAGTTAAATTAATAATTTTTAAAGTGGTTTTGCGAAATTTTGGCCGGTTTTTTTTTTAATAATAATGAAAAAACTTTCAGAGTTTAAGTAATATATTCGTAGTCACTGCTAAACGTGTTTCGGTACACAGTACCGTCTTCAGGCAGAAGAGAAACTGTTTTTTTGCCGGTCAGTGTATTTATATTACAATCTGTGATGTCTGCTACATCATTTTCCTACTAAAAATACTTCGCTTTTGCTTGTATTTTCTGCTTCACTTTGATTAATTATTTCTTTTGCATATATTTCTTCAAACACAACACATTTATCAATAAAAAACTTATAAACTGCAAATAATATAAAATATATAACACACCTATCAGAAACAAGTCTTTGTTTTGAGGTATTTTTCAAAACTTTATTTCAAATATTATAAACAGCAGCAACTTTGTTGTTAATTTTAATTGCATTAAATTCCCTTACTGTCCAAAAATTTTAATATTTTCTACTTGCCATCTTTTATTATTAATTTAAACAGCTGGAATTCACTTATTATAGTGTGACTCTACAATGAGGGTCGAACTTTTGACATTTGTAAATTAATTACATATATGTAAAAACTACGGGTGAGGTAGTTAATATTTTGTAGTTTTTCAAACCCTGGCTATAAGGTCACTTACGTCACTAGAGGAATTCGTTCACCAGATGCAACCAAAGAGATGGCATTATGCAACTCAATATACTTTAAACATATGCCAAGGATAATAAAAAACGTATCCGCTTCCACTATAACAGTTTACAATTTTATTCGTATAGGTACATTTTAAATTTTATAAAAGCAAATTAAAATTTTGTGTATGCAACCAACAATATAGTAGAAAGTGATAATACGGGATGAACGTAGTATTTGGATTTCTCGTCCATTCTCCCAATTTTCAAACAATTTTCCGGTTTACCTAACTTCCGTTCGTCACAAATTATGTTCGCCTTTATAAATAGGGAACCACACTGCATTCATAGCGAGTCCGTCTCTGCACACGATCTCGGAAAATGATGCAATAAAACAGATATATACATAAAACTCTTGTTGTTAATTTTTAATAATTATAAACAACGCGAGAGAAAGATTGAAATTAAAATATTACTACAACGGTTGTTTTTTTTTTTTTTGTAACAAGATAAAACTGTTATCAACATCTCTCTTTACCTGATTTACCTCTGTTTCTTTCTAGTGGCACGTTCCAACTTTGATGTCTGACGTCACATGACTAGAGCTAACCAATAGGCAATCGCCAAATACTGTAGATGTTGACAAGCGATAAATATGTCATAATTGTAGAAAAACCGAGATATAATAATATTTAGCCTACCAGTCTGTATATAGCATCATCAATCGTAACAATAAACAACAGCCAAAGTGGAGTTAAATAAAGAAGACATGGAAACATTACCAATTACGTTGATAGTGAAAGCGCCTAATCAACAAATTGAAGATCAAACAATCAAATGTGAGCTGTCATGGACTATTAATAAACTTAAACAACACCTGTCTGAAGTCTACCCTAGCAGACCAGTAAGTATAGTTTTTCAAGTAGTCTGCATTGTGTTTAACGTTGCCCATTGTAGCCAAAAAACGAGCAAAAGTTGATATATTCCGGCCAACTGCTAAATGACTCGGTCACATTGAAAGATGTTTTACGACAATATGATGGTCAGGAGACTCATACAGTACATTTAGTTTGCACTCCAAAGCATACGAAAACTCCAAGACAAGACTCTGTAAGGCAACCGGTTCAACCAACGATGGGTAGTAGTAATCCTTCGCCACATGTAACACAACCTAATAACTCCACAGAACAGAACGTTCCTAATATGCCTTGGGCCAATGGTTCGAATATGGATCCCAACCAATATGCAATGCAAATGGCTTGGATGCAGCAAACATATCTACAGTACATGACACAGTATATGCAGTTGTAAGTACAATCATCATTGACCTTGATTCTTCACACCTATTAATTATTTAACCTTTGAACTGTAAATTCTGACAATAGAGTTAAAATACAATGAAATGAAATTAAGAAATGGATTATAAAATTAACATGTATGTCATGTGATAGATAATTGCGTGATTAGCAAATTACAATCACAACATTATCAAACTGATTTTATAGTCAGCATAGTGGCACAAATTGAAATACTTATGTCAGGTTTTAATGAAAATGATATTAAATTTAAATGTGTGTTGTTCATAGAGCTGCAAATTCTTACGGAACTGGTCCAATTCCCGCAACACAGCCAAATGCCGCCGCACCCGATCCGCAGCCCCGACAGAATCCTCCAGAGCAACCAGCTGCCCAAGCTCCAGCAGCAGTACAAAGAGATCCAGATAACCCAGAAAGAGATTGGTTGGATATGTTTTACATGTTTAGCAGATTGATGGTCCTTTTCAGTGTGGTGTATTTTTACTCAAGCCCATTACGTTTTGTGTTTGTGCTTTTGTTGGGCTTCACTCTTTATTTATACCAAATTGGATTTTTCAGAAATATCAATAATAACAATAATAACAACAATAATGTTGTACCACCAGAACCAGTGCCACAACAAGAGCAAGCACCATCACGACTAATGATTGTTTGGACATTTTTTGCGACGTTTTTTGCTTCTTTGATTCCAGAAATTCCAAACGCAATATAACTATCTAAGTGAAAGTATGGGAAAGGGAAAGTTTGTTCAAAATTTCATTTCATCTCTAGGTTTGACTCCAAATTCATAGTGAAAGATTCCTTGGTTGTTTTACAGATCTGCTGATATTAATGTAAATGCAAATACCAAATTATCATTAAAATGTTTATATTACATGTTGTATAGCTTTTAATGTACATATTATAGCTTTAGAAACAAATGTGATTTATATGATAAGTATGTAAGTATATTTTTGTTTTATTTATAAAAAATATTTGTTGTAACAACCAAGTTCCAATAAAGGTTTTTTATTATAATTTAATCTGATACCCTACCAGACCATAAATTATAATGTGGGAAACTGATGATATGAAAATTTTGAAGACTTGAAAATTGAACTGATTCACTATACCTTTTTTAATCAGGAAAGTTTTCAGTTGATAGTATTTGTGCCCCACTTAAAGGCATATTTATGTCATGGTCTGTGTGCGCTGTTAACTCTTGAGAGACCTCAGAAACTTCCACAGATTTTGCAATGTTACCACCTAATTCCTCCTGGGATTCAAGAGATTCAACTTGGCTTTCTAATTCTGCAAGTACAGATGGGTCACTTTCAAGTGTTACATGCTCATGAGGTTCATGGCTCTCTTGTGAGAAACTAGCAATTTCCATAGTTTGTCTAAGTTTTTCCCTTCTAATTTTTTCAGCCCTTTCTTTATTTAATCGAATTCTCTCCAATTGTTCCTCACTTACATCTACAGGTGGTTGTAAACTTGGCATTTGTATTAATTCATCAAACTGATCATTTAGAATTTCATTAAATTGATCAACTGGAATTTCATCCGTTTCTGAATCATCATCTTTATCAAGGATTGGTTTGTCATCAAATAACATATCAAACCTAATTTTTTTAATGTGAGTCTAAAATAGCAAAAAATGTATACAATGCTAGAGTGAAGACATTAATAACTTACCAACACAGGCTTCTTAGTTCCTAAACTTTCAATTTTTGATATACACTCATCAAATGGATATTTTGGAAACAAACGATGACACCAGTATTCATAAGTTTTTAAAATTACTCCCAAGTCTTGTTCTTCATGTCCACGGCCCTTAAATTTCACTCGATCAAAATATGAATCCAAAGTTGCTAAACCACGTTTTCCCTTGAGAGTTTCCGCATTAAGCTTGGGTTGAGGATTTCGAATAACTCTCTTTGGTTTTACAGTTGTTTTGTTGGCTTCTTCAGCAGTTTCGCCTTCTTCGTTTTCAGCCTGAACTTCCGCTGCTTCTTCAACGTTATCTTCTTCAAACCTTTCCAACTCGTCATCAAGATCTAGTGGCAAGTCTTCGTCCTCACTCATCCTTAACTTTGTTTATTTAGAATATAATCTACACAATGTTACTGATATACAATTTCACATTTACCGTGTAAGATGGATAAAAACACTTTTCGTTTTCCCGCTTTATTGTGACATTTTAAAGTTTTAGGTTATGTTACAAAATATTTTATATATAAATTATTTTAATGCTTAAATTCATTTATGACATATATTTATGAACACCATTCTTCTTCGGGTATGTTGTTATTGCCATTCGTCGTCACAAATTTTTCGAAAGCTTTATCAGACGCATTTATTCTAGACAGGAATGATTCCAGAAGATTTTTATTCAACTTATCTGTCAAAGTAATTTCGGCTTCAACCACATTTTCTTTATTTTCCTGTGGTAAGTCTTTGGTTTTCGATGATGGTTGTTCATAATCTTTGCTGGGCATTTTACCTTTTCTTGGTTCTTCTACTAAATTCAATTTTAACAGCTAGGTTACCTTTCTAGATAAATTGACAATGGATGACATGATACATGATGGCCGTATGATCATATTCGTGTGCACCTTTCGTAAATATTCCAAGAGATGGCGTGCGACTTGAAAATTAAGTAATAAACTTTAGATCTTTACTTAAGTATTTGAAAGTAACAATAGAAGTATTACTTCTTTAAAACTAAATAAGCTTAGTGCATGCGTATACATTACTTTGTAGGCAACGTTCATCTAAAATTTAGTACCTTATGTGGTAGTTCTACTAGATCCCTTTTGACATTCTTTATTTTGCAAGGTTCTACTTGTAATTAGTTTTAATAATTAGAATATAATTCGTGTCCTACTAGCCATCCGTATCGTCAGTCAAGCGTATTTTTTCTTTTAACGTTTGTTTACATGATCCACCGTGACGTTCTTTACAATAGTCACCGCAAATATTTTATTCACATGATTTTTAATAACACGCTGTTCATAAATCCAACGAATATGTATTGCTGGAGTTTTAATTAGTGACCATACTGCTGATAAACTTAATTGGTATTAGTTAGTATTACAGCATGTACATATCTGATGATTACGTATACCTACAGTAATTGGTTCATGTTCAATAACTAGATTTCAAATGTCTGCCATACATTTTTACTTCTAAATATTTATGATTAGTATTATTACATTCTTAAAAAATTGTTCTAAGAAAGCACAAACAAAAGTGTGAGATGTCCTTGAAAAAAAAAATTATATTAATTTCTGCATTATTGCAGAGTTCAATAAATTTCCCTCTACTAAAGTTTGTGAGTCCTCTAAAATACGAGATGGGTATCCAGACAATAAATTAAAGTTTCTAGTTTGATACTGAGGTCTTGCTGTTTGAATGTACTGACGAACATCTCCTACTGTGTGAGTATGATTAAACTGTTCAACAAGCCTTGATCCATCAGATAAACGGATTTGAATGCTACAATGTAATCAATCAGTATTGAAATATAGCTGATAATAATATACAAACTTAGTTGTTGGCTTAGAAGAATCAACATTCAACGCCTCTTTGGCACGAGCTTCATTTGCAGGTTTATCTTCCTCTCTCTGCGCACCAATAACAGGTGGTGCGGGACTACCTAATGTATACCCTTGACCTGTAAATGGTTTGATTCCTGCATCCCCACCCTTTCTAAACATTTCTGTTCTATGATCCTCCATTGCTAGATAAACCTACATATAATTGTTTACACATTAGTTACAATTTTCACTTTAAAACATTAAACTCCACCACTTTTTTACTACATTAGCGTATCTGCATACCTCAGAAGTGCCTTGGCGTAACTCTTGAGGAATTTCACCTCTTTGGATACTCTGCAAAAATTCAGTATTGGCTGGATCTGTATATGCTCTTAAATCTCCATTATTCACAGTAAAGCCATCTTTCCACAATTTTAAAGTAACTTCCGGGGAAGAAGCTGGTCCTGCAGCCCCTGGAACTTCCACTGAATCATCAGCAGTTTGACCCAATTTATATCCTCTTCCTTTAAAAGCCTTCGAACTACCAGGTTTCTGGTCAACAATTTCAACTCCATGCCTGAAATAAAACACTTAATTGTTTTTCACTGTACTATAAAATGATTTCATACTTCTGCACAGATTTAAACACTCCCGAAACTATATCTTTCTTTTTCGAAGGCCCTAAAACTTGTTGGCCACTATGTTCTGATCCCCCTGCATAAAAAGCTTGGCCTTCTTCATCTTCCTCATCACTTGAACTCACCAATGAATTCAAAGTGGCAAAATTTGAATTAGTTGTTTTCGATTTTGGTTTAGGGGGAGTCACTGGATGTTGTTCCTCTGTTTCACTTGTTTCTTGAACTGGTGCACTTTCTTCTACATCTAAGCCATCGTTTTCATAGTATCTGCTGATAGCTATCTATAAAAATGTTTTTTGAGTTTTCCTTTTTTTTTTAATTTGAACATATTACATCGAGTTTCCATGCAGAGGACTCTAGATAAAACTTTGCTCTATCTTCGTCAACACCAGTTATAGCCGTAAATTGAGATAATAACTCTGGATTCTCACTCATTGTGGATGTAATTATTTCCACAAACTTGCTAAAACACGTAAAAACTGTCTAAAACAAAAATTTCTAATAATCATCCTAACCTCAAAATCCGGTAAACTAATATTTTGATGCAAAATTAGCGGTAATATAATTTTTATTCTTACCTCTTTAATAACAAAACTATGCGTAGCAAGTAAGAATTTTATATATTCACTTTCTTCTGTTTACTTTTATGCGATTGGGTTCAATTTGCCATCGTATTTTATTAATCTGAAAAAAGGAGTGTGTAGAATGACGAGTAAATTGACAGTTCTGTGCAAAAGTGCACATGACAATAAAATCCCATAATGCAATAAGGAGCAAAAGACCCAATGGGATATGCGAAAAACAAAGTTATTTAAATAAAAATAAAAAATAATGGAGAAACAATAAATACCAGTGATTTATTAATTGGTGCCAATTCACATTTTCATTGTATTTATTATTTTTATCTTTGAAAAAAATGGAATGGGTTTTTATCTAATGAGAATAGGAACAGTTGATGTCTATTTATGTAACGGTGGTTATTATGTGGTTCGAACATAACCTAAGTTACTTAACCTAATTTAACAAGTAAAAATCTCGAAGGAAATGCAGGTTTCGAGCGAGTAAATTACATAATTACGCACATGGCGTTATACAAAAGGTTTTTCGAGTTGACTCCATTCCTCAAGTCAATGGAATTGCATTACACGTGTCATCGGATATGGAAAATGCAAAAATTGATGGTTTTGTTAAAACATTCTCAATTATTTTGTACTTATTCTTATCCGTTTAATAGTATATGTAGCAACGTTATAAATGTAGGAACATATAGGCAATTAAGTGCGGCGAAATTCCATACAAGTTCAGTGATTTGGAAGAGACGAAAAACAGGTGAAGAAAAGGTTCATTCAACACCAGAGTTAAAACTTAAACTTATTGAACATATTTGTAGAAAGTAAATCGAATTCTTGAGTATCCAAAAGTTAAAGGAGAAGTTGTTGAAGTGTGGAATAATATAACAGCTGAAGAACTTGCAAAAGTACTAAAAAAAGACTTCAACTACATTAGAGATATATTTCTTGATGAAATAAAAAGTCCAAAAACTGTTATAAGTGATTTAAAATATCTTCAGCAGGGTCTAAGGCGCAGTGGCCGTCGAATGAAAATTATAGCAAATCCATCTAATAACAAAGAACAGATCATTGTGGACAAAGATGTCTTTCCAAGACCCCCTGCTTCAAAATCTGAACTAAAAAGCAGACCTCCAGTTGTTACAGTAATGGGTCACGTTGACCACGGTAAAACCACCTTACTTGATGCTCTTCGACATTCTAGTGTTGTAGAACAAGAATTTGGTGGTATTACTCAACATATTGGTGCCTTCTCAGTAACTTTAGATTCAGGTGCTAAAATAACTTTTCTTGATACTCCAGGACATGCAGCTTTCAGTGCAATGAGAGCTAGAGGTGCATTTGTAACAGATATTGTGGTATTAGTTGTGGCTGCTGATGATGGAGTTATGGAACAAACTTTAGAATCAATTCGAATGGCCAGAGAAGCTAAAGGTGAATATCTGAAATAGCGGAATGTGAAGAAATAATAAAAGCAACTGTTTTCAGTACCTATACTGGTAGCTATAAATAAAATTGATTCTCCAAAAGCAGACGTTGGTAGAACAGAACAAATGTTAGTAGAAGCAGGTATCCAAATAGAGAAATTGGGTGGCGATGTTCAAGCTATACCAATTTCGGCGTTAAAAAAGCAAAATCTGAATTTACTTACTGAAGCTTTAGTTCTACAAGCAGAACTGCTTGAAGTAGGTGCAGATCCTAGTGGTCCTGTTGAAGCTGTAGTTGTTGAAAGCAGATTAGATTCAAATAAAGGAAAACTGTGTACTTGTATAGTACAAAGGGGTAAGCAATTCACATTTTTTGCTATAACTTGTTAACTAATTTTAAAAGAAAAAAAAATGCTGAGTTATTTAAAAGAACTTACCTCTTCATTGAAATATATAACAATTATGCATGCATAAAAGAGGGTATTCTTCAATAAACATTTTTTAGTAATTGTTTGTCAGGATAATTTTAATATATGTATGTACTGCAACATTACCATAACGTTCTATGAGTCGTTTTTGAACAAATTAATTAATATGCTTTAACTTTACCCACCACCTAAAACAGGAAATTTCAGAAAAGATTTACACTGTGAAAATATCAGTGTGTTTTACACACGTCGTCTTAGAAGTAAAAAATGTTTCAAAAATCGTTAGCGTTAAAAAGTTCATTAAGGTATAAAACATCCTGCGAAATTTTAGTAATTTTTACAAATATTTCACCAAGTTAAAAATGAGTATTTTCAGGAATCCTCACGAAAGGCAATATTCTAGTCGCAGGAACTGCCTTCTGCAAAGTTCGAAATCTTCATGATGCTGAAGGTAAAGTTATGAAAGAAGTTTTTCCTGGATATCCTGTAGAAATTGAGGGTTGGAAAGACTTACCTGCTCCAGGCGAATTAGTGTTGCAAGTAGAAACAGAAAAACGAGCTAGAGACGTAGTGAAATTTCGTCAAGATAAACTTGATGCTGAAAAATTAGAAGAGGACGCTGTTATGATTGCTGAAAAACGAGCCCATCATGAAAAGGAATACTATGAGAGGTTAAAACTGAAGAGAAGTTTGGGAAGGTACAAACTTAAAAATGATGGCCCTCGAAAACCAGAAATTCCTAAAGGTAATTTCGTGGAAATAACCGACTTTTTTTTTTTTGCATCACCCTGTATAAGAAAATCAAAAAAATATGAATGCAAATGCAATAATTTCAGAATTGTACGGTATATTTTATTGAACGATAAAAAAAAAGCAAAATAAGAATGAGAAACGATACTGTAAACAAAACTCAGGCGGCAGCTCTTTGTGCAGGTGGCTGCCTGGCTACAAGTCATAAATTAGTCGAAGACGAAATACGAAATCGTATTTTTGTAATAACCAAATTAAAAACAAATTTTATTTTCCGTTACATTTAGGCCAGAAGGGGTCCTTTAACTTCGGGGGCCTGATGGTCCAGCATCACAAGCATATCCGTATAAACCGTCTCTGCACAAATATACCACACATATATTTACAGCACATTATCAACGGGAATAGTGGTATCTGAGCAATATGCGTAGTGTTTAAAATGTTTATGTTTATACATCGGAAGAATGTCACGTAGACATTTGTTTGATTTTAAATAATTTATCGTCTCAAAACAGATGACTAAAATTATTAATAAGCCTCAATTGAACAAAATATTGTAAATTTTATTATTGTAATTCTTACCTTATCAATGATAAGGTCTTTATAACAATAAAATAATATTTTATTGTTATAAAGACGAGTGTATTCTCATATTTTCGAGAATAAATATTCATTTCACGCATTCATTAATTTTTTTGTCATCCTGTATAAGTAAATCCCTAATCAATTTTTTGGGGTTGATAAACAGATACATTTTAGTTAATAAAAAGTTACCCAATATGAGTTCAGTGATAAATCACAAGTATTGACTCATCGTATTTTCTACAATTTAGATAGGATTTATTCGGCAAAATTTTGAGCTGACGTCATCAATTTTTTGGAGGGGATAAGTAAATATATTTTGATTAAAAATTTATCATGCGTATCATAACCTTAAAACATCTGCAAGATTTCAAAATATTCGGTTTTGCAGATTCAAAGTTGAATTGCAAAATGTTTTATAATTTTGTTTTTTTCCAAAAATCTGGACGTTTCGGGTAAAAACTCAACACGAAGTCATAAACTATTGTTTTTTCCATTTCTATTGAAACACCACCTGTTGATTTCGCTTAAAAATTAGCAATTGGTAACAGCTTTCGGTTGATTGACAACGGTTTTTAGTTAGAAAATTGTCTGAATATGAACGTTGCCAAATTTACGATTAACAAGTGGTGTTTCAATAGAAATGGCAGGGACTTTACACGTGTAGGACTGTGTTATTTTAAACAATTTAAAACCCATTTAATTTACTATGTACAATTTTGAAGTGACGTCATCACATTATTGGTGGGGATGATTAGACAAATTTTGGTTAGCGTTTTACCATCTACATGATATTCCTAATATAAATACAAAATTTGAAAACAATCAGCCCAATACTTTCGGAGATAATCTGTCTAACAAAAATCCGTGACGGCAGACAGACGGACGGACGGACAGACAGACAGAAAAGGGAGACCTTTTTTGCTGACTAAAAAGACAAGATATTTACGTTTAGATTAAACAAAGGTGTAAGAAAATAGTAAATATTTATTTTTTCTCGATTATTACAGACGATGATCCAACACCAGCTTTAAACGTAATTTTGAAGAGTGATGTTGATGGAACTTTGGAAGCAGTTTTAAATGCGTTGGATACATATGATCAAGATGGGTGTAAAATGGATTTAGTTCACTATGGAGTGGGATCTGTAAGTGAAACTGACGTAGAGTTAGCACAAATTTTTAAAGGAATCATTTACGCTTTTAACGTAAATTGCAATCCCAACATCATGGACTTAGCTGAGAATGCAGGAGTCCAAATAAAGTTTTATAACGTCATATATAAATTAGTAGATGACGTTAAAGAAGAAATTAATAAAAGATTGCCTGAGAAAGAAGTAGAGGAAGTAGTGGGAGAAGCAACCGTTTTACAACAATTTGAAGTTAATCAAGGAAAGAAAAAAAATCCTGTGGCGGGTTGTAGATGCGTTAAAGGCACTCTAAGGAAATCTGCAATGTATAAAGTGATACGAAATAACAGTATAATACACATTGGTATGTATTACTATTTATAAGTTTTGGTTTAATTTGAATTATTTTTAGGTCAGCTGTCATCCATGAGACACCTAAAGGACGAAGTAGATACTATTAAAACCAACACCGAGTGTGGGTTGCAATTGCTAGATAAAACGATAACGTTTGAACCAGGCGATTCTATTATATGCTATCAAATTAAAATGGAACGTCAAACAACAATGTGGGATCCGGGTTTTTAATAAAATAAACTCTCATCCTTAGGTCGCTTTTTTTAACATTTATATCAATTAACATAAACAAACTACTTCGCATTGTTATTTACTTAGCAGTAGACAAAACGTTAAAAATTACAACGTATTTTATGAATTTGAATTCGCGGCCATTTCTTGTAACAAACTCATTAATTTATGAAACCTACTTTTTATTTCTACCACTGACCTATTCTGCAGCACTTTGGAAATTTGTTTAAATGTTTCCTCATTATTATTACTTTGTCGAAATGCTTGCAGAATAATTTTATCTTCTTCTCTCGTCCATGACGCATTTTGCCGCGTCAACTGAACGTTTGCTAAATCATCAGAATCTTCATCTGTATTGGTAATATCCTGTGAAGACTCAAAAAACTCTGCAACTAAAAACATAAATCAAGATTTCAAAAAAAAATACTGACTGCAACTTACCACTTCCAGATTCTCCACTATGGTCAGAACTTACTTTCAATTCGGCATGTTCAGGAGGTTCAGAATATTCTATCTCTTGTTCTTCCGCTGGTCGTTTCTGTTGCCCCAAACTCGAACCAGGCTTGGTTTCCGGAGTTTTTTTTGTAATAGGTCGTTTTTTGCTTTGTCGTTTTGGTGAACTTTTGGCACCTTTCGCGGTTTCCGACTTTATTTTTCCACAAGTTTTAGAAACTGACTTTTTGGATTCTTTCACATTAGGTTTACTTCCATCCTTAATTTTACGTTTTCGTGGCGTTTTGGTCTTTTGATTCTTTTTTTTATTTTCGTCGTCTTCACTTTCGTTACTATTCTGTAACTGATTTTTAAAATGTTTACTAGACATTAAAATGTTTACGAGGAAGTACTGTTTAGGTGACTGACACTGTCGGTCTTACAAAATTGTATTAACATTACTTAAATATTGTAAATGTAAATGCTTGTCGCGCCATCTGTACCAAAAGAGACAAAATGCAACTCGAAACGTCATTTTTGTACTTTATGTAAAAAGAAATTTTGTATGATTGAACGTTCTATCGGAAAATGGCGAAACTAAATCTAAAAGATATAGCCGTCAATCCTGGTCAAACAAAAACTAAACTCAAACAAATCAACATAATGTCATCTAGTTGGTCAAATCCAAAATTATTATATTATTATAACTTACTTCCTCATTTGTATGATTCTCCTTACATGGTGACGTAACTTGTTTATTTGGACTAACTTCAGTACGTTTACGTTCTGCAGCAGCTAGACGTTTGGAATGATCTTTTTCCGAATTTGTCAGGAAAGAAACTACAGCAGGCCTCAATCCTTTTCCTGTTTGAATATATATCTTTCCTTGGATAAACTACAACTAAAAATTTTAAACCATTTCAAAAGCATTTTGTTACTTATACCTTTAGGCCACACTGCTTACAGTGATGAGACCTTGATTTAAATTGCACATTTTCAACATTGTGACATGGACAGATACAGTTGGATCCCCCATATGGATCATCTGTGTCAGGGAAAGTAACTGTTTCACAGATATCTTCACCAGGTTGCCTTGCAAGTTCTTTTGAAATGTCTATGGCCTCATAAGGAGCTGATGTTAACCTATTAAAATGCACCTTTCTATGTAGTTGACATGGCCAAATTAGATAGGTCAGGACACTATCGTGAAAAAGTTAGTATCAAAAAGCGCATATGAACTTTTGACTGATTCAAACTTCTGAGTAAATGAGTGAAGTGCCCCAACCCACCTCTCCACAACCGTGATTACTAGATGAAAAACTACATACATTTTTGGTGGTCTTTCACATGGGAAAATTTGTAGGAACCAATCAGTTAAAGCTGCATTTCCTTTAAATAACGGGATTACAGTAGTTTTTATAATGTCCATTGTTATATCAGGATTTTCAGACAAATCTGTTATACACTTAATAATTTTTTTTAACTGTGATGGTTGATCTTTGAAGTAGACATGTAATTTTTTAATAAATCTATCCATATCTTTTATCAGAAAATACGGCATGAGTTGCCCAATCTTCTGAGCTTGAATCTTTGTGAGAAACAGATAAAATTCTTCAGCCAGTTCTACATATTTTGGAAAGAGTATAGATTGTACATTTTTAAATAGTTGTAAAAATTCACCACGAGATTCATCATAATGGCCTAAAATACGAACCATCTTGTCAAAGTCTGCCACCGTAAGCGTTTCTCTAAGTTTGTCAAAAAAGGCATCTGCAAAAACTTTGAAAAAATTTCAGTTACTAATTGTTTTAAAGTATAAATAAAATTACATTCTTCTTTTTTATTTTGAGTTTGTAAATCGTCTGGAGTAGCCATCATTAGATTAGACACAAATTCTCGCCTCACTTTTGTCCGTTTTTTCTCTGCTCCTGATGGTTTCTTTTTCGTTACATTTTTTACTGTTGCACTTGCTTTCATTAACTCATTAATGTCATCTGGGTTATCCTAGAATGAATTTATAAAGTACACATACTGAAATGTTAACAACACGTTACCTTCTCTGTTGAATTAGGAACACTTGAATATGAAGAATCAGTCTGACTAGGATCTGTTTGGTTTGCACCATTACGAAATTCACTAATACCTTCAAAATTTCTTCTAGCTTTGTTCAGGTTGTTGGGATCATATGCATGAAAGTATGAAGCAATATTCTTGAATGATAAACTTTCTTCTTTCTTGCCATCCACATTTGTATTGTCTTTCACGCTAGTTCCATCTGTTTGTGAATTGTCATTTTTTAATGGTGTGTTACCGAGACTGGGCATATCCGGCAACATCGTGCTTTGTAATTTACTAACTCCGCCAGTTGAACTTATATTATTGTTATTTTCTTTACTATAACCCTTTAAAAGTTTTTTTCTTCTTGCAGTAGTGTGCTTTGTTTTTCTAGTGCAAGCGACAATGGGTAGAAGAGTTTTTGGTAATATTCGTCTATTACCAGTTGTTGGTTTTGAAAAATTTATGTTGGGTTGAGGCACTGCTTGAATCACTGGTTGTATGAATGGATAAGATAGATATACTACCCGATTGTTAATACCACTGTACGACTGATCGGATATAAATCTCGATTCATTCTAAAAAAAAGTTGAAAGTTATATAAAGTATAATTCTGTTTTAAAATAAAGTCACAATCAATAAATAACTGCAGTTCATCGTATTTATAGATATCACATAATTGCAACGACAATCGATGTTGACAAAACAACGCCATTTCCAAACTGACAAATGACAATTCAAATAATAACGGAAATCCCATTACTTAAAATTGCCATTGGTTATAATTTACATACAATAAATCCAAAACCTGGCCAAAACTAAAATATTTTCATCTGCTTATCAAATTGTTAGTGAATTATTTGCTTTATATAAAAGTGGAGGAATAGTTCTTAGATCAAAATTGGCAACCGGATTTTTTTGCTCTCTAACACATTTTCACTGTTTTTGCCAACTTTCAAATTATGCTATCAAAAAAAGCATTATCTAATTTAATAAATAAAAAAAAAAACAAGCAACAATTTAAAACAAAAAAAACATACCTTTTCGTCTGGATAGATAAACTTCCGCCATAGGTATGGCAACAACTCTGGCTTTTGCTTGCAAGGTGGTAACACACTTTCAGCATCCATAGGAGCCACATAATGAACACTGGGAGGTGCCTTTTTAGTACGATACAGAAATTGTATTGGATTTTCGTCACTACTTGGATGTTTTCTGTTTCTAATATGTCTTACAAGTTTTGTGGATCTCACATTTGGTATTAATATTTGAGACATCAATTGACAAACACGTTCCATATTAATTTTCTTTTGATATGTTAAGTAAAAAGGATCTTGTCTTAAGTATGGGAGTGCTTGTTCTAGGAACAACGCGATCAAACTAAAATTAAAATTAGTTTAATAGTTGAAAAAATTATTCAGAAATATTTTACTTTTCCTCGCCGCGCGTAAAAAATTTGTATGAGCCTCTAACATGTAATGATTTGAAAGGTATTCTTGGAAGTAAATTTGGATAAATAAAAACGTCGCTACTGGAAACAGTTTTCATTAAAAGTGGTGGAAATGTTACAATATATTCCCTTCCTGATAACCTTGCCTCTATTCTATAAGAATACTGCTAGATAAAAAAAAAAACTCAAACTGTTGTAATACTTACGACTCACTAATTACTTTATCGACATATCTACAAATACAACAGTTGTACTAATAAATACACACACATTTAGTACAAACCTTATACATTCTCTAACTTCTTCATTCCCTGACATGAATAATTTTTCCCAACCACTTATTAAATTCATTGCAGGTTTTAAATTTATTACATCATAAACAGAATTATCTTTTATTTTAGTCTCTGCAACCATCTCATTCTACAAAAAATATCATAAAAATGAAGCACTCTTTTATTAATCAAAAGAAACTTACCAGCATTTCTTTATATTTAAAAGCTTGATCAGAAAATTCTGGATGTTCATAAGACAACAAAAAACTCTGAGTTAGCATCTGCACATGTTGTCTTATCTGTTGTGTTAATATTGATATTTGATATTTTTTTATTGAAATATTAGGGTCATTGTCTGAATCAGAGTGTGAACTGTTCTCATTTTCAACTCCTTCTCCACTCTGATCTAAAGGCAAATTGTTGCTTGCTGCGTTTTTTTCAGTCAATTTGTTCGATTCATAAATATCTGCAAACTCAAATAGCTCTGCCATCAAACGGTTAAGCTCTTTTCGAGAAACTGTAACTGCTCTGTCTGCCCTTAATTCTTCCCTGTCCACTGCAATTTAAAACAGTTAAAAAATAAAATCAAGTCAAAAAAGCAACTACTTACCTTTATCAATTTCTTCATCTGCCAAAACATTATATTCTGGATCATGGTCTTCATCTTCTGCTGCTTTAGTAACCTCATCTAACGGTCTTGTAAATGTTTTCAAGAATTCCTTCCACACATCATCATCACAATCCATATCATACATATCAGTAGTTATGTCAGGGGGCATAAATGCTTCTTCAATTACTTCCAAAGGTGTATGACTTAAACACAATTTTGATCTAGTTCGAAGAGCAATATTTGCCCCTTCATCATTTTTGATCGTACAGTGTGATGTATCCAACTGGCTGTCAAAAGATGAATTTTTACTAGGGCTTTCTGGAACATATTCATCTCCAGATGAATCTTCTTGTAATTCTTCGGTGAACAGCCTTTGAACCTCTGACACTGGCTTTACTGGTGTCACCCATGGCAAAAATTTTTGCTGTACATTGGTAGATAATAATTGCCTAAAACAAATGTTAACTTCTGCATAAAAAATAAAAATTAAATACCTACTTTGTTTTGGCACGTGTGTATTTTGGTTCATACACAGTAATAGGCTCATCACTATTGTTTGGATTTTCAGCGTGTCTAACCAAAGCCAAAACATGTTCATTGGTAACAACTTCTTTAATGATATTTTTCACATGCTTTGCTGTTAAGTTTGCTTTGGCGGCTTTTTCTTCTAAATTTTCTTCCAAATCTTTTTCCACCGTTTCAATTATTCGTTTATCAGTTTCATCAAGTGTCTTTTTACTTCTCTTTTTTGGTTTAGGACTTTCTATTACGATTTGTAATCCGTTGTCGGAATTTTCGTCTTCTGAATTATTCTCCATTCTGTTATGTCTGTATTAATTTCGTTTGAATTTTCTATAATAATGGTATATAGGGTATTTTCACTGAATACACTTTTACATTCTTTTGTAAAAGTTTAGAATTACTAAATTTAAAATCCTCAAATTTTGTAATCATAACCTATAACACTATTAAGATTTCAAACAATCAAATGATGGACAGATGTTAAAAAAATGCTTGTAGAGAAGAACCACAGTATATCTTATCTCTGGTATATCTATTATTCAAGAACTCAAGAACACACATTTTTAGCACAGTGGGGATATTTTATAGCTGTGGCATCTGTAGCTAAAAATCCTAAAGAGAAATGACCTCTTTGTTGGTAGACCTGTTAAAACGTCAAGAAATACAATGATGGCGTCAGTGAAAGAATGACAGGTAAAATGAAAACAAATTAGTGCAATCTCTCCTGCGTAGTTTCTTCATTGTAAAAAAAAAAATGATATCAATTTAGTCACGCTAAAATACTATATACGACACAATGGCTTCAGTGAAAGTAGCAGTAAGAGTAAGGCCCTTTAATCAAAGGTAATTTAAAACAAAATCCCATGGTTCGATGCACATAGAGCAATGAACTTAAATTTTTATATTTTAGGGAGCTTGATATGGATACAAAATTAATTATTCAGATGAGCGGAAAGACGACAGGAATATTAAATTGCAAGGTAAGTTTCATAACGCAATTTTTTTGTGTACCGTAATTAAACAAATTGAAGGCAAATACTCGAGATGAAAGCATTAGATATAAGGAATTTGCTTTTGATTACTCCTATTGGTCACATGACGAAAAGTCGCCAAATTTCGCATCTCAAGAAAGAGTATATAATGATTTAGGCACAGAGGTTGTGGACTGTGCATTTGAGGGCTATAACGCATGTGTATTTGCTTATGGGCAAACTGGTAGTGGAAAAACGTTCACAATGATGGGTTCTCCTGTATGTGATGTTTGTAGTATTTTTGTATAAAAAAATATATTTTAGCTTTGTAGGACAACCAGGGTCTAATTCCAAGAATATGTAAAGCTTTATTTGATAGAATGTCAGAAAACTCAAAAAGAGGAACCACTCATCGTGTTCAGGTCAGTTATCTTGAAATTTATCAAGAGAGAGTTGCTGATTTGTTAAGAGGTCGAGATAGTGCATCATTAAAAGTGAGAGAACACCCAAAAAAGGGCCCCTATGTACAGGGATTAACTACATGTTTAGTCACAAATTATGGACATATTCAGGAGTGCATGAATAGGTACTGGTTTCACATAAATGACAAGAAAAACAGAAATGACTGTTTGTTACAGGGGTAATTCACATAGGACAACTGCTGCAACAAATATGAATGATGTAAGCAGCAGAAGTCATGCCATTTTTACAATAACTTTTGTCCAAGCGGGTTATTGTGATGGTGTACCTAGTGAAACAGTTTCAAAGGTTGTTTCATTCATCTTGTTTTACAACAGTTGTATATGGTAGTTGTTATTTTAGATTCATTTAGTAGATTTAGCAGGTAGTGAAAGAGCAGATGCTACAGGGGCAACCGGTCAAAGATTAAAAGAGGGGGCACATATCAATAAGTCACTTGTCACTTTAGGTTCTGTGATATCTGCTTTAGCTGAATTGTCTGTGGATACAAGTGGTCAAAGAAAATCATTTTTTATTCCTTATCGAGATTCCGTCCTCACTTGGCTCCTAAAAGACAGTTTAGGTGGTAACTCAAAAACAATAATGATAGCCACAATCAGCCCTGCTGGTATGTATAAAGTGCAAAAAAGTATTTATCAGAACGTTATTTTTTCCTAAGACTGCAATTATGGTGAAACTTTAAGTACTCTAAGATACGCCAATAGAGCTAAAAATATCATTAATAAACCAACAGTCAATGAAGATCCAAATGTTAAACTCATTAGAGAATTGCGCAATGAAATTAGTAAACTTAAAGCTTTAATGTTTAGTGAACAAAGAACTGACATGTTAGCACAATTACATGAAAAAGAAGCCAGAGAGAAAGTAAGATTGTAGTAAGAGACATTCACAGTTTATAAAATAAAATAAAACTTCAGGAATTGACTGAAGAATGGGCTGGAAAGTGGCGAGAAGCTCAAGCTATTCTACGAGAGCAAAGGGCCTTAGGGCTTCGCAAAGCAGGACCTGGAGTGGTTTTAGATTCAGATAGTCCCCATTTAGTGGCAATTGATGATGATCCACTTAGTACTGGTGTTACTTTATACCATTTAAAAGTATTTTTTGACACAGTTTTAATAACTTGTACAAATGTTATTGTTTGTAGGAAGGACAAACAACTATAGGAACAGAAGATGCAGATGTGAAACAAGATATAGAACTTAAAGGAGCTGGGATGGAGCCTCAACATTGCACTATTACTTTTCAAAAGGGGATAGCAACCTTGGTTCCCAATCCAGGCGCGTATGTTATGTTGAATAATGTTCTTATTGAAGCTCCTGCCAGACTCTCTCAAGGGTGCATTATTTTCCTTGGCAAAGCGCATGTCTTTCGGTAAGTAACTAAAAATAACGTGTTTGCGTTATCATAATATTGTTTTAAGTTTTAATGATCCAGCTGAAGCAGCTGAGTTGCGTAAAGGGGAACGGACCTACAACTTATCGCGATTGAGTTTACTTAGTTGGTCAACACCTGATTTAGCGATTTCCATGGAAAATTTACAACCGCAAGTAATAAAGTAACCTCTAAATAAGTTACTTTGATGATAATTTTCAGTGGTCAAGATGATGAAAAAAGCGATATTGAAATTCAGAGACTTAATTTAGAAAAAGAGAAGGAAGTGTTTGAAAAGGAACAAGAAGAATTTGAGAAAAAGCGCAGAACTTTACGAGAAGCTCAAGCTAAATTGGAGGCTGAAAAAGCTTTAATGCATCAAGAGCATGCGCGTCAGGTATTATTTCAATTTTGAATTTTGAGGTATGTAGAAGTCATTGCAGACACGTCAGTTGCAAGAAGATTGGCACAATTTAACTGTACAACAACAGCAACGTGAACTCGAATTGAAAGAAAAAGAGAAAGAGTTAATTGTGCGACGGGAGGAATTGGAGCGTGAAAGACATAAAATATGGGGCGAAGTAAGCGTGGTACAAGTTTTCATCCATTTTTGTTTTATTTTACTTTCTTCCCATAGATAAACCAGGAATTTGAACAATTGCAAGATTTTAAAGCTAATATTTTTATTAAGTTGAATAATGTTTGTCAGTTTATTACTTCACATGCAAATGATTTTACCTTTCCTAATCCTCAAGCCAAAAGAATTTTTCAGGTATTTTTTTTGTTGTTTTTATTTTACCTTCTGTTTATTTACATTTTCTATATTTGTGTGTGCGATAAAAGAGTATATCACATTACGAATTTTTAGGAGTTAGTGATGAAATCAGAAAATAGTACACTTACAGATGCAGAGTCTGATATTTTAATAGATGTATTGAATTCTGTCAAAGGACCTTCACTTATCCAAGATATAGTTGTTCAACATGTAAGAAGCACTATATTGAGAAAATTATATCTCAAGCTTATTTTTAGAGAAAGGAATTGGCTGAACTACAAGCAACGTTAGATAATAGAGTAGAAGCACTGTCTGAAAGACGAAGAACGGTAGAAATGTTGGATAAAAAATTATTAGATTTAATTGATCAGCAAGCATTACTTGATAATAGCACACAAAATGAACACCTTCAAGACCTTAAGCAATCTTTAGCCTCACGTACAAAAGACGAACTGGATAAAATTGAACGAAAGAAGCAAGGGTAAGTCGTTTATATTGATAAAATAAAGTATTTAAATACTTGATTTAGATTAAAATTGAATTTGAAACAAATTCATGCTATTGATAGTCCCGATTCTTGTGGTACTAATTATACAAGCAGTTTTGAAAAAGGTAGTACTTTGAGCAGTGATACATACCACACAGCGACGAGTGTTTGTTCACCCCCATTAGTAAATAATGTGGATTGCTTAATGAGTGATAGTGGAGTCGAATTACGGCAGTCCCCAAGAGTGCAAGATGAAAGCGATTTATCAAGTAATGAGGAATACAAGGTATTGTCTATATTGCGTCCATCCTTATCTTATCATATTTTGTATTTTAATCGTAACCAGGTGATAAGCGACTCACAGTCAACAAGTTCCGTCGAAAATCATTCACCTGTAATCAGAAAAAAGCGGAAAGATTCCGAAATCTTGCGTAGGTTGAGTCAGAAGGTATTGCAACAGAAACAAATCATATTGAGAAGTTTGGATGCCGGTTGTACAAAGTCTCACATAGACGCTCAGATTGCTGTAAGACCTATTTTCTTTGTGTATCTGTTAAATATTAATAGATTTTACTTAGATTTTGCAAGAACTGCAAAGGCAATACATGTCGTTAAAGTGTGGCTCTAGTTCGGTGCTTTCACCCGCTTCTGAACACCCTTTACAAGATGTTGATAGTGAAAGTCCCAGTCCAGTGAAACCAGTGCATACCGGGTCGACCTCAGCTCTCTACTCCCCAAGTTTACAGGTACCTATTTTGTTTAAATATTTTTAAAAGTTTTTAGCAGATTTTGGTTAATAGCCCTAATTAGATAAGGCATTCTTGATGTGTTTAATAGAACATACACATAAGTACTAAGACTTTAGAATTTCGCTATAATTTTTTCTCTGTAATAACTTCGCCATGAAGGAACTTAACAAAATTACTAAACTTTTCCTTGTAATTGTGGGTAAAAAAGAATGCTTTAGAATGAATTACAATACAAATGAGAAGAGCTTATATGATATAGATGTTGTAATGTATAGGTTTTGTGGTTTTAACATAACCCTCAGATAAATGATTTTTTTTTATGCTTATGTGGGTCTTTGGCGAAAATATCTTTTTTTTTTTGGAGACGTGTTTTTCTTTTTGGGTATGCTTTGATATTACAAACATTACCTAAGTTGATTTGTCCAGATTTGTACATATTTTTGTCAGACACGTTAAATAGTGTTTAGATTTGTTTGAACATAAGGTACTAGTAGCATTTTTTTCTTTAGGGTTACAACCACAGATTATCGCCTTACAATTATGGCCTTCATCGCTCAATGCCTTCTATTGCGTCAGGTAATTAATAAAATGATGATCTGATTTTTGTTACCAAACAAAACACTTCCAGAGTCTGACAATGACGCCATCGTTACCATTAGCAGTTATTGCCTAAGAGGTGCAGGTACAAAAACACATTATGAATATGAAGTTCGAATCTGTACCAATGATGACCGTTGGAGTATTTTACGAAGATATAGCCGATTCAGGGATCTCCACATCGCCATGAAAGCCCGATATGGTGAAAAAGTGTCAACGATTCCTTTCCCTTCCAAGCAACTTTTTGCCAATAGCGAAACTGTAGCAAAATCGCGCAAACGTCAACTAGAATTTTATTTAAGACGACTGATAGATACCTGTAAAAATCTTCCATCATGTCCGCTGGCCTACGGTGGACCTGTTACTAAAGTGGCCTTAATTAGTTTTTCACCGTTTTTCAGAAAAGGTGTTTTTGAAAATGGGAAGTATGGAACATCATGATTACTGCCTTATGATCGGCCATACTGAATTTTAGCCACTTTCCCGTTGAGTGACTCACTGTCGCCTATTTATTAACAATTATTTTAAAAAATTACTAGTTTATTGAAGTGTGGGAAAAGCAAGCGTCATTGTAGCAATTGTTAAAGTTATTTTATGGTTATTTATTTATTTCTGATTTAATAAGACAAAATAAGAAAAAAATGTATCAGGTATTTATAGACTGTATCACGGTCATTTGCACCCAGTTGTATATTATTGAATTTATAATTATTTATATTTGATTACTTCACTAGTTGTTTCTCTGCAGAGAAATCGTGGATTAAGATTTAATCATACTAGGTGGAACGGCCTTCATTGAATTATTTTTTCGCTTTTATTGTAATAACCATAGTTGTAATGATTACACGATAACTAAGCTTGGTGGGGATATACATGTGTATTTAAGCTTTAAAATTTACCAAAAAATGCTTATTTAGAATGTACACTTCGCCAAAATGGAAACGCATACATGTAACGTAAATATTCTCGAATTTATTAAGAAAATGGGCAAAAAACGAGTGTAGGTTTACTTTGCGTTAGTGTTTTCAAGTTTTTGGTCGAGGTTGTATATATACATGACGAAGTTATTGCACCACAAATATACAATAAAGAAGTTAAAAAGTGGAAGAGCAATCTCAAGAAATAGATTTTTTTGTGTGCACATTTTCGGTTTCGTGGGTGGATGCAATGAATATTATATAAAATATAGGTACTAAACGGGTTAATATATCAAAACTTCCGTGTGGCGCTAAGGCTAAATGTTGCAACAGTAGCATAGGATTAAGTAGTCTGTTTTTCTGCAAGCCGTTTTGTATTAACGACCTAAAAGAGTAATAGTAATGTTATAAAATTGTGACAAAGCGTAGATGACTTTCGTTATTTTAAGAATACTTCTCAGTACGGGGACTATATTATTAGGTGCTAATCTTCTTCATTGTAATAAAATATTGAATTTACTTCTTGGATATTAAGTTCTTGTTGAAAATCAGGCTGCTACGAATGGGATTCTTAATTCTACTTAGTAACAATGTGATAAAGATTTTAATAGTGTGATAAACTGCAATTTGTAGAGTAGGTAGAATCAAAAATAATTATTGACCTTAAGATGAGTATTATAAAATTGTTGTTCAAGAATTGTTATTATATTTTTTTTATTGTGTAAACTCTGTACAGTCAGTTTGAATTTTTGTAAAAGATTCAATAAAAGTACTAAAACCAAAGCAATGTTTTATTTGAAATCTGCCTAAAAAATACGAAGTATTTAAAATTTTGAAGACATTTCTTGAAGCAAATTGTTACGATGTTGTGATAACCCAAACATCCCGCCTTAAATTGACATGTAAAAAAATGAAAAGCCCGCGAAAAATTCGAAATTCAAAAATTTGGCTCGGTTGTGATCGTCCAATAAAATGAAACCTACGTTGTGTTTTTGAAAAATGGCGGGATGCGTTCAGATGCAAATGGTGGACCTCAAGGTTGGAAAAGTACAGCTAAATAAAACACGAAATTTATGGAGGACACAATTATTCCTCCATTGACAAAAAAAAAGCTGCGACTAAGTTGTGTCGGGTGAGGACACCCCTTAATGCTCAGCTCCAAAAAAAAACTTTGAATGACTTGGAATGAAATCGAATTAAACGTTTTGAATCAATACAAATATTCGAATATCACAAATTTAACAAAAACAACGGTCGCAAACTCGCAGATGGGTCTCGACTATTGGGTCAAGTCGACAGTGTTACGTCATCTCGGCCGCCTCTGATGTGCAAGCATGTGTCTTTTGTGCAGATTTATCGCGCCAGCTCGACTAGGAACCACGCACTCCGCTTCCGCCACGTGTTTCTGTGTTATTTATTAACCTCAATTCCATTTATATGTTCAAATCTTATAACTTATAACTGATATTAAACTACAACTGAACAAGTGTCAAAGTTTCAAAAGAGCAATTAACATTTAAATTCGCCATACAATCTTGTGAAATTTTAAACAACAAATAATTCTTATCTGAGATTAAGATTGGATATCAGACAATTTATGATGAAAGCATTAATCAACCAAATATTTACAAAATAAAAAAACAGCAAAGATTTATAAAAACAAAAGATCTGGTGTGAAATAAAACTTGTGCAAATAAAATATTACGTAAGGTTAAAACTGCAGAGCATGGAAGTTTACGTTCAATTTAAATTATACAACAAAGAGAATTACTGAGAATTCTAAGATAGAGAAATTGTATGAGGTGAAAAATTGCAAAGCTAACAAAATTACATAAGGTTAATATGTGCCACACTTTATCAGCAATCTTGTGTGAAGAATTAAGAAGTGTTATAATGTGACGCTTAAGTAGGTATTAGCATCCAGAAACCTTATTCGTTATTAGACAAACAAAAAACAAACGAGTCCTGACTAAGTGAATTTCATGAAATCTCCTAGTAAGTGATTAATCTAAATAAATTCCTAATTGTTAAATTGTGTTAGAACTAGTTAACGATTAAACTCCTAACATGAACTGTGAATTTACAAACAATGAATCAAATTCACACGTGTTAGCGTCGGTCAGAAATTCGCATTTTTCCGATTAGAACGCCGCAAGAATTAGCTACGCCTGTTGGGAAACTGTGCGTCGTCGTCGTTACGATTAATTATCGTTAAACAAAGGCTTCCTCCCTTTATTAACTACCAAGCCCACTAACTTAACCCAGCTAACTTACCGCGCCTTTTCACCATGCTCTCACTCACGTAATCAAAACAACAGTGCCCCTCTCACCTCTCTACCAAGCCGCCCTCTTCAACCAACCCTCTAACTAAATTTCCAAGCAGAACTACACACTATCCAAAAGTGCTAACGTGCACATGATTGCCTATGTTTAACGATTTTTTTTAATGTTTTTTTTTCTTCAAATTTAAATTATTCAAATGTGATTTCGCGCCGCTGTTAATTTTTTTTTTCAGCGCGAAATTTTGATTCAAATTCGGTCACCACAATGTATAATACATTACAATTATAGTTAATTAGACCTACAAATAACTAGCAAATAAAAGGTCACACAATAGATATCGACTTTTCTGATCCACTGACAGTGATACTATTAACAGGTAAAAGAAACTCGGATTTTGATAACCTCAAAATGTTCGTGCTAAGTAGAAGTAGAAGTAGAAGTAGTAAGTTAGCAATATCTTCCCTATATTTCAAAATAACAATGACAGTTAATTTTACTAACAAGCAATAATTCCAATCTTTTCTGTAGTGCAGTGTGAATATTCTGGTCTCTGAAAAATAAGTTTGGCGTAGGTAAAATATACTGTTGTGATGTCGTTAAGCAAAGAAAGAAGTTGTAAAATGCAAATTTTACAAGAATGTCTGTCGTCTGTTGGCGATTTTATTAGACAAGTAATCTCCGAAACTACAGGACAGACAGTTTTAAGGTTTAGGTTATTATAAACATGATAAATCGTCAATAAAAATTTATCTGTTTATTTTCTTCAAAAATTTGATGACGTCGTACTTATGGTTTATCATTATACATTCATATTTTCAGAATAACTTACTTATACAAGGTGATTTGAAAAATTAATTAATGCAGTCATTTATTTTATGGATTAAATCAAAAACAGTGTATCCGATTTTCCTGAAATTTTGAGAATGCAGTTCTGTATCTCTCCAAATTGACATATGAGTCCTTGCTAAAAATTTGATGACGTCATCACAAATTTTATTATGGAAAACTTATGCGATCCATTGCTAACTTTATTTTAATTTAGAAAAAGGAGAAAAAAATAAAATTTGAAATTTCCAATTTTATAATTTGTCTGAGAAACTGGATTTGTTTGGTTGTACCTCAGAGGTGAGGGAAGTTCTCTCTAAAAAACTTGAGATCATCTTAATCATTTCTTGATTAAATTACTAAATTTAAGAGGGTTAAAAGAAATGCTACAGCGTCCACTTAAATGACAACAATACGTTTCCTCAATTATTACACAATCGTCATAACTGTTCGATTAAATTCAATTAAATTTAAGGATTGGGTATTAAATAAACCCTACAGTAGAATTTTCTTCCGGTTTAACTGATTTTCATGGCCTGCTAACACGCTTTCTTAAGTACTGATATTATCCTACGTATTACCTAAATAGGATTTGATTTTTGTTCTTCCGCCGATAATTTAGACTGAGAGATCTATAAATTCATCCACTAGGTACAGATTATTACAAAATGTTGTAAGAAATCTGTTGATGCACCATTTTGTAGTCGTACCTACATTTCTGCCTCTAACAAAAGAACTAAATTTTTTGTGCATGTATAGCAGTGCAAATTCTCCAATTTGATGATCTGTTAAAGTGATTATGGAGTGTTGAACTTTTAGATAAGAAGATTTACTCATTCCTTTGTAAGTTCGTTTCCAACTGCGTCGGCACCCGTATTACATTTTCAGGCCGATTCAACAAACAATTTCTGTTACGTGCAAAGTTTAAAAAATAGTCACAACATTTTTCAATAACACTATAATAGACTTTACACCACAGAAACAAATAAAATAAGAAACAATTAAAATAGAGACGCTTTTATATACCGGCAAATTTGGTAAAGATAAGTACGTAGTTCGGGACTTAATACTGGCCTGTACAAACTTACCTCCTCATAAATGTCTTTATCTTTATCATTATCACTTCGTGCTATTATCATCACCACTTATTGTTAGTAGTGTAGTTTTTGGCCTCGGCATGAGATCCTGGTGTAAAATCGGTACAGAATTTGCATTAACAAATTGTGATAGTAGGTACATCTGTTGTCAGTTACAGTAATCCAAGAATAACAGTTCATTTCTACAGTTTATAGAATTAAATGGCGTTTAATTCAGGAGTGATGGGTAAGCGAAATATTACAATAAGATTATTTTACGAATCATTGAGTTCAGATTTTCGTAATCACGAAAATACAGATTTCCTGTTTCCGTTTGTGGTTTGTCATCTGTTTATCAGTTCAAATTTTTTCATTGAATGGTACACTGACAGTTTATTAAAGCCGAATAAGTACCTAATCCACAAAATTATAGCACCAATTGTTCTGAAATTGCAAATGTACATTCGGGTTATCATAAAAATGGTACAAGGCTAATCAGAATTTATCTATTAATCCCTTTCAGAAAATGTATAAATCTATTTCACAGTTTTATGTAGTCGATTTCATCTGAAATATAGGTACAGCATGACAGACGGTAACGGAAAATTTGTATTTTCGTATTCCACGAATTATGAAACGCCACAAAAATACAAAATTATTTACTTTCGATTATTAGATGAAGATAAATTTATACTATTGGGTGACGATTAATTGACTGATGATACTAAAACTAAAATTGCTCGGGAATCTCTTTTCATTGAAGAATACTCAAAGATTAGATAGGTTATTCCGGTTTTCTGTCTTATCCAGAAATAACAGGTGTACCAAAAATCTAATCATTATAGCTACGTTTTTTTGAAACTCCGGAAGAATTACTGGTCATTATTTCAAGAGATTTTTCGCCTCTTGTTATCAGATTCCGGGACAGATCTTACAATCAAACATAATTAAAGTTGGAAGACCCTCATTATTGTAGAAGGATGCATAGGAAATTCCTTCATACTTGTACGCAGATTTACTTTGACTTGTTTGGTTTTAATTATTTTAATTGAGGAATTTCATTATAGTACTTGGTACTGTAACGAATTCGTTTTAGTCCTCAGTCCTATAAACCATGTCATTTTAATACTTAAACTGACTTTCATAATGTTGTTATTATGATATGATAGCAGATAAACATACAAATGCAACTTGAATTGCACTATAAACAGAATTTTGTGAGTAAGGTCAAGTTTAGTATCTTTACTGTCCTGGTACGAAGGATCGCGTGCGCCCTTGCCACAGATAAAATATTTGCGGATATTTTATATCGACTTTCATAATATACCAGAATGACGGGAACATCTTTCAAGTATCAAACTTCAAACCAAGCTGTCGTTTATGTCGGTTCTATCGCAATATCGGTAAACGATAATAAAGTGATTAATTAAAATTGAAATACACGCGAACTCTTGATTAAATCTTACAATTAAATAATCAATGTTCGACTAGTTTGAAAGCAGGTAAAATTGCTACATTCGCTCAACCCTGTCGTGCGTCACGTAATAACGTCGCGCATACATGATGTGGGTACCTGTGTTGACGTCAGACTGAATTCGACTCAAAACAGTGGTGTGTTTAAGTGAATTTATTTTTTGTTTAAATTCAGTTGAAGAAAACGGCTTAAACATGTCGATTAGTTTTAAAACGGAAGAATATTATAAAAGGTTTATAGAACTGCAGGAAAAGCTGAGAAAGAGGTAAGTTTTCCTTTGTCTAACCCTTTGTTTGTATTGTAGCTAAATTGGGTCAAACTATTATTTTAGTGAGGAGGAACGCTTAAAACTCGAAATGAAATTTAACGAAATGGTTCGAATTACTAGAGAGGAGTAGGTATGTTCTTGGTAAAATAGTTTCCATATTTACTCTTCCTTTTAAGAGAACAAACACATTATCGAAAATTGAGGGCACAATACAAACGATTTCTGGAAGAAGACAGACGGCGGCAAGACAGAAATGAACGTATTATAAGAAGTTTAGAAAGAATCGAAAGTCGAGTTTCGATGTTGGTAGCAAAAACAGAGAGATTTAAATTGTTGCGAAAACAGTATCAAACTCTTATGGATAGAGTCTATAGAGATAATCAAATAAAAAAGGAAGAAAGCTTACCCCCACGTACAGTAAAATTAGACGAGAGGAAACCACGTACTGATGATAACAGTGACATAGTGCAAACGTATCTTCAAAACCTTTCGTCAAATAAATTAAGAGAGATGTTGAAAAAAGAAGAAGAAGCCAGAGCAAAACTTCCAACGACTACAATAACTGATCATGACGAAAAATATAATTATTCTGACTTGCACGCGTTCACCGATGCCGAATTTAGACCTAATTACGCAAATACAATTGCAGATGATATAATGAACTCCATTTATTTGAGAAACCGGCCATTACATGATAGTAATAAACTAAATCAGCCTAGAGAGTTTAATAATAATATTTCAGTGACACCTGTTGGGCCGCCAGATGAGTTTCGACCTCAAACCTTAAAGAAATACGATGACTTTATCGGAATTTCTCCCCAACGTTTTAAAAAAGATGAAACCAAAAACATTATTTCAGGAGCTGAAGATACTGAAACTGATGATTTTTCTGAATCGGATGAAATTCTCTACAAGAATCCTACTGAATTTAATAAAACTAAGCGCCAAAACTTGAATCAGTTTGATAAAAACAAAATCAGTCACGATATAACTTTCAATGACCCATTTAAAACAGATGAAATAGAAAACATATCGAATAAACAACCCTTGAAAAACATAACTGCTGCCGCTATAGAATCTTCAGCTGAAAAACCAAAAGATGAATTTGATACATCTGCTGAAATTAAAGATTCTCCAGGTGACGTTCACGAACAATTTATTTCGAACATTGCTTCTGTGGATGACAACATTTGCGATAATATCTCAAAAGATGTTGAAATCTCTGAAAACGAAGATTTTGCTGAAAAAAGTTCTAAACTTCCGGAAATCTCTTCCGAAGATGATATTTTACAATCAAAAGAGTCAATTATGCAGCCTGTAGTAACAACTAATGAAAATAATATCACTTCTAATACCCAGGAAAAAACTGAAACTCCAGACGTAACTGAAGAATCTAAAAACGACCCTGATAAACAGAAAAATATTGAAGATATTGTGCAAGAAAGGTCCCTTCATATGGAACCTGAACGTGAACCGTTACAAGAATTTCCACCAGAGGAAACATTAGAACAGAATATAGAAATCTCTAATGATAATGAATTACAAAAACAGGAATTCTCAGAATTTGCGAAGAATGAAATACCATCCACAGACGCAAATGAAGAAGTTCTAGAAAATAATTATCAGCAACAACCTCCACAACAATATTTGGAAACTGAGCACCCAGCAGAAACGAATTATGAGGAAAGTAGCAATAAAGATTTATCGGAAACAAAGGTCAACGAACCAGTTCAACAGTACGATGAAACTAGTCATGCGGAATCTTATGATCAATATAATCAGCCTATATATGACACAAATAATCCTGATTTTCAGCAATTCGATCAAAACGGTCAGCCAGTTCAGCTTTATGACGAACAAAATCAGTTTGTCCAAAATTACGATGAGTCCGGTCAGCCGATTGGTCAGTTTGACGAAAACTCTCAACCTCTTCAACAGTATGATGAACATGGACAACCAATTCAGTCATATGATGAACAAGGACAGTTGATACAACAGTATGATGAACATGGTCAGTTCCTTCAACACTACGACGAGAACGCCCAATATGATGAACACGGTCAGTTAGTGCCGCAGTATGACGAACAAGGACAATTAATTCAACAGTATGACGACAGTGGGCAAGCAGCACAACATTATGATGAACAGTACGTCGAAGGTCAGTCACAGTACGACGAACACGGTCAGCTAATTCAGAATTATGACTATTCGCAAGCTCAACCTCAGTATGATGAAAATGGTCAATTAATACAACAGAATTTTGATGAACAACAATATTATCCTCAACAGTATGAAGAAAATGTGGAACCAGCTGATGGTCAACATAGTGATAATCCGTCAGTTCCACAAGACGTCGAAAGTGGTAGTGGTGTTAATGTTTCGAAAGAACAGGAAGAGATCAAGGAAGAGGAACAAGAGGTTAAGAAAACTAGCAATGTGATGGAAATGCTGGACACCGATACTGAAAGTGTCAAACAAGATACAAAAATTTCTCATGATAGTGATTTCGATTTTAGTAATGGATAAAATGTAACACTCAAATTCTAAAACAGATCTGCTAGAATTAAAGATAACTATAGCTATATTTTTAACTGCATCTAGTCAGTTATTGATTGCGTAAATTGTAATATGTAATTATTGCACTGGGACAAAATATGTATTTCTCAGTATTGTAATTTTAAAAACATGTTGATTAAATCTTTTGTGAAATATTTGTTTTATTTAATAGTTTTACTAAACGAAAAAATCCAGAAAGAACACACAATATAATAACAAAGTAATTAATATAGATAAAAAAAAGTTGTTTAGACAGAACTTTTCTTGTTCCTAAATCACAAAGTTTATATTTTTATGATAAGTTTAAATACCTAAAAACAGTAGTACTATTAAATAACAAGTAAACAAGCGTGATATTGGTATGGTTGCATTTATATTTTTTTAATAAATGTAATGACGTCATCAGCGTTTTACGTATATCGTTTGTACAGGTAACATTAATAATAGTAATACATACTGTATTCTCAAAATTTTAAGAAAATCAGATAAACCGTTTTTGATTAAGTAAAATATATTCCTTCTTATATTTTTTAAAGACAACCTGTATAAGCATTTCTAAAAAAAGGAGTGTTTAAAGAAAATATAAGTATCGAGACACGTTACGCTTGTTATTTTAAATGAAATTTATTTCACAAAATTTTCAGATGACGTCATAAAGGTTTTGGGAACACAGATGAATTTGAATTAATGTTCACGACAGTGAAAATCTATAAAATTTAAAGCAATTGGTTTTGTAGTGTCTAAGATGAATTATAAAATTTTGTTATACAATTTTGATTTTTTCCCAAACACTTACATGAGCAAAGATAAAAATAAGATTGGATTAATAAACTACAGGTATATATATTGCTACGAAATAAACCCATACGCCGCCTATGGGTTCTCGTATGTACGTCGCCGATGACTCATTATCGGCGACGGCGGCCGGAGAAAAGCCTGGAAGCGGAAGTCGCGAATGGGCGCCCCAGAGAAGTCTAGAAGCGGTGACGTAGGCGTTTCGCTGGGAACCACCGTCGGGAGCAGGGAGGGTAGGTCGAACAACGAGAGCTGAATTTAGTTAACAAGTCGAGTCCAACGAGTGTCGAGAGAATCTAGTGAGTTGGGCCGGAATTAATTTGTATGTAATCGCTGTGTGATTAGATGTGTAAATTCGAAATATATTAGCAAAAATTTGAAATGATGTTGTCACATCTGTGGTGGTGGGGATGAATACACGGACTCCACTGAGCATTTTACCATCTGCACGATGAACCTAAAACAAAGCTGACGTTGCAAAAATCGACAGGCAACAGGCGACAGACGATAGACAGCAGACAGATGGGTAAAAGAAATCTGTGCATAAGCAAGGGAAGTATTGTAATAGCGTCCGTCTGATAAATGACATAGCTCCTAGAGTATGGAAAAGTAGGTCTCCCGTTTCCGTGTATCGTCTGTCGTTTGTTCAGTACTACTGAACGAAATGTTGTGAAATTTTAGATGTATTTTAAGATTATCGTATAAATGGTATTTACAGGGTGAGCCACTAAGCGCGCTGTCCTAGATATCTTATTAATTACACTAGTTTACAAATTTAAACTTTTTTTCATATCCAAAAATAAAAAAAATATTTTTTGCTTCCAAATTACTTACTGACAACAAATCCAAAAACGGATAATCTGTATCACGTCAGGTTTTTTCATAAATCCAAAATAATGAACTTTGCTTTTACCTTCACGTTAGTGTTAGACTGATTTATGTTAATGCACCATTGTCGCATAAAAAATGTCTTCGAGATCGTGCAAAGTAAGTGCAAATCAGTTTTGTTACGTTTGTAGTAAAATTATAGTACCTAAAGCGGGAAGACCTGTTCAAATATGCTTAAAAAGAAGGTATCAAGGTTTTTGGGACGAAAATGTGTTACTGTTGGTCTATTATAATCATTTGTAATTTTCAGTCATAATGTTTATAATATATACTGGGTGTTACTTTTATTTGATACAACCCCTGTAACTTCTTTATTCTTAAAGATAAACCTGTATTTCTTTGAGCAAATTTGTATCATTGTAAAAGATCTTTGTGAAGCCAACCTCACATTTTTATTATCACATCCCGTAGAAAAATCAAAAGCAACCAATTATTCTAAAAACAGTACTTGAAAAATTTTAAAGAAAATATTGATGACAATCTAGTAGCTTGAATAATTGACACTTATGTTACTTATTTACGTAAATGATGTTTTAAAATAATACAAATTTGCTCCAAGAACTATATGTTCATATATATTTAAAAATAAAAAAGTTACAAGAGTTGTATAAAAGAAAAGAAATACGGGGTATGTTTATATATAGTGAACCAAGACCTATAAGGTTATATGGCCATCATGAAAGTAGTTGACCGCAAATAAATACCTCCTTTGTGTAGTTCGCACTAAGCTTACCGGTTGGCAATAAATCATCTTCTAAACATTTCTTGCTCATATTTAACAGGGCCGGCTTTCAAAGCGAGTGGTTATTTCGGAACCCTCAGCGGCTGCAGGTAGTAAAGAAATAGTGGAGTGGTGGATTTTCATATTTAGTGAAAGCCGCCCCTGAACGAAACCACAAGAGCCGGTCGAGCTGCAGTGGACACGTTATTTACGACCCTAAAACCTTTTCTATTGTAAACAACTTAACTTCGACACAATGGGATGATTTTATGATGGCCATATAACCTTATAACTCTTGGTTCACTATAAATATCTCAAAAACCTGACGTGATGGATTTTTTCTGCTTTCAGATTTGAATTTCTCGAAACCAAATCCTTTAGATTCAACTATTTTTCTCTTTGGATATAAAACCTTGTAAACTAGTGTTATTAGAGATAGAAAAAAGTAAGAGATTAATAAACTTGTACCGCTTTTTGAGTAGCCTATATTTAAATTGTTTTCGACTATACAGAGTGGTTTGTTTTCGACGTATAATACACAACATAGTTGTTTTATCTATTCTTATTAACCTCTTCCTAGAATTTATAAGCACAGTTTATTTTTGAATTTCAATGCGACAATAATTTTTTAATTTTTCAGTAATTCAGGGGTCCACAAAATCACAACAACGTTATTTTCAAGATCCATTTTGCAATATTTTATGGAGAATTTCGAAAATAAATTGAACAATTCGTACAGTTAAAAATAATTTTAGCATATGGTCTTCAAAGAACTGTAGAACTGTACAAGTTTAGTTCTAGATTTTTTTCTATTTATAATTATAATTAATTGATATCGAAGAGTGGGCTTAGAGACTGACCCTGTATATAAAATGGTTCTAGAAATATTTAAAAAGAGAGTAATAAAATATCCAAATATTTTTAGAACCACTCTACTAGTGCACAACGAAAACGGTTTTTAGATATAGTAGTCCAAAAGCTATAAGGTTACATGGACATCATAAAATTACCCTATTGTGTCGAAGTTAAGTTGTTTACAATAGAAAAGGTTTTAGGGTCATAAATAGCGTGTCCACTGCAGCTCGGCCGGCTGTTGTGGTTTCGTCCAGGGGTGGCTTTCACTAAATACATATGTAAATTCACCAATCCATTATTTCTTTACTACCTACGCCGCTCAGGGTTCCGAAATAACCACTCGCTTTGAAAATCGGCCCTGTTAAATGTGAGCAAAAAATGTTTAGAAGACGATTTATTGCCGACCGGTAAGCTTAGTGCGAACCACACAAAGGGGATATTTATTTGCGGTCAACTACTTTTATGATGGTCATATAACCTTATAGCTTTTGGACTAGTATATAACAAGAAAATAAACTGATTAATTTTATTATGGTATTTAAGGGTTCAACGTACCTACCCATCGTAAATCATTCTTTGTGTCCTATTGCTCAGGATTAGGTACGGACACAAAACATTTATTTATGATTTATTTAAGGGATAGTAGTAATTTATAATCGTGGCAAATAGAAGTGACAGATGTGACTTTTAAAACCGTCATAGGATTATCACAAAAGTGTGAACTTCTGTCAAATAATGTTTATTACCCTTCTATTTATGAATAAACACCTCTACAGGCCAGATAGAAAAGACCAAAGAATTATTTTATTAATGTTTTGTATACTATGTTACAATTTAAACTATTTGTATCTTATAAAAACAATTAAGACTGGCCAGTATTCACTTCCGAGTGTAAGCGAAGGAAATATTGTAATCGAGTTCATCGGACGAATGGCCACTTTTATGTTTCCTCGACGTTTCATGACCCCCTACAGTACGAAAAAAGTAGTCTTTCGTTTCCGTTTGTCTGTCTGTCTGTCTATATCCATTTTTATTAGATACGTAATCTCCGGAACTGCTCGACCGATTGTTGTCAAATTTTGTATGTATATTAGAAATATCATGTCGATGGTTAAATGCTAACCAAAATTTAGCTAATCATCCCCACCAACAATTTGATGATGTCATTCCAATGAATGGTATTCTAAAATGATTTGAATGTTACACAAAAATATACTCATATTCTTGTAGTGTACGAACCTACTTTCAGTTTTTTCGCTAAACGTTCAAATATTCGCAAAAACATTTGCAAGGTATAATAACGTTTTATTCTCGACACGGTTTGAATGTCTCTGTGGCGCAGTGAGTGCATCGTAGAGAGCGGCGAGCTGGTGGTTCTGCGATTGTGGTTCGATGCCGAACTTGTGCAAAATATGATGAGTTTTTACTTGTGATTTATCATTGCATTTACATTTTTAGATTTGCTTAAACAGGTGGCTAAAAAAATGAATGAATGAGACATCAATTTATTTTATTTATTATTTATAATTTTGGGAATACAATATTGTTAGTTTTAATATAACACTGCACCAATCCAAACTGATATACGTGCCCTTGCAAAAATGTTGATGACGTCATCACAAAATTGTGTAAAGAAAAAACTCAACTCGAAAATGCTGAATATATTTCATCGTACTTCAGGAGCGAGGAAAATGCTGTCGAAACAACTTTCGACTAATTTTTTTTTTTAATGAGAACAAGACCAAATGTCAAACGAAGCTGTGTTCACTATTCTATAAAAACCGCTTAGCTTTTGTACCACCATAAAACGCTAACCAAAATTTGTTTGATCGCCCCAACAAAAATTTGATGACGTTATCTCAAAATTTCGCTAGCTAAATGTTATTTAAATTCTATAAAATCATATTTTTCTAGAATTGTGATTTATTAGGCCATCTTTATTTTTTCTTTAGGCACTAGAGTTTTGGAAAAAATCTATAACGATATGTTACAATTTAAAAACTCCAAAATCGATTGCTCTGAAATCTTGCAAACGCAGAAACGATATCTCCAAAGTGGTAAATTGCTAATTAAAATTGATCTGTTAATTATCTCTAAAAATTTGATATCGTTATCACAAAATCTTACTGGATAAATCCTGCGAAATATTATGTGTCTACACTTGTGGTTTATCACTGCACCAGTATTTTTCAGACTAATCAGTGTATTTAAAAAAAAATAATGAGCAGTTTATTTTTTATTGAATGTTGGGTAATAGGGATAAATCTCAGCCCAAGTGGAGTTTCTAACTAAACTTATACTTTTTGTAATTTTGCAGGGGTACAACAGTTTGTGCTAAAAATACGTTCAGTGACTCCAGTTGATTCAGCGATATTTCCAACATATAAAGTTAAATATAGAGAGACAGGTAAACGACATTCAAATATTTTTGGATACAAAATACCTACTACATTCGTTACTTTAATAATTTGGAACAGATGTTCTAAGTTGGCAAGATATATTTTCAAATTTAATCTTACGGAGAATTATTTATACAGCAAAAATTATTTCGACAGTTCAATAAACAATTTCTTTTTGATTTGAGCTTAGAATTCGGTAATGTTGCTGATCACTGTGATATTCTCAGTCGCGAATATTATTTTTAAACTAAATTTGTTGATTTGCGTCAACACATTTTTATGAAATACTATGGGTATATATTTTTGTGTGTGGAGGTGTTGTCTGTACACATTTATTAAAGACATGTGTTGTAAATTTTCGAATATGTAGTTTAATATGTATATTTTTTAATTTGGAAATTTTTGTGTAGCTGAAAGCTTTTTAGCTATGTGAAAATTAAATGAGTTCCTTCCATTATCAAAATTAATACGAGTAAAAGAAATCTAATTACTCAGTTAAGGTAAGAGGCATGTTAGTTTGTGATATACTCCGTAGCAGACGTTATCGATTTTGTAGGCGAGTTTATGACCTCGAATTTCCATTTACAGGAGCTCATTAATTTGCATATTATTTTTTTATTTAGAAGAACAATGGATCCTGAATAACATTTAATGGAATGTTTACTTTTGCTTAAACTATTTATAGTACTTGGAGGAGATAAGTGGCTACATTATAGTATCCTAAGTATCCATAACCCACCTACACTCTCATGCAGTAGATATGTGTGCTCAAAAAATATTTAATCGTTCCACCTTCATTAGTTATCTTTATACCGACGTATCGAAAGCACACATATCCTAAAATCTTCCGTTGCGCGTTTGCTGGAGGCGCCTTTATGCGGTGCCAAAATCAATATTTCCTGCACGAAGTCTGTGTCGGAGCAAACACGCATGGTGTGCGCTCTTTCCGTGGTGTTTCTGACGTGGATTTTTTGTACTAGAAGAGTGTTGTGAAATATTGTTGCATTTTTGTATAAGTGAAAATTATGGCTGAACTATATACTAACGGTTTAAGCAAACCCAAGTGTTCGATGACGTTTTATTCCGAGTACGGCGACGGAGAATCCGAATCCAGTCTTCTTCCACAAAGGCAAGGTGTGTATCATCCCGATTAGTCAATGTAGGTTATGTTTACAATGCATTTAACCATGCTTGCACTATTAAAAATTGTTTTTGGAAAATTGTAATGTCGCATGTGATTTTTGCAAAGTGCGAAACGAACATTTCAAGCGCTCTCTTAAATGATTTATTATATTTAACATAAAGAAGTTTGTGTAACACTAATTTTAATTAGTCAATGAAACGGAAACGGTAGTGTTAGAACCAAATTTTCAAGTATTTGTATGGTGTATATTGTTGTTGTGTAATGGCACGTCAGTCTGTGAATTTTAAAATGCTTGAAATTATGCAAATTTTACGGAATAAACATGAGCAGAATTAATGTTACGTTATTTGTGTTAATTACCCACACTCGCTTGTGCAGGTTTTGATCGTAATTGATTTACTTGATCTACACGCGTTTACTTTTGGCATAAACATGTATGACGAGGGCGTGCCCTTGCATTTTGGATTGAAGTATATTTATAAACTTTTTTGCGCTCATTAAAACCACTTAAAACCGTCGAAATATGCGTCGAAAATGGTCAGATGGTGGAAAACTGCAACGCGAAGAAGTAGCTGGAGCTTGAAACGACGCTGTTCTGCAGTTTGGTTTTATAGCACAGAGCGAGTAGTTACGTCATCTGGTTACCATCTGCAAAAAGTGGCATTAATGTGCACCACATCATTACCCAACTGTTTTGCACTGAGAGATGGAGGTTTTTCGTAGTTGTCAGTTAAACTAAGTTTTGAAGGAAAAAAATTGCTGTTCGCAAGATAACTAATCTGTATAGTGCCAGTGGTCCGTTTTCTTTTCCCTTAATTAATATTTGGAGACGTTCATTAATTTTTTTTTCTTTGTCCGATGCTTCTGCCCTATTTTCTCACTCATTGTAATCAAAATTTTAGACAATGAATGACTTGGACAAAAGGAAAAGAATACGACCCTATGTCAATAAGTTCCCTAATTGTCTGGTAATTGTTCCTGTTTGATATTTGTGGATTTAGTAATCCTTACCTACAAAGTATTTAATACTAAGTCCTCATTTCGAATAACAGTTACCCGACGTTTTCATAACACTTAATTTTATAATTAATAAAAATACTTGTGCTGCTAGCAGCAAACAGTTTATAGAAGACTAGACAGCTAGATTTACAAAAACTATTGTCTATAAATTAAAAGAAATGAAATAACACTATAAAGAAAATCAAAAGTAAAATTCATGTTCTAATATTAACAAAACCCGTAATTATTACAAAACAAGTTTTTTTTCTCCCAATATGTATCTCTTTTTATTAAAATTTAAAATAAATATACTAATTTGTGTAATACTTACATAAGTGTAAATATTATTATTAAAATGATAAAACAAACAAATTTCTGATTATCAGTTAACCATTCGTTGATCTACATGTTGTTGTTGATGCTTTGATTAAATACGTGTGTATGAATTTAATCAGTGTGTGATATTTGAGTAGGCAACTATATGTATATCTACAATGTACATATGTCATGCTTTTATTACCAACATTGTAACATGTAGCATGAAAAAGTAAGTCCCCGTTTCCGTTTGGCTGTCTGTCTGTCGTCTGTATTGATTTTTATTAGGCAAAATCTCCGAAACAACTGGACCGACCGTTGTCAAATTTTGTATGTTCATTAGAGGATAAAACGCTAACCAAATTTTGTCTAATCATCTCCATCGTCATCTCAAAATTTCGGTTGGATATCTGCTTGAAATTTTATTTCATCTTATCCGTCCCTGTGTGGACTGTCTTCCCTTGAACATAATGGGGTGTTGCTTGCTCCACTTTAGCAGTTTGCACATATCTTTATTTTAACTTATTGGGATTATCATAAAAAATACAAAATTAAATTTTATAATTTTTCGAAGAAGCTGTATTTGTTCGACTGTACTTCAGAGGCGAGGAAATTTAAGTAACCTTAAACCAATTCTTTGTATCTTCCATAGTTTAAGACCATAATTATTATTTTGTTGCAGATAGTATTTATGCACACAGAAATCTGTAAATTATAATATCTGCTTTCAAAGTCATTAAATGAATGTTTCAGTAATGGGCTATATTTGCAAAAATAACCTTGAATCAAGTAGTAATTATGTGCATAAGAATAAATAATAACTGTTGCGGATAAACAGGAAAGTCGTTTTGGAAACAGAAACGGATGTGTGTGTTGCCCCATTTAGTATGTATAATTATAGGTGTGATGTTGAAAAAATACTCCAGTGCAATTTCCGTTTCGTACAATGGCGTTGCTCTTTTTGTGTGTTGGGTTGATGTATTGGTTTTTTCCAAGTAAATTCTAAATATAGTTTTATTCATGTTATAGCTCTTTTAATAAAAGTCATAGGTACTCAAAGAAATTCAACGAAAACATATGTCACAAACGCGTATTTATTCCACATTGTTGCGCATCAGAAACGAAAGTTTTTCATTAAGCGAATGTATAACTGGTTGCCTAAGATTGCAAGACATGCATGTTAAAATTGTATGTACACAGATCATTAAAAAAAAAAGGTCTGGTAGATATAGCAGTTATTAATGGTAAGCACAGAACATAGAATTGGTAAGCTCCTGTTTTTTTACTCTCTAACACTGTTTACATTTTTGTATCGTAGTTAATTATTTATTATTTATATGAATCATTAATATAATGTATTACTATTCAATTATCTATTTAAGTATTTATTTATTACTTAAATAGAAAATATAATTTAAACATCACATTGTGTGTTAACAAGAATTGAGACATAACAGATGTGCGTGTTGTTGGTTGAGGCATAGTAGATGCGTGGATATACATGTGCAGTTTCCAAAGTTTGTTAAGGCTGTTGCTACAACCAAACGAACAAGAAAATGTTCACCTAAGCTCGGAAGAATCAATAGTAAAGTAACAGTAAGCGTTCTCCGTTATTTGGCGTTGGTACTTAGGGAGGTTTAAAACATAATAAGTAATTTTCCAGTTTTTAATTTTTTTTTTTTAAGAAACAATTGTAACAGTTTTTTAGTATTTCAGAGTACGTAAAAAACAAAAATATAGATTCCACTTTCCATATGTCTGTTTGTAGTTCAGTGGCGATTTTATTATAGTGAACTGGTTTATTAAACAAAATCCGCTGTTTGTCAAGTCTAATTGTTTTGTCAATAAAGTCGTATTTATTGTTGACAGGACTAGTTAATTTATTTAAAAATCACATGATAAATAACAAACAATTTGATCGATTTTGCAAACTTATGAACATTTTAAGAGATAATTAAAATGTAAATTGTTTCAAATAGGTATTACTATTAAACAAAGTGGAACATTTTAATATTTGCTCTATCAGAGTGATCCATGTTCACCATAACTGAAGCTGTCATTAGTTGTCAAATCTGATGAGCACTAGAGGTAATCCACCGCCAGACGACGACAGTTCAAATTCACTTTGTCATTCAGGTAAGAAGGAACGTAGTACCTACACTAAACTACTTTGCAAAATTAAGTTAGCCTTATACCTACCTTGCTAATTAACTGATTATCGCAACCTTGAGCACTGTGGATTTTGTGATAATTTACAATAGGTGGATTTCAAGTTCGCTTATAAAGTTTGCGTACAACATTTTGCAGTTCCTCCATGACAAGTTCAATATTTAGTTTAATACCTGGTAGCTAGTGTTTTTCCTAGTTTATTTTCGTTCTCAGAATTTATTGTTAGAAATCGAGTTCGTATTTTTGGCTTGTTGTTCATGTGCCAGGCTGTCCGCGGTTTAGTTTTTATCGAATATTCCACATGTAAAGTCGTTGCTCGAACAAAATGTGTTCCCGTGGCGTATACCTTCCCAATCCTGATGAAATACAAATTGTAAATGCTCCTTCTTTTTTAAGAGTGAATTCATTTGTTGATGAAGATACTGTGGCTTCAGGTAATGTCGCTTTTATTCTTAGACTAATTATATAATAAAACATCGGGTTAGTCAATCGATGCGTGAAGTATATTTTTTGTGTAATTTTATTGCTGCAAAACATGGAGGTTTTGATCAATGTATTATTCAGTTGTAAAATACAAACACTTTGTTGTGTATTTTAATTTTTTAGCACTAATTTTAGTGTTATTTTTGAGATAGCTAAACTTTGAAGTTATTAAGTTTAAGTTCGATTTCTTTAGACGACATATTAGATTTTAGAATTTCTAAAACTGCTAGAAATTTGTGTTTTGGATATTTATTATTATATCTTTTGTGATTGTGACCCACAACTGTCACATGATTGCGCATGACTTGGAACTATAGAATGTTCCCATAATTCTATGTGTAGAGTGTCCCAGTTAAAACACCGCGATCTCTTGAGAAAATTTAGAAATATTGAAATTCTGTAAACGTCATTGCTTTTAGCTTGAAGGGGTTTGTTTTAATGGATTTGGATAGATTACTAAAATAACGATTTCAATAATATAAAATACTTCAATTTGAAGTTGATAAAAAAATAAAATTTATACATTTTTACTTCCCGAACGTACAGCGTAAGCGACATTGTTATCAAGTCCATCGAGTCACTTGTTACTTTCATGTTTACTCGATGTTTCATATAAAAAAATACATACCTCATTAAACAGATTGTGAACAGAATCAAACACTAAGTAAAACGGTTTCTAAACAATTAATAATATAATATATGAACATTCTTGCGAAAAAAATATTTGAAAAAATGTAATTTTTTCTGTTCCACGAAAAATCAAAAGGAAAATATTGTCTAAACATATGCACATGAAGTAAAGAGTGCATAAAAAATACAACAAAATTCATACTATGTAACAAAAAGACATCAAAATATATTTAAAAAAAACCAAGACCCCGTTTAAAAATAAAATTAAAGCAAAATTAAGCTTCTTCTGCTAGAATTTAGCGAGTTCCCTCTTCTTCATTTGCGAACCCACTGCAACAAAAAACATATGAAATTTTTGTGTACACAAAGGAAAACACCATAGGAGTCGAGTTCTTACACACTAATTTTTAACAACGGTGCAAATCAACATTTTTTTTAAATAGATACGATTTAAAAAATACTGATCAGAAGAAATTTTGGAATCACAAGATTTTATAATAACATCATGCGATTCTTTGTGAGGATGAACAGAAAAAAGTTGGTTTACCATGTATGTAACAGACTCACAATACAACCAAAAATTCATAGTTTAACAGTTTTGCACAATATTTGTCTAAAAATTCTCTAACACATAGATAGACGGAAACAGAAAATATCGACTCGTATTCCATAAACTGGGGATGATCGAGAAAACAAGAAATGAAAGTGTAATCCAAATTACCCTGCGCTACACTACGTTTAGAAGTTAAGAACATTCTAAAGTTAATTTAAGCGAAACTTCAATAAACACTTAAAAATAAATATTCCCAATAAACTGAAACATTGAAGGCCACTGTTTTCATGTAAAATGTTTGTCTGAAACTTTTTACTGATTTAGTGAACTTCTTTTAATCTATTTAAGTACGACCCAAATACCAAAAATGTTTTCAAAAGAAATCCGAAATTTAAATATTTCATAAAAAAATAATCATAATTGCAATGAATAATAATTGCAGTGATGTATAAAACGTAAACATGTATTTTAATGAGATAAAAATAAAAAAGTGCACGATGTAATCCCAAAGTGGAGATTAGAATAACAACTTGTGGGATTACATCGCACTTTAGTCTTTGGGTGTATATACTATTTTTTGCCCTATTGGAACTACAGATACTAAATTTTAAATTGGAAGAAAATATTTGAAATTACCTATCATCAATCGCGATAGTAAGCCTTGTCGCGTAACCAAAGCTGTAGGTGTAAAGAAAATGAGCCATTTTGAATTTTTCAATGTGTTTATATTACCACTTTAAAGTAAAATGTGTTTGGTTGTAATGGAAACACTTTTTATCCCTAGGCTCAAAAAGAATCACTTTAGTTCCGATTTAAAAATAAAAATATCAATTTTAGTCCCGGGAGGGCAAAAAACCTATTAAACATTCCAAATTATTTCAACCAAAAAGGCTAATTTCAAATAATGAGTTCTTGTTAAGATTGAAATTGAATTGAAAATGAATTAATGAATAGAATAAAAGAACTGAAGAAATAAGGCATAATACATCGAATAATAGACCGATACAGAAAGCCCAATGACAACACTTTAAATCCTGATTTCCTTTCCTTTCGAGCGTATCCTTGCAGACTCCGTCCTCATGGGGACATGACAACACTCACCTTTCACTTTAAGCCCGAAATCAAAATATTTTTAACAAAAATAAACCACTTACACAAACTAATTTACACATCGTACCTCAACAAAATCAAAACCGACTGGGACTGAACAAAAATTTCTCGCCGATACCATTACAGACATTTTTTGCGGAGTTTTTATTCATTAACACATCGCACGGTAAATAAATCTTAATAAAAAACACTAGGAGTAGAACATTATTTATTAGCAGAACATAATTTTCGCGTTGTGTGGATGAATAAGAAATTAGGAATAATGTCGTATACAACTCGCCAAAAGCAGAATTCAATTTTTTTGACCTTTGTAGACTGTGGAAAAAATTCTTCAATGCAGTCTAATAGAATTGTGTTTTCAAATATACAGAGTGTTCCGTTTAAGTTATACAACAATGCTGTTTATGTTCACTTTCCAGGCATATAAGTTTGGAAAACATTGTAGTAGAGTCCATTGGCTATTTTCAACTTTTCTTGACATTTTACAACCCCTAGATGATAAAAAAGAGCTTTCCCTTTTCCATCTGCCGGCCTGTCGTCCGTCGTCTATGGTCTGTTGGTGATTTTATTAGACAGACAATCTCCGAAACTACTGGACTGATTGTTGTGAAGTTTATATATACATATTATTAGGAATATCGTGTAGATGGTAAAATACTAACAAAAATTTGTCTGATCGTCATGTTTAAATTTTATAAAATAATATACTTCGATACTTGTGGTTTACAAATACTCCTTGGTTGTTGACCTAAATATCCAGATTTTTGGGGCAAACATCAGAATTGTATCCCAAAATATTCATAGAAACTACAAAACCGAATACTCTGAAATTTCGTAAATGTTTAAGGTTGTCGTAAGCATGGTAAATCGTTAATTAAAATGTATCTGTTCATCCCCCAATTACCTTGATGACGTTATCTTAAAATTTTGCTGGACTGGATAAATCCTATCTAAAATGTGCAAAAATTATGATAAATTGTACCTAAAAATCCAAAAGAGTATTGTACTTTAGGGGCGTGGAAAGTTCTGTCTAAGTAACTTTCGACAATTTTTTTGAAAAAGTGTTACGCGATGTAAATATATTTCACTATTCAAATGTTAATTTAATCGACAATCGGTAGCAAAACTACAAACAAATTTTACGAGAAGGGCTGTGTTGTGGCCAAAATTTGTTTTATCATTGTTTACTTTTGTTTTATCGATGACGCATTAAAGTTTCCGCGCCTATAAAAGTTTTCTGGCTCGATGTCAAGAATAAATTCAGCTTAAAAACAAGTACTTTTTAATGGAACTGCTACAGAAACAATCTTGTGACAAGAGAATATGTGTAAACAGAATTTTCTCGATTTATTAACACTTGTATATGTATGGACGAAATATTTAATCCAAATAAGTGCTAACATATATAGCTAAAAATTATTCTACAATAATACACATCATTTAAAAAACAATGCTATTCTGTTTTGAATAAACTCCTTCGCTTTAAATTCACTATATGTGTTTCAGTAACAGAGATTGAAATTTCGGTATCTGTCGTTATTTGGCTATTTTTGGCAAAAAAACGATGGTTCAAATCATATATTTCCACAGTGCTAATTAGGAGTAATTGTTTCAGTTATTTTTGCAATATAGTTGGAATGTACTTGGAAATTTCGTATTTATTAAGAGTTTTCGAGTGGCTTGACGATTTATAAGTCTGTAATTGATGCTTAGAAATTAGAGCCAATCCTGGTAGTGTATTGATTTGATTCTCCTCTTACAAGACCAATCTGAAACCTGCGGTTCATTTACACAATCCGTTATAAATATACCGAAGGAGCAAGAAAAACACAATCAAAGGCAGCTATGGATTTTTTGAGAGATGTATTTACTTATTGACCTAATGACATGTTGCACCATTTGAAAGAAAAACATGTGTGATAACTGTATCGCTTACTCTTATATATGTGATTTTCGGAGTGGGTATTTTTTGAAAGATTTGGCAAGCTCTGGAAAATTAAATTTATTGGTATTAATAAATCACTTTATCGTGGTTTTTGAAATAATGTTTGAGATAGTCGTATGATTGAGGATTTGTTAACATGCTAACTGTCGGTTGATAAACAGGTTTAAACAATGTATACATTGTTTGGACTCATCGTAGAATTTATTTTAACTGAGGCTTTACACTGCAAAATATTAATTGCAAAAAATTCTCACAGAATAACACAAACGAAATAAAATTTAAAAGTCTGACTTTGGAAGATAGTCTATTGCCATAGGAAACGTTAATCGTTTCGTCGAAACCGGCTGTTCAGCTAAAATTTTTGGAGTAGAAGGTCGTTTTCTGATTAATTTTAATAGTTTTTCGTAGTAAATGGTTGTTATAAGTAGTACTGAGTTAATGTCAGCATAATTACTATATAGCATTGACATTCTTGTGAGAGTTTATAAAATTTTATTTTAAGGAATGGTGTTTAGTGTTACATATTGTGAAATATTAAGATATTACTTACATGATAAGAGAGTTCAATTCTAATATTCCATTATATTGCCTTCACTTCTGAACTTCAGTGCGACGTGGTTCAGTGCTTCGGAGTTTAACGCTGTTTTCGAAATAATGTTTTTCAATTCGGCTAGTAGTTGTGATAGCTCTTTAGAAAGAAGACAGAGTAGTACATCGGAATCTAACGACTTTAAACCTGGTAATTAATATACTGATTTAACACGCACTACGATTTAGCCTTACCGATGTTGCTATCTAACTTACTATTTTTAGAATGATAAATTCATTCGCAACTTGCATGTCTATGTGTAAATAGTTTTGGAAATTATACAAAAGAAAATCTGTAGCCCTGAAAGTGGCCGCCAACAGTGAATTTGCATTTCTTTCCTGATGTGTTTCATTGTTCAAATATTTTTGGCAACTAAAAATCCGACGAATGACACTGACCTGACTCAATAATTGTGTTATTTTTGCGGAGGAATTTTGTCTCGATGTATTTTTGACCTCAGTTATTTTATACTACAGTGTTTGCACAACATATTTACCATCGAATTGATTTTTCTAGAACATACGATTTATTCACTGCAGATTTTTTTTAATTACAGGCAATGAAAGTCCCTCGTTTATCGCTACTTCACAATTCAATGGAACGCAGCCTGAACTTCCCAATGAATTGTCAGCTCCGTATGAAGTTCCACAATTTCCAATTGAGCAAATTGAAAAGAAATTGGCTATTCAAAGGCAACTGAATGTAAAGTAAGTATTTTTTAATCGTACGCAAATGCTCACATACTTGTATGTTTTCGCAAAATGACGTTTCACTAATAAAATCTACGATAATAATAATTACATAATAGGCACTCAAACTTTACAATCTGCATTTATTAGATTATAAATAAAGTCTGCAGTATATGCAACTGCTGGATAATAATGGTCATCAAAAAATTTCAAACGTACAAAATTTGTATTTTTGTATTAATGTTTCATCAAATATCGTACAGGAGATCTACTGAAAGATTTTTTCGTTTTAATGGAAACTTTAATGAGATACGTATCACCACTGAACAGGGTAAACTGAAAATGCAATTTCTTCCAATTATTTATCATAAAATACTTATTTTAGGGCAATATCTCTAAAAATAGTTATTTCATATTTAGGATTTATTACCTCATTAGTTATTACAGATACCTACTACAGATCAGATGTTATATATGTAGATTTGAACAATTAATTTAAACATACTTATTTATTAAAGCAGTTCAGTATTTTTGTCTTAAAAATGGGTCTTTAACAGTTACGAAAACTGTGCAACTTTAAGTAAATATTTAAAACAATGTATTTTAAAAATAATTGTATGTAAAACAGGTGGCCACTATTTTAGTTTGTGTAATTTTTTTGTTTGAAATCATTATAAACTGTTTGCTTTATTAAGTACACGCAAGTTGAGTATTTGAAATGTTTTCCCTAATTATAATTTCAGTAGTGATAGAATCGTTTGTTCTAGGTGTTTACATTGTCATAATTTATCCACTTTTGTAATACCAGTATTCATTAAAAAGTAAAGCTGTTATTACAGTGTTCTTTAAGGCAAACACATCATTGTTTCAAAAGTTGAAATGACCTACCATTCGTAAAAAGATCTTAATATAATTTATTGAGTAAAGCGCGTTCGTTGAAAACAATAAATTAACTTTGAATCGTGTTATTAATGTTTGGGAAATGTCTGATTTTGTTTTCTGGACGCTTCACAGCTCAATATGAAGAAAGTTTTAAGTACTTTTAGAATATAATAAAAACATGTATCAATTCATTCCCTTCAATAATAAATTCGAACCATAAAATTTGTGTTTAATTTTCATGATAATTTTGCCAATATCAGTTTTAAAATTACTAAATATTAACTACATTTTACTTATTCATTTTCCACAGAAGGTTGGTGACGTTATTTCAGAAAAACTTGTTACATATGTATCTCTTGTTTTCTTATTTATGCTATAGGACATCCATGGGCAACCTACGGCCCGCGGGCCGAATGCGGCCCGCCGACCGGAAACTTCTGGCCCGCCAAAGATTTTTTAATTGGTGTAAGTTTGGCCCGCAATGTGTACAATTGAATTCCTCAATTAAAATTAACGTTTTCAAATTTACAGTTTACATTTTCAATTAAAAAAAAACCTAAGTTTGAGAAGATAAATTCCAATAATAATTCTTATTGAAACATAGCCATGTGAATTTCTTGGAAGTCGTAAAAGGCCGCGTCCCGACAAAACAACTGTTTCACGCATAGCAGTGTGGGGTAAGGTGAAATCAAAAACAATTCGAAGAAATGTCTGCATGTGATATTATTGCAATTGTTTTGTACAATCCGCATTGATGGACCAATGTTTTTTGAAATCTGGCTTGATATTGCTCGAAGGGCCTTTGTTTTGTTGTGTGCGAAATAATAGACAGCGTTCGGTTTCGATGTTTAATATGGGACGGTTACAGAAGTACTAAATTCACACAATTTACAGTACTATTAACAAAAACAGGTAAACAGACCCAAAAGGGTCAGTGCTCGCTTCCGGAAATGGAACACCAATTCAGTTGTTATTTGTCGATTGAGGTGTAAGGATGGCATCGTCCAGCAAATGCAGAAAAGTCGACAACGAATGTCGTAGTTTTCAAGAAAAGTGGACAAACGACTATTTTTTTGTTTTGCACAAAGAAAAGCCAATTTGTCTGATATGTAATGAATCTGTTGCTGTTTTAAAAGAATATAATATCAAACGGCATTTTACAACTAAGCACTCCCAAAATTTCGACAAATTTAGTGGTCAGATTCGAATGGACAAAATTGAAAAATTAAAGAACAATTTATTAACACAGCAAAATATTTTTTTAAAACAACACCAAGAAGGTAACGACATTGCTCGTGCAAGTTTTGTTGTTAGCCAAATGATTGCAAAACATTCAAAACCATTTTCTGAAGGAGAATTTGTTAAACAGTGTCTAACTTCTGTGGCTCACATCCTTTGTCCGGACAAAGAGAAGAAATTTGCAGAAGTCAGTTTAAGTAGAAGAACCGTGACTAGAAGGATTGAAATGATGGGTGAAAACATTAAATTTAACTTGGCTGAAATCCTCAAAAAAGGTGTTGCATTTTCCATAGCACTCGATGAGAGTACTGACATAACGGACACAGCACAATTAGCTATTTTTGTTCGTGTTGTCGACGAAAACTTTGTTATAACGGAAGAGTTGCTAGCACTTGAACCAATGAAGGATACGACGACAGGCGAAGACATTTTTCAAAAGGTGGTAAATGTTTTTGAAAGTTTTCAACTACAATGGGAAAAATTAAGTGGAGTATCTACAGACGGTGCTCGTGCAATGGGAAGTGTAGTATCAAGAATTGCATCTGAATTGCGTGATAGAAATGTAAATATAGAGACTTTTTTTGCATTTCATTGTATTATACATCAAGAAAATCTATGCGCAAAATCAATCAAATTTCGTAATGTAATGGAGGTTGTGGTGACTTGTGCAAATTTTTTAAAATCGAGGGGCTTAAATCATAGACAATTTAAGGAATTTTTGGAAGATCTTGAATCAGAATATGGTGACGTTCTTTATTATACCGAAGTACGCTGGCTAAGTAGAGGGAAGATGTTACAGCGCTTCTATAATTTGAAAAGTGAAATCCAAATTTTCATGGAAATGAAAGGGAAGTCAATTCGCCAATTAACTGACGATGTATGGCTCTCTGAACTTGCATTTTTAGTTGACATTACCGGGTACTTAAATGACCTTAATGTAAATTTACAAAAAAGAGGACAATTTATACATGAAATGTTCGCACACATCAAGTCGTTCCGAACTAAACTTCAACTATGGGAAACTCAATTGCGTGCAGAAAATACTTACCATTTTCCTACAATTGCTAATTACAAAAAATTTGATTCTGCCGCTTTGGCAAACGAACTAAACGTATTAAAAGAAGAATTTTCAAGGCGCTTCCAGGATTTCAGTAAACATGAAAAATATTTTCACATATTTTTTAATCCTTTTGGCGTGGACGTAGAAATCATGCCAGAAAGTTTACAGATGGAGTTGATAGAGTTTCAATCAGATGATGCCCTGAAAGCCATCTTTAATAGAGATTTGACTTTGCTTGATTTTTATCAAAAATTCTTTCCCAAAGATAAATACCCAAATTTTAAAATTTTTGTGTGTAAAATAATGTGTCTCTTTGGTAGTACATATTGCTGTGAGCAGTTTTTTACGCAAATGAACTATACAAAATCCAAAAATCGATCGAGAATCACGGACCAAAATTTAGAACACACCTTACGAATTGCGTCGACTTCTCTTAGTGCTGATATTGACGGCATGATAAAAAACATTCAATGGCAAAAATCCCACTAGTATACTCGCTAATCCCATTGAATATCTATTTTTAATACTTTCACATCATATATTATGTTGAAGTGTGTTTTTGAATAATAAATTTGTTTTAATTTTATAGTGTATTTGTATTTTATTGTTTACAGTACGTTTCTCCAGTATTAAGTATACCATAATATACATATTATATAATACATATATAATAATTATTGTGTATTATTATTTATTTGGTGGCCCGCGGTTGCCGGATATATTTTCCGTTAGGCCCGTCTTACAGAAAAGGTTGCCCATGGATGCTATAGGATAATGCTTGTATTTTGTGTGTTTAAAGAAATATAGATGCAAGTGGCCCAATTTATTTTATTGATCCTCTCAGGAACGGTTCGTTCAATTTCCTTTAAACGTTATGATTAGATTACATTGTACGCAAGGAAATTATTTTATGATTGTGTCCAGCATAAGCCGATGATGTTATTCCAAAATTATTCTAAACAAACCTTTTCCAGATTTTTAGATTTTACGTTACGGGCTTAATACAATTTAAGTTGAGGTCTTTAATAATCACTAGTAGACAGTTATTTAGTAAATTAGAACGAAATTTGTATAAAAGCGATCTTTAAAATAACCTTTAATTATACTCTAAATGACAAGATTGTTTCACTATTCCTAGACACAATAAATAACATGTTTCTATAATTAACTTTGTCTTCCGTATGTTTTTACAGGTGTTATATATTAGTAGCCATATATTTAATAAGGGAAATTAAATTAGTAAATTCTGTCTACGTATAATACCTATCGGAGCAAAACTTAAATTTAATTTAAACTGTGACTGTAAATTACAGAAAGTCCACATAGTAGTAGTTGTTCGTAAAATATCTATTTTTAACTTTGAATCTTAGTAGTTGTAAGTATTCTGCATTTTTAATCATGATTAAATTGCAACATAACTCATTTACCTACGTGTCGGGTTTCTAAGAAAATAGCATTCTTACTTCTAGAGTATTTCAGTTCAACTCAATTAAACGTAGCAGGGCGAGGGTTAGTTCATACTGCTTCGATGTACGACTTGTCACACTTTAGATTAGTTTGTTATGTCCGTTCTAGAGGTGTGGTAGCCTCAACCGCCTATAATAGTGATCAACTAAGCCTACATTTTTCCATTACAACACAGTCATTAGCGAAACGTCATAAATGTTCGGACCTGCTTCTGAATGGCGTAGATTTCAACTCCATTGCCAGTAAGAATTAACTTGTTCAATTAACTGTTCAAAATGTGTCCTTTACAGGGTTTTAAGTGATAGACGCAGTCATTATGAACCGTCAGTTCCAGGGGATGAACAGGACCATAGTACATTGGATGAGCACGAATTGTATGTTCCACATTTTCAAAGAGTATCAATTTCTGGTGAAGATACCAGTGGGGTGAGTAAATAGTGTTAAGTGTGTTGTTTATATTTCACCTCTCAATGTTGAAACGTGACACAAAGTTAAACACTAATTTATTGTTAAAAGTGACCGAACGTTAATGAAAAGCTTCCTTTTGGATTTGGTGACATTTAACCCATTTCAACAAAATACCTTTTAATATTAGTTAATAAATTAGCGCCTTTTAAAACGAAGTGAGCCTGTTAAGCCGTTTAGTTTTTATTACGTCTATGGTGTTTCATAACAGAATCCATACGACTGGCGATTACTTTTAGAAACCCTTGAAATTTCTTGCAACAAATAAAACTATTCTATTCATTAAGAAATTTCCAGATTTTATATTTTCAATATATATTGGTTGCAGTGCTGTCCGGGACTTCAAAATAAGGTGAAATTGCTGTTTTAAGCATGGTTTTATTAACTTTGTTAACATTGATATTATCCATGCACGCGTACGTCTTAGAAGCTAATGAACGTTGTGGCGCCCCTTTTTCTTACATGTTATTTATCAAATTATTTATTTAAGGTGCCATTGGAGGATTTAGAACGGGCGTCGCGACTGATTGTTCAAGCATTGCAAATCAGGAAACGTTATATGAAACTTTCGCATCAAAGCTTCTCTGCTACTGTTGGACGTTTTCTAGATCCACACAAACCAGACTCGGCTCATCACGATGAAAAACAAACTATAGAAGGTACGTGATAAAAAAAGCAATAAAAAATGAAAAACGACTTGACAAAATTTCTTTTGTATTCCCCGGTGTTTCTTTTGGTAACTGTGTTTCCTTTAAAATAGTTCGTAAAGGAACTCAGATTTTATTATTTTCGTATAATAAAATGAGAGTTTCGATCCTGCATGTACCAAAAATTGAAGTTTGCATGTACTGTAGCTGAAAATTCTGCGTCTTCGGCGACACCATCCAGATCCTCTGCTGATTTGTGTATGACTGAATCGATGTGCGACGTTGTACTCGATGATATGTTAAAAGATGGATGTCAACAAGGTAACAAAATTGTGTACACAGGTGATAACATATTTCTACAAAACGCACAACCCTACAGAACAGGTCTCTTCAACGCGTCGCAACACCAACATTGCATTGATATTGACTTTCATATCACGATGTTTCGATTTGTTAGACGGACTTGTTAAATATAAATGACATCTTTTACATTTAACGTTGTCATCCGTTTTCTATTTAAATTCTGACAAAAATGACGACCATATCATGCAACACTTTTGACTTATTAATGCTATCTAGCAGTTAGCCAATAATTAAATGTTGTGTGAGATTATGATATCGCCCTTGTTTAAGATTTATATGTTAGCGTGACTGATACATTGTTACTTCTATGATAATACATATGACATGTGAATGGAAACGATAAAAAATAAATAAAATAGTTTTTCCAACACTAAAAAAAACATTTAATGGAAATATAATGTCAAAGTACATAATGAGTTAAATAATAATAATAAATAATATAATTTTTTTTTTTATTTATATAATATAATTATTATTTACAAACAGTCAAACTATAATATAAGCGTTTTCTAAATATTTATATGTTGTAAATTTTTAATAAGTGTAATTTGAACATAATAAAGATTTTCATCAATAAGATGAATTGAAAATTCAGAGGCAAATGTTTATTAAAAGAATAGATCTTAGCTCTGTTTGATGATAATCACTTTCGTCATTAAAGATTATCAGCTCATAACACTGCTGGTGTGGGAATCAGCTTGGTCGCGCGAGGGTGGGGATAGCGCATCGATCGTCGCATTGAATCTTAACCAATTTCAGACTTTTAAGGGTTAATTTTTTGTGTGGGAGGTTTTTAAATATTAATACTGGTTATATTTATTACCGAATTTACTTCGTAAGTGTTCTCCACATTACGTGAAGCCAACTTTCTATTTTCAGTTATCCTATACTTGTTATTTTTATTTCGCAAGCGAAAAGGTGTTGGCGCCAGTCTGCGGACAGTCGTCGTCGTCGTCTCTGTGTTGGAAGTTTATTGGGAAAATAATGTTGGAACTTGTATCAAATTGATTACTTTCGCATTTTAGGTGTACCCGAAAATTATTCTAAGCACTAAATAAAATTTGTTCTTATTTTGTAAACTTTTAAATTTACCGAGGATCTTCAAAAACCAAAAATAATACAAACAGAAACTACAAAAGGGATTTCACCCAAATTTAATTTTTTTTTCATTTTTTCCTATATCCATATTTTTAACCTAACACCTAACACATACTGGTTATCAAAAAACAGTACATTTGTAAAGGGCCATTTTATAAATATTCGTAGAACGTACACAATGGACGTTTTGACATCTTGGTGACTTCATCTTGATAAAATACTTGAACTAATAAGTACAGAATATCGACTAAAATTTCTTTATTCATCTCCTCTCGAAAGTTGATGACATCTTCTTAAAAAATTATTGATGAAATGTATTTAAAACAGCCTTTAAGGTATTACATTTGGTTGTGTTTTGATTATTTATTTTGCTGTTTTGACTGGGAAACCACATACAAAACAGCAAAATAAATTATTAGTTTACACTTCTGTTTTATTTTAATATACAGAGTGTTCCAGATCAAACTTTATACCGTGAAAACGATAAAAATATTGAAATTGTGTAAACGCCATTATATTTAGCTTGAAAAGGGAAGCTGCAAATTATTTCGCAGACAAAAATATACAGGGTAGGACAAAAGTTTGAAACCGATCTGACATACACAATGAACTGGTCACGGTTCAAAGGACGATGGAAGAACTATTCACACTTCTAATTTTTATTGTTGCGTATACCATGTGCTTAAATCTTATAAGTAATCTTAAACAAGGAGTGATAGTTTGTTTTTAATTCACCAGTTTAGTCACACTGACTAACAATGCTTATTTTTGCACGGAACTCTTGTTCCGAATAGTAACTTTCTATTCTTATTAAACAGAACACGGTATTCACCCCCCAACACATCACCCTTGGGAAGTTCGAAATATCCCTGATACTGCACACGTCTTTAAATCTAACTGCGGGATTTATGAGGTGTATGTCAATGAGGAGGCTCTAGAAGAGGGAAAGCCTTGCGATTACCCATACCCAGATGTAGCAACATTTGGAGAAGACATGAATGTGATGTGTAACATGATCGCTGATGGACCACTGTAAGCACTTTATTAAAGAATAATCAGTATATAGTTAACCATATATGTTTTTAGAAAATCGTTTTGTTACCGTCGTCTCAGTTACTTGTCGTCAAAGTTTCAACTACACGTACTATTAAACGAACTGAGAGAACTTGCTTCTCAAAAAGCAGTGCCACATAGAGATTTTTACAATATACGTAAGGTTGACACACATATTCACGCAGCATCTTGTATGAACCAGAAGCATTTGCTTCGTTTTATTAAGAAGACGCTGAAAAATCATGCCGATGAAATTGTTACAGTCACTAACGGTAAGACAATGACGCTGAAAGAGGTTTTTCAGGTAAATATGCAATTAGTACAAAATATTTTTAAAAACTGATTAATGATCTTTTAGTCCATGAATTTAACGACTTACGACTTAACTGTAGATATGCTTGACGTCCATGCAGACAGAAATACTTTTCATAGGTTTGACAAATTTAATGCAAAATATAATCCGATTGGTGAGAGTAGACTCAGAGAGGTCTTTTTAAAATCTGACAATTACTTAAAAGGCAAATATTATGCTCGCATTATTAAGGAAGTTTGTAGTGATTTAGAAGAATCTAAGTATCAAAATGCTGAACTTAGATTAAGCATTTATGGCAAAAGCATGGACGAGTGGGACAAACTGGCAAAGTGGGCCATTGACTGCAACGTTTATTCAGATAACGTTCGATGGCTTATTCAGATACCGCGTCTTTTGTAAGTACTACAATTTAATTTGTTGTTTTATTTAATTGTTTTTTCCTTCTTAGTGATATCTTTAAGTTGAACAAACTGCTGCAAAACTTCCAACAAGTTATTGACAATATATTTTTACCGTTGCTCGAGGTAACAGCTAGACCATCTTCGCACCCGGAGTTGCATCGTTTTCTAGAGTATGTAATAGGTTTCGATTCAGTCGACGACGAAAGCAAGCCGGAAAAGAATCCTTTATTTGACAAAGACTTACCAATTCCTGAAAACTGGACTGATGATGAAAATCCTAGCTATGCTTATTACTTGTATTACATGTACGCAAATCTAACAGTTTTAAATCATCTCAGAGCAGAAAAAGGACTATCTACGTTTGTGTTAAGACCACACTGTGGTGAAGCCGGTCCGGTCCAGCATTTAGTTTGTGGATATATGTTATCTGAAAACATCTCACATGGATTGTTGCTAAGAAAAGTTCCTGTTTTACAGTATCTCTATTATTTGGCGCAGATTGGAATAGCAATGAGTCCATTATCGAATAATAGTTTATTCTTAAACTACCATAGAAATCCATTGCCGGAATATTTGTCTCGAGGTTTGGCGGTTTCGCTTTCAACTGATGATCCTTTGCAATTCCATTTTACAAAAGAACCTTTGATGGAAGAATATAGTATTGCTGCTCAAGTTTGGAAATTATCCAGTTGTGATATGTGCGAATTGGCAAGAAATAGCGTTCTGATGTCTGGTTTTCCGCATAAGATTAAGCAGTACTGGTTAGGACCAAATTACACTAAAGAAGGAGTAGCTGGAAATGATATTGCTCGCACAAACGTGCCAGATATTAGGGTTGCATTTAGGTATGAAACTTTGATTGATGAACTGTCGAATATCTTCAAGGCGTCTCCAGAGAAGAAAAGTTCGTAAACAGCTTTTTATTTTCCGACGTTTCTACAATTCTAAAGAATAATTTAACACAGCTGAAGAGTTCCATGCAAAATATCTGTGATAATAATTTAGTAACCAACGACGAAATTTTTTTATGCCGTTTTTTAGTAATCGGTGGAAGCTTTTATCATAGTTGCAAATAACTTTTCTGCAATAGTCCAGTACCTTAAAAATAGACAATGGAGAATTTTTGCAATTTAGGTCTTCTTTGCATATAGATTCCATTAGTGAATATCGAATGAAACCAACCCCAAACGGCATTCGATCATAATGAAATTATATTTTTTCATGGTTCTCTTCAAACGATAATTTATGGTTAAGTTTTTAAATTTTATAAATTATTTTTTATATATAGGCATGTAATAATTATACAACTTAAGCGTATATATTTTATAATGTAATGTTTCATGTAAGTAGAAAACACCTCCAATAAATTTGAAGTTGTGATGATGTCGCCTTACAATCTGAACTGAAACTATATGTTATTTGATTCTTTATTATAGTGGTATGTTGGTTTGTTGTACTGTTATATGTAAAATGTTTTTTATCATTTTTATTGCAATTTGTTAAAAAAAAGAAAATGTACAATTTTTTGTCATGTTGTCAAATATTATAGTATGATGTAACTAACCAGCGGGTCTGTTCACATTGTATGTTACTATGTTTCTATTAATTTAATATACTATATGTCTAATAAAATAAAACTTCAATAAATATAATCTTGTTAAAATATGGATACTAAAAAGAAAAGTAATTCTTTCAAATGATATAAAATTTACTCATTAACACGATTATAAAAAGTGCGTGCTAATCTATATTGTAATCATTTTAAAAGAAGCCAAACTATTAAATTACTAACTCTAATGACCAATAATACGCAAATTAGAACTTTTGTGCCCACTTATTGTTTAATGTTCAATAGTTTATAAAGTAGTAATCTGAAATGGTAATAAATTGTATAAAACAAACAAGTGTTGTTTCATTTCAAAGTGTAGTCACTACCATAAACTCCGAAATCGTAGTTTTATCATCTTCGTTCTCTTCTTCTAACAAAACTTTGAGTGTGTGTCTCTTCTCTTTTGAACTTTTCATTCTTCTTGCTTCTTGGTTTCCTGAAGCTTTGACAGTCCAAACCCGAGAAACGTCTTTCTGTTATTTTAATAATTACGTTTCTTTATTTTATGCATTAATATGTACAGTGTATAGATCAACAAAATCTATTATCTAACCGTTTATATTTCCAATACAAAAATGAACTTTTTACAATCTGCTGTCACAGTTTCCGTTTCTCACATTTTCTGCCGTCGTACTCGAATTCGTATTCCCCTGTGGAGGACTTATTCTTGTTGGCATTAATAATTCTCTGAAAATTTTTCGAGAAGGAGCTTCCAACAACAAATACAATGCAAGTGCAGCTAGAAAAGATAGCACGGTATCTGCCAGTGCCAGGTTTATCTGCAAACAAAACATTAAAACGGGAACCATTTGTTACTTCTTTGAACGCTTACCACATCAAAATAAGAAAACTGACGAGGATTCATAAATATAGATGCGTATCTAAGTTGAAATTGCATATGGAAAAGGTAGGCACCAAATACCAGTTTACTGAGAGGAATCCATGGTGACCAAGTCAGGATTTTCCGGATAAAAGTTGCATGTCCAAAACTGGATACGTACATAATTCCTACAGTACCAAGGTCAAAAGCTGGTCTATGGAGAGCTGCATATGTAGCGGACTCCAGTGCGTTGTATTTATGGTAAGGGTCATAAAAAGCTGCACCACCAACTATAGATATTAGAATGAAGAATACAGAAACGATGAAATAAAAATAGCTTTTTATCTACAAATTAACCTGCCGGTGACTATTTTAAATTAGTATTCGAATTAATCAGTACCTTGCTTACATGAACGTCTTGCCCTTGCAGTTTGTAGTAGACGTAACCCATAAATATTCCTATGCAATAAGACGTTGCTCTTGTATGAGATTTTATATAAGTGAGCTGGAAGTCTGGGTGAACTTTAGGCCCTGTCAGAAATTCTGGATAAAAATGAAGTAGGGCTGGTCGTTGGTATATAATGGTTATGGCAAAGGGTATTGCCGCAGAAATTACTGTAAGAAGTAACAGTGCGGCAAAACCTAGTTTCTTGTCTTTGTTTAACAACATACACACTCCTATTGCTATTACGAAAAAATGAAAATCACAAGGAAGGTACCATGAATGCGCCAAACACTGCAAAATAAATAAATGTTTAGAATATTTTACAGATTTAATTAAATTTGACTGCAGAGTAGGCGACCGGAAATATTTCGAAAAATAACGTTTCTAGAGGATATTTCCGTACAAAAGATTTTTAATTGGAATAACGGTAGTATAACAACTCAAGACAAAAAAGAAGACTTAATTATAAGGATAATACCCATATTCTCTATGCACTGACATCATCTAAATTTTTATGTTACATGGTTTGGGATAAATTAAGCCAAAAAAAAACAACTTTTCAAACCACTTTCTGAAGGCTTTATTTCGCTAGAATGAATGACATACAAAATGTTTTTCATTTATTAATATGATACTTATAATTTTGTTAGTGTGCAAAAAAACAAATATGAATAGAGTTTTACAATAAATTTACAAACCGTTAGATGAATCAAATGATATATTAATATGCTTTAGATATGTCAGGTGTAGAAAGTCACGTTTTAATAACACGTTGCCGTTCGAACACTAATTAAACCGTTGTATGCAATAGTTATTAAAAAAATAAAATCGCTTCGTTTTTTTCATACACTTTGAATGAAGGTTATAAAATAATCCATACATTTTTTAAATCAGTAAAACTTTACTACTTGGTGAATTTTGTAGGTAGTGTTTATTATTTTCATATCGACATTCACTTAAAAATACAGCGGTTAATTTTTTTAAATATTTATTATGAGCATCTAATTTTAGCAGATTCACGAATCGTAACTGTCCTTTTAGAATTAAAAATAAAAATATGTGAATTTTTAGGGACAGTTAAAAATGAGTTGAAAATCAAAGAATTTTTGGCAATGTATTTATAGTTTTGTATTTGATTTTTTTTTGTAGATTTTTTTACATGATTACAAGCCCTGTCGACACATTTTATAATAGCGACTGTACCGAGAGAGCAATAAAAACACGATCAAGAACAGCCACCGTTTTTTTAGAGTTTGTCTTTGATTGATGCATTTTCAAGTCAAACTATCAATTTGTCGGCAATCTGACGGAACTTCAATTCCATCCGCAACAAATCTTCAAAAATCCATGGCTGTCTTGTATTGCTCTTTTGATATAAAAATGTACGGCCAGTTAGTTTTTGCTAAAAATTTGACATAATATGTTGCTATGAAATAGTCGCTCTGAAATTTATTTTTATGAGATTAGTCTGCGTTTCAGAAGTGATAAAAAATGTCATAAAACCAAATCTAAACTAACTATTATACTCCCAAACGATGTTTATTCTACCTCCGATAATAATAATTAATGGTTAAAATTTAATGAAAGCAACGGTTAAACTTTTCAGTAAACCCAAGATAAAAAAAGCTTCATTTTAGGTGTATTATTATTATTATTGTTATTATTATTAACTTATTAACGATCACCATTTTAACGGGGTTTTAACAGTAATAAATTCAGTAAAACTGCTTGCAACATTTATTATTATTATTAATTAGTTTGACACGAGTTCGGAATTTTCCTATGTCGTTTGTAAACCTCAACATTACTAATACAGGAGATGTACAAAATCGAAACTTTGTTGCCGTTGTGTTACACAGTTGTGAATTTTTTAAACGTCTATATTTTTCAGAAGATTTAGAATTTTTGTAAATATGTTACCACCAACGACATTCAGCAAAAATGAATTTTAATATGTTTGCAAAAAATGTACTCCTATTTTTTTTGTTTATCATTATTTATGAAATTATACACGATTGCTGTGTGTCAAATTTTAGCACTTCATAATTAAAAAAAGTTAAAAAGATGAAATAGCTTATAGATCTAGTACATGAAAATCGTTTACTTAGTAAATATAATGAAATGATTTATTAGATCAGATTACTTCTTTAAAAAATGCTACCCGACGCCTATTTATTTTGCTGAGTCATAACACAACTATATTTTTGCGGCATCAAAAATCCTTGATTTGTTAAAAATCTCACTATACGTAATTACCCGATTTCCCACAATGACTTTCTTATAATACTTACTATGTGGTCTGCATTTATGTAATTATTCAAATACAAGAGATTGGTCCACCAATTATCCTTACAATCTTGCGACTCCTGACCTGCTATTACTTTCCAGAATGGTCCGGATCCAGTGTAGTTATAAACTGTAGCGTAATAAAAGATAACGAAGGCATATGCGGGAGTTAATCTAAAAAAAAAAAAAGAAAAAAAAAAGAAACAACGTATTTACTCAGTAAATTATCGTAACCTTGAACTAGTGAGAGGAAATTATTCACACTTGAACAACTGTTTTGCATGCAAGCTTATGCATTACTTTACACAAAAAATTAATAAAATGACAAATTATTAAATGCCAGTCATTATTTTCTTATGAAGAGACATAATTTAAAATAATTATGACGCTATAAGCACCCAGTAATAACAATGTAACTCAATTGTCAACGATGTTGCTTTAGTTTTATTTTTTTTTAATTATGATCCATAAATTATATGCACATTTGTGGGTATTAATATGTAGTAGCAGTAATTACTTGGAAAATTAATATGTACATTGTTTATGGAAATTCATGTTTATATAAAATTATTCGTATGTACCAAGAAATATAAGATAGTTTGACTCAATTTATTTACAACAACTAACTACAACAATAAAATGATACAAATTGCTAGGTAATTATTTAGCATTTATCATCACTCACTGGCTTATTCCAGTTATTATGGCAATGTAATTTTTTTTTTTTAATGAAATGTGAAGAATGAGATAAAAATGACGTTTCTGTCTTGTAAGATTTTTAGAGACATTATAGAATTATTTTTGAGATTATCAGTAAAATAAATCTGTTCGTACATTACTTTTGAGCGGTTTTAATCAATAATAATTTAAAAAAACTGCAGAATATTATTGAAACACAAACAATATCGTTTTAAGAGTTTATTTTTGAATACAAAGAAAACGTTTCTTTCTGAATTTCATTGTGAACTTTTTAGTCCATGTAAATATTTCATTTTGCCATCTAAAGTGTAATTCCAAATTAAAATTAGGATTTTCCTAGAATTTTGCGAAGAATCAATATTAGGGACCGATATTCATTTTTTGAAACGATTTCAATAAAAATTTTCTACAACTTTTTTCAGATGATATTGTCAACATTTCAAGGTACACGAATAAGTGTAATTCCAAGTTAAGTTAATTAAGTGTCTTTTTGTACGAAACTGTAAAATCTTATAAGGCATAAATTTTTACAATAATACACCAATTTATTTTGATCGGTTTCGATTTTAAAAACACAGATAATTGAAAGAATATATGAACTTCTATTAAAAAGGTATAGTCGACTCACCACTTTAAGAAACTTTGACTAAAGTTATAAATCATAACGACAAAGAAACTTACTTTACCAGAGTAAGTACACTAAATACCTCCCTCTGATAACGTTAATGCACCCCATCCTTTTATACCTGCTTTATTTGTAGGTATAATAATATCTTTGATCATTCATCAACACTATTATTACTATCCAGTTTAATTTTATTTTATTAATTTTAATTTGCGATAATTTTGAATTACCATTAACATTTGAAAAAAAAGTTTTGGTTATTTGTTTATCTATCTTATAAGTGTGCTTGAAAATAACTCAATTAGGATATGTCGTCTATTAACATTAACATTACAACAACAATTTTATGGAATCTACTTCTTGATTTCTAGATTGAAGATGACTGGGTCTTCAAATTTTTAGTTACTAGTACTAGAAAAATAACAAAGCAACAGATTAAATTTCGATTCTATCTATCAAGAATAGTTACAAAAAAATTAAATTTCAAAATAATTTTGTGTTTTAGTATTGCTGTCACTTTGCAAACAAAAAGTGAAATTATATTTATACTTAACTTCAACTTTTAAATACTAGCAAACTTGACTTTTTTTTTTTTCAAAAAAAGAACATACTTAAGACTGTCCTTAAACAACATTACTCATTTTGAATGATTATTATGAAACTGATTGTAAAGCTGGTCTTTGTTAATAACAATAGGTATAGTTTTGGAAATTTCATTGTACCCTATAAGATTTTATTGACAATAACGAGACGCATGGTAGTACAATGGTAAGAAATATATATTTATGGCTCACACCAGTTCACCCGAATTTGTCGGAGAACATTTAGCAGGTAGTTGTACTCAATAAAATAATGGTCACTTTCGTTCGTGAGTAACGATGGTCCCTGTCCGGATCTGGATTATTTTGTTTTCTAACATCTGGAGATTACCGGCACGTGACAACTTTAAGTTGTAAATATATCTTGCTATTGCACTACTATTTGCCTCGTTATTGCCATTAAAATTTTATAGGGTAGAAAGTAATTTCCAAAACTATAAATCCAATTCGACCTTTCAGCTGCCTAGTCTATAACAGTCTATATTTTAGCAGAAAATGTCAAGCGTTGCAGATTTTAGTCAAATTGAACTTTAGAAACCATATTATATGCAACACATTGGACCTATACAAATTTTTGTAGAAAAATTATTATTACATATTAATGGAAAAAAAGGTTAAAAAAACAAACTTTTAGAAACTTTAAATATTAAAAAATAAATATGACATATGTTACATATGACTTTAACACATGAAAAATCTGAATTTCCTATAATATATAGTCCTTCTATAAACACGTCAGATATGTGAAAATTTACCTGGGTAAGTATATCGAAATTTATTCAAGTCAGGTCAGTAAAGTACACAGAAAAAAACAAATATGTTAGCAATTAGTTGTGATTTGACTGCATTTAATTTTCTTTCCGTAACATGTGAAAACGTAATAATCTAATAATGATTATTATTATTGTACGCCGTACTTTCAAATACGTAACAAAAATACATTTAATTATTTGCATTCATTTATTCAGAAGGTTTAATAAAGACATGAATAATGATTGTAATCAATAGATATTATTATTACTTAGTAAGAGTGCTAATTACAACAATAACGAGATTATTGCATGTATGTTTAAAATTTTTAAATCGTCCGTATTCCGGTACCAAATTTTGTAAGATTAAACTTTATTACAGAGGAAAAATACACAGATGGCGTACAATTTTTTTATCTAACATACGGAGGGCATGTAAATGAAAATGTAAATACATATTAGATCATTATAGCACTTTTATATAGTTCTTTAATATATCAATCTCTAGCATATCTGTAAAAGCTCTGCTTCGATTTTTATCTTCTATCCAAAAAACCAATTTGTTATTTTATAGGGAAAAACTGACTTGAGGTGCCCGAGGTGGCATTTTATCCGCCTTACATTGTAAATGTAGTGAAAAAAATTATTTCAGTGAGACCAAGAGACGTAATCTTGAAAACTTCTAAATTATTATGTGTTTATAAAATGATTTATTTATATAAAGTTTAGACTGAAGCAAGCTTAATATTTATGTTCTAGAAAAAATTTTTCATTAGCTGGAAACTTGAAATAGTGGTAATGGCTATTACGATTTGAATTACTGGAAATGTGGAAGTCATCTTTAGATTTTTATTTTGTACATCTAGGTGTTACCTGGAAATACCTTAATGAAGGAGGATTGAGTGCAAATTTTTATTTTTTAAACATCTAGCTTCTTGAAAATATGAAATCACATGAAGCTAGTTAACTTAGTCCTCGGCCCTCGACATATAAAATGATTTACAATAAATGGTACATGTAATTCTTTCTATGCTTTTTTTCTATAGACTTACCTGCATATGTTCCGACAACAAAAGCTAGCTCAAACTAGCAATTTAACAGAAGCATTTTTCATCAATTGATTAGCAAAATTTATATTTTATATGAAATTCGAATATTGCAGTACACACAGATCTTGCTTCATTATTAACTAGCTGAGACAGAATTAGAAAAAAAACCATACATTCTATAGCATAGAAAGAAAAAAATATATGTAATGATTATTTAGTAATTGTTATTATTTTTATTAAATTTAATCAAGCTCTATAAAATCTAGTCTTAGAACCAGCTGAGTAGTAAGTAGCACACATATTTGTTTAATATTTTTCCTGGGTATAGTTTGTTTAACTACACTTATGAGAAAACAAAGAGCAAGTAGATATCCGTTTTTTTTTTATTTAAAAATTAGCAATATTTCGCGGAATTATCGTTACTCATCGTGTAATTAAATAGTAATCAATTTGCAATAATAAGCATCGCTCTAATCAACAATTCATTAAGTAATACACTGCATCATTCTTTTGAAATAAATGAGATTACACCATGGATTACACATTTTTCGTTTTATTTTAAAGTGTGAATATTAATATTATAAAAAAGTAACAATTCATTAGTACCATTTTTGACTGCAATTTATACAAATTTTGCTAAAATTAAAACCCATTTCTATGCATCAGTTTTACCTTTTGTCTGTTCAATATGTTAGTTTTCGAATATTTTTTCCACTTACCTTACATATCTCATTAATATAAGAAATCCAGGATTTAGTTTTCTCTTATCTTGCTGATTAAGCAAGCCGTAAGTAACTAATATTCCACCCATAATAAAAAAAGTATCTACGAACAAATCTCCGTGAAACAAAAACGGAGCAAATGGTTCTCGGTATTGCTAAAATAACATTTTTGTTAAAAATAAATTGTCATTTAAGCAACTTACTTTTTCCACATAGTCAAAGTTTAGTATGGCAGACCCCGTAAATGTACCGAACCGATGATCCAAAATTATAAAAAATATGCAGATTGTTCTAACACCATACAGTATAGATAAAGCTTCATTTGATTCGTCAAATTTTGTTAATTCATTGAAATTTTTTCTTGCAGAAAATGAAAGAAAAAGCTTCTGTAACAGGGGTTCTGGATATATGTTAAAAAATACTACATTGTTACGAAAAAAGTCTTACTTTTAGTTGGCTTCTCGTCTTTAGGCTCCAAAATATTAAAATCAAAAATAGTGGAAGAGAGTACTAGTGTTAAAAGAATTAGAGTGAATAAGCTGAAAATAAGTTTAATAAATAATTATCAAACCGAACTGAATTTAATTTAAATTTGTAATACCAGAAGCATATGTCAGCAATTGTAAAACTATTGTTATCTTCTTTAGTGGTACAAGTTATGTTTCCAACTTTTGCTGTATATGTTACATTTTCTTGAACCAAAGATAAATTTAAGTTGTTTATATACTTATTAAGAAATTTTTCTATGTCTTGTGGTGTACATGATGCTGGAATGCACCATCCAACTTGCAAAATATTTCTAACTTGTTGAGACATGTCTTTATACGGCTAAAATTAGTTTCCTTTTCTTTCTTATATTCAAGTTTTCTTTTAAAAAATAATTACTTACATAAAGTCTGTTCAGAACGTGCTCATTGGGATGATGATACAACGAAAGTGGATCTCGGCTTTTTTTTGGTTTGGGAATGTTGGCTTCCAAATTAGTTAGACAATACTTGGTAAGAAATGGGGCAGCCGCTCCTAAACATTCTTCGAAATGGCCTAACTGAAACTGAACCCCTCGAAGCACCCCTGCAGTTGATTTAGCCGTAGCATCCCACACTGTAATAATTATTTTGAAACTCCATAACGACACTTTCTTCGAAATCTTACTTTCATGTGCCCACAGCGTGAAATTTTCTAAGTTTTGCTTGTAAATTTCACTGTGTTCCTTACATTTTAAATTGTCTGTGTCTAACACTGCTACCGGTAATGAAGGAAAAATCGAATTGTTTGGATTTTCCGCGATCACACACCATATAATTGACGCACTTATACAAAAATATATTTGCTTCCTCATTGTGTTAAACTCTCATTACGCTATCAATTTTTAAAGAGTTTGTAAAACGTTAGAAATACGAATGCGTCAATAAATAAGAGCAAAACTTTTATAACTTTTGTAATGCCTGTGCGCAGTGTCAGCTTGGCCTTCATTGTTTACATACTTTTAATTTACTTTTATGGAGAGAACGAATAATTATTGTTAACTAATCGAGTGCATCGTTGGTCCTTAGTGAAATCATATAATTATTAATAATTTTCTAGAAACAAATTTTGGGACGACTCTATAGCATAATCAGCAGAAAAACACATTTTCTACTTTTTTCTGTCTTAGTTAACTTAACTATTTATGACCATAACTAAACAAAGAGATAATACCGGATGCAGAATCATTTTTTGAACATGGGAATTTTTGTAGCACTTTATGTAATAAAAATGAAAAAAAAATTCAGGGTTTGATCAGAGATTAAGTGTAATTTACCTCGTAAAATTTTGATATAACGTCATCAATGCTTTGCCAGAGCAATTTACAAAGTCCACAATAATCTTAACGCATGTGGAAAATTTCAAAGAAACTGGTTTCGTGGTTTCTAAGATAAATTGTAAAATTTGTTATACAATCTTGTACACCTTTTTAAGTCCGCTTAAAATTTCACAGTAATCTTCTTAGTACTTTTGAAGCGTACATTTCCAACAAAATGACAAACAGGCTGACAAACATAGATCTTGAAAAAACGTGAAATATTTAATTTATTCGCCAAAAAGAAGTTTATATTGTCAAATTTCAGATGACATTAATAATAACAGTTATATGTTCTCTCTATAATGTTATCTGCCACTAAGACTTCCGAAATCGGTAAAACTAATTACTGTTCTAGCCAATAAGATGATGTGTAAATTATAAATTGCAGTAAGACTGAGTCGTTTTGTAACCAATAAGAACCTGCTACAGGTCACGTGGCTTGCCCCTAATTCGCAGAGCAGTACTCAAACTAACTATTGATCATTTTTGTCAACCAATGGCCACTCAGTTTACTGAATGTGATCTAATCAGGTAACAAATCGTTTTAAGAGTTCAGTGATTTTTCAAACCAAAGAGCCAACGTTTGACTACAAAAATTCCAATGTCATTGTCGTAATAGAGAACTTTGTATGTTAATCTTCTGTTATGTAGTTATAAACAGTGACTAAACGTTCCAACAATACGTTTACAACTTTGTAACTGAATTTCCGATCCCTATTTTTAACTTTACGGTTTTATACTGCCTACAGATCTACATAAATTGCCTTCAAACAACTCGGTTTGAGCCATTAAATTTTATATTTTAATTTAAAGATGACACAGAGGACTTCTTTGAGATGTTGGTAATACACCAACATTGATTTAGAGACTACAAGAAATTAACTAAATTTTATTTATTCTTCCCCTCCATAAAATTATTAAAATTATCTTAAAATGATGTTCAATAAATGTCAGTTCAAATAGTGGTCCTTTATTACCTTGTCTTCTAAGAAACAATAATCTTCCTTGGAAAATTAGAAAATGGATCAGCCCCATTAAAAAAAAAATGTGATCCGCTAAAATCGTTAGGAAGTACAATTACAATTTAGTAATGTTCCTAAATAGGTTTTATTTCATAGATTCCTCGTCGTGTATTTTGTTTTTGATATGTATACATTGTTTTAAATAATTTTGACTAGTCAATCAAGGTGAAATTTTTAACCAAAAATATTTTTATTGAAACTTGCGAAATCGATTTTAGATGAAATGACGATTTTTTTAGTAAAAAATATAGTTAAGAAATAACAAACAAATATTTTTTTATTCACTGCATTATCTACACATTCTTATTTATAGTCATACAAATTATTTATAAAATTTTCATCTACAAAAGTATTCAATAATTAAGTTTATCGTTATAACTTGCTAACACAAGTTCCATTTCTAGGAGTATCCTGTACCACCGTTGATTCTTCATTTTCTTTGCCAATTTTATTTCTTTTCCGAGCAAAAATTTCCTTAAAAATTCGCCTAAAAGGCGCTTCTACTAGCAAATACAGTAGTAATGCGGTAAAAAACGATAGCACCAGATCCGATAAAGAGTAACTCATCTAAAAAAAAAAAGTGTATTGTGATATTTTTAACACTATTAAAAATACGTATTATTCATATCATTATACTCACTACATCAAAATAAGAAAAGTACCGTGGGCTCATCAGTGCTCCGGCAGATCTTAACTGAAACTGCATGTGCATAAGATATGCACCATACACTAACTTGCTGAGAGGAATCCACGGTGGCCAAGTTAGTATGTCACGTATAAAACATGGATACCCATAACTAGAAACATAGATAATTCCTACTATTCCAGCAGCAAAAACTGGTCGACTTAAACCAGCGTACGCTGCAGATTCCAGAACATTGTAGTTGTGATAGGGATCGTAAAATACTGTACCTCCAGCTATTGATACTATAATGAATAAGATGGATAATAACAAGACAAAATAACTTCTTTTCTGGAAAGAAAATGGATCTATTATTAAAAAAAAAACAATAAAAACTTTGGCTTACCTTGGTCATATATTTACGTGTTTCATGTAATTTGTGATAAATGTAACCTGTAAACATTCCAATCAAATAGGGTGTGGCTCTTGTATGCGATTTAATGTAAGTTAACAGAAAATCCGCATGTGTTTTTGGTGCTGTCAGAAAGTCAGGATAAAGACGAAGTAGTGCTGGACGTTCGAAAACCAGTGTCAGTACAAATGGTACTGTGATCGATATGATTGTAAGAAATAACAGCACACTGAATCCTATATTCTTCTTCTTCTTTAATAATAGGCAAACCAAAGTGGCGATTATAAAATAGTGAAAATCACAAGGCAAATACCAAGACTGGACTATGCACTAAAAAAGAAAGTTGATAAAATAATAAGAGTTATGAGCTATTAATTTATAAAGCAATCATTTGCGTAATTTAATCAAAGATATGATAAGAATGTGAAGCCTGCTCACTAATCAAGTTGTGTAGACATAAAAGTGTGATAATTCAGCCGCAAAGTACAAAACTTTATCTGCAATTTCAATTTTTTTTAAATTTAAATTTAAATAAGCAAAAAGATTTTTACTTGTACAAAAAAGTATGGTAATCTATTACCTTCTTTGTTTCTGAAGATTAAACAGCATTGCTATAGATAGAGATTGCATGCTGGGGTTGATGGTTACTTTGATAACCCTTTTTATATTATTCAAAATTTCGTTAAATTCTGCTTTTGCCGTGTGCTTATGACTTTATTACATAACAAATAATTTTAACAAAATTTTTAACAGATTTTTAAAAAGTTAGTGCATTCTCGGAGTAATAGATATTGAGGGTTGATTTTATTAGCTGCATTTCATAAGTATAGCTGAAATACAAATATTTTACTTCCTAACTCTAGTTAGTGACAGAAGTTTTGTCATACCGAATATTTAACGAATGATAATAAGTTTGAGATTTTTGAGCTTCCACAGCTTGTACAAAAATATCTGTCTTCCTTTTAAGTCTAACTGATTTTTGTCGTCTGGCGTCTGTTGGAGATTCTATTAAGCAAATACCAAATCTCCGGAAGTTCTGGATCCACTATTGTGAAATTATTTTCATGTAGAAGGTAAAATTCTATCAAAAATTTGTCTGTTCATCTTCACCAAAAATTTGAAATACCATCTCAAAATTTTGCCAAATAAATTAGACCAATATTATAGAAAAAATTGAAAATTGTTGAATCATATCTTGCAATTTAACTTTGAAACTGTAAAAATGAATGCTTTGAAATCTTACAATCGTTTTAAGGTCATCATGGTAAATCATTAATCAAAATGTATCCGTTTATACTCTCCTAAAAAATTGATGATATCATCTCAAAATCTTACCGAATAAATAATAATAATATCTAATTAACAGAACTTATTTCTATAGAACATATCTGCTGGTAACGTAATTAATCATTTGACGATAGACGTCAGTTCTTTTCAATCGTCTATCAAAATTGTTTCTTTTAATTTATTCGTTCAATTGTTTTATCAGTCGTTTATAGTAAAATCCGGCTAAGATATAATGCGACTTCATAAGCATTTTACAGTGGACAAAAATATAAAATTCAATAAATATAAGGGCAATACACCGATACACTGGCGGCCAAAATAAAGTAGGACACTTTTCTTTCCCCAGTGTAACTTTCAAATTTGTATTGACGTTTAAATGTCATTGTTAATGAATACCTATTCAATTGAATCCAGTGTACACAACTACATTTATTGAAAAAATCCTTTCAAGAGGTATCCTACTTTATTTTGGCCGCCACTGTAATTAAGTAGCCTCGTGCTGTATTGAAATATATATTTTTTTATTTGTACTCTTATTAGAATAGGAGAAGGTCTTGGCCAGGCAAGCAGATTACTGCGCTGATTGTGCCGAACTCGTAAAAATTTCCGCAAGTTGAGTAGATTTTATTTTCAGTTCTGTAAATTACTTTTCGTAGTGTGAAAGAAAGTGCAGGCATAGTTTTTCAAATTCTGTAAAATTGTTTGGGTGTTGTAAATTAATAAAGCAAACCCACAGTAATAAATATCGACGGTAAATAGAAATACACAATATAAGATTTTAATTTTAGAGGTAGTCTTACAAAATTTTGAAATTTTTTATTAAATATATATCTATAAAATATATAAAAAATTAAATACCTACTCTTAATTAAAATCTACCCCCGAATAAAAAGACAATTTCCTCAAACTTAAATATATCTTTTTTTCTAATTTTGTAAAAAACTTTGAGTATTGTTCAAGTAAGAATACAATTTTTTCTACGTTCCTACGATTGAGAAATCAAAAGTACCTTCAATTGCAACAACTACAAATGCATCTGTCACATAAGAGTAATAAAATAAAGTTATATGTAAACAATTCACGAAGTAGTTATGCACTTCATGATTAAAGTTTAAAACAATATTTCTTCGAGTAAGTAGGATATCTTTGATCTTAAAATTACCATAAAAAGCATCTGCTCCGTTAAGCGGCAGCAAAAAAGATGTTTTAATTTATAATACTTTAATACAAATTTAATACTTACCATGTGATCGGCATTAACATAATTATTGATATATAAGAGATTAGCCCACCAGTTGTCTCTGCAATCTTGAGAGTCCTGACCTACTATCAACTTCCATAAAGGTCCTGATCCAGAATAATTGAAAATCGTCGCGTAATAAAATATGACAAAAGCATACACAGGAGTCAGTCTAAAATAAATTGTAATAATTTAATAGTCTACTCCTTGAACTTGTGAAAGGAAATGTATTTATATTCGAGCAGTTGCATTCTAATTACGCTGCGTTGAGGAAACAGCAATGAAAATTATGTTGTTACATCATGATTATTAACATTAATGGATTAAATAATGATATTTACGAGCTTGTATTGTTATATTTAACAATAACGACAATCTAATATACAAATCTAAACAAAGGATGCATGTATCACGAAAGAAAAACTAATTGTGCCTGTATTAATTAGCGCAGATTTTTTTCTCACGTCGGGTTACATTAAATCTAGATCTACAGATTATTTTGAAAATATGTAAGGTGAAGAAATAATAAAGAAATCAGTAATAGTAATAACCACATAATTGAAACTTTTGTTTGTACAAAAATTGATTTTCATAGAGGAACGATTTTGAAAATTAAAATGGTACAACACGTATATAAAAAATTTGATTTAAATCTTTCTATTTCTCTTTATTAGTCCTATTTATCGTATTTATCTAAATAAATAATAATTTACGCTTTTTCTTTAATAAACTGTTGTATTTTTTTTCGCAGACAAATTAATTGATAATAAATAATAAGTGCAATGTGATTACTGGTATTTACCTTATATATCTCATTAGAATGATAACTCCGGGGTTAAAATTGTGTTTGTCTAAATAACTGAGCAACCCATAAGTTACCAATATCCCGCCCATAACAAAAAATACGTCTACAAGAAAATCTTCTCGAAATAATACAAATGTCATGGGAGCCCTGTACTCCTAAAACAAGATTATTAAAATTTCCGTCCATAATAACGTTTTAATAAAAGTCTTTTAAAACTACTTACCTTTTCAATAAAATCAAAATTCAAGAAAGGAGTTGCTATAGATGTACCAAAACGATGACCTACTATTATAAAAATGATGGAAATCGTTCTGATCCCATACAGAGTATTTAGAGCATCATTAGATTCATCTTTCTTTCTCAAATCGGACATTGTTTTTCTTGCCGAAAATGATATGAAGAATCTATACAAAAATGTTTCTACAAACATGTTAAAAAACAGTAAATAATAATAATATAATCTTACTTTTTGTGTTATCATTTTCAGGTGTTTTTTCATTGATTTCGTACGATGTAGCGGCAATTACTAAAACGATTAGGAAAACGGTAACTGAACTGAAATTGAAAGATGTATGAAGTTAACATTTTGAAAATGTGAAAAGTGAAAAAAATACCAGAAGCTGATATCAGCTGCGTTTAGTGCTTTGTTTTCATATTTAGTACTACAAGCCATTTCTGAAACTTTTGCGGTATATGTTACGTTTTCATTCGTTAATGATAAATAAGTTCCATTGATGTAACTGTTCAGAAATTCTTCTAAATCATGTGAACTACACGATGCAGGAATGCACCAAGCATTATGTACAATATTTCTTACTTGCTGCGATATGTGATGGTTTGGCTAAAATTACAAGTAGTTTTAAATAATTTAGTTAATGATGAAATAAAGAACTTACATAAAGTCTATCTAAAATATGTTCATCAGGAGAGTGGTATAGTGAAAGTAAATCCCGATTTTTTTTCACTTCGGGAATGTGAACAGTTAAAGTTGCTAGACAATATTTTGTGAGAAAAGGAGCTTCTGCAGTAATGCACTGTTCAAAATTGCCCATTTGAAAATGACTTCCCCGAAGAACTCCTGTGGAAGATTTTGCAGTGGCGTCCCACACTATAGTTAATTAACATTAACAACACTCAAACTCACATGTTAGAATTTATACTTTCGGAAGCCCACAGGGTAAAATTTTCTAACTGTTGAATATACATTTCACTTTGCATTTTACATAATGAATTGTTTGTATATAACACAGCAACCGGTAACGAAGGAAACATAAAATTTTTTGAAAATTCTTCTGCGCTAACAAAAAATAATGTGGTAGTAAATAAAAAAACAGAGACTTCCATTTTTTGGCCTATTTCTAAAAAATAAAAAGTTTTTACACACTCTAGTATCAACAAAGCTTATTACGAAATGCAGTCGGGACTAAGAGTAAAAGCTTTTATAAGTTTAGAGGTATGCGCAGTATTTTCTTGTCCTTGCAGGAGCGTTTTAAATCATTTGTACAAAGAAACCTGAGATGAATGAAAACTTTCTTTAACAATTCGTATTAGTATTGCATTTGAATCTGAGTATAAAAAATGCCTTATATTAAAAAATACGGTTTTTAAAAGTTAAGTATATCTTTGATTAGTCTACTCTGAATTCGACATTTTTGATTAACTATATCCACATTGCGAGCGATAAACGTTCTAAAATAAATAACCTGACACCCCTAACTCGAAACCTTTGTGTACATCTTATACGCACACAGCAGAGTAGACTTGCATCAATGTCATTCTACTACATTTGTTCAATTGACAATTATTGCAATTACTAAGAATACTGAAAAACTAAGATAGTTAAAAAACTAAACAGAATAATGATTAACGACCTCGCTAATCTAGGTTCAATAATCGAAATAAATCCTGAAGAGAGAGATCTAGGACGAGTTGCTTTACCAAACGAAGAACATGAGTTTGTGTATGCAAAAGCATTTTTGCAAAAAAACAGTACTGTTACCGGAGAAAATCTGTAAGAATAAATACTCAAAATTATTATGTGCTAAAAAACCTTCTCAGTTATGATCATTTATCAGAAATTCTGAACAAAATTTTGTCTGAACGTCCCGAAAATGTTGTCGATTTTTTTGAAGAATATTGTCGAAAAATCAAAGAAAAACGCTTCCGACCACTTACTGACCACTTGGAAGATATTTATGTTGCGCCTGGAAGGTATAGATTGGCTAACAAGTTATTGCCATTTTTGCGGGTATGTAACGCTAGTATACTATAATAATAATCATATGAATTTAAAAAATATATTTTAAATTTTATTTTCTTTAATTAGTTTCCGGCTTTCACGTATCGACTTATATTCAGTAAAATAAAATTTTCTTGTAACCTATTGACGTAACTCGTCGCTCGCACAACACATTTGTTTTATGGATTTTGGATATTGACTTCTCTTTTACATAATCAATTATTTTTTTATCCATTTATCAATATCTACATTATTTCGTCATAAATTTATTGTATTTTTTTATTCCTCTTTAATTCTTTTGTAGTAAAAATATGTTCCGTTCTATTACTTCGCTGTGGACTTGCTTTTTCTTTTCATTTCTTTAGGTGCATTAATTTTCTATATAATTTCTTCTTGCTTCAGCCATGGTATTGACATTTCTCAAGATTTTTATGTCCTTATAATAGCAGTAATGAAAGGTCACTGGCTGCATTCTCATTTATGTATTTTCATTTTATTTATTCTTCCAACTTTATTATTAACTAATGCTAACAATTTGGTAAATCATTCTCGCAAGAAGAAGGTAAGACTTTTTCGTCCTAAAATTTCTTTTGAAATTCACTAAATTTGTTCCCATTTCTTTCTCCATACTTAAATTTTGTGTACCGTATCTTTTCCCACCACTAAATCTTTCATCTTTCCTTCTTAATTTATTTATCTGTGTGTAATTTAGTTTAACCCTAATTTTTATCAGCCACTCCCACCCGAAGCACCTTCCACTGTAGACCCCGAAGACCTAGAAAGAGCTGATATGACAAAAAATAATATGTTAGATTTACTAGCTTACTTTGAGATCGCTGGGCTAGGTTTACCACGGCTAGAAATGTTCTGTTTAACAATGTCAATGAGACAACTAATTCGAGCAGAACCAATTACTAGAGTTAGATTCTGGGGCAAAATTTTTGGAATGCATAAAAATTATTTGGTATTAGAAGCAGATCTGAAAGACGAAGAATACGTTAAAAGAAACGAAAACTATAACGCCGCAGCTGACAATAAAATAGATGACTTGGTTACTGATCATTTAGAACAGATGAAAAGGGAGCAAGAGCTTCCTGCAGAAGATGCGCTGCCACAGTTGTGGGCAACACTTCCTCCAACGCCTCGAATTCAATATGAAGAACCTCCAGAACCACCATCCGAACCATCTGGTGTTGGAGTAAATAAAACAGTTTATTACGTGTGTAACGAAGTAGGTGACCCATGGGTCCAGTTACCCGATGCAACTCCTAAACAAATAAGAATTGCTCGCCAAATTTACAAAACATTTACTGGAGACTTAAACCAAGCGATTGTCTCTTATCCATTATTCCCTGGAACCGAAAGAAACTATTTAAGGGCTCAAATAGCAAGAATTTCGGCGGGTAAACTTAATGACAACGATATAGCAGTATGAAAGCATTTATGTTATTTTGTTAGGTACCCACATTTCTCCCTTGGGTTTTTACATCTTTGCAGGCGAAGCCTTTGGAGAAGCAGAAGAATTCGAAGAAGGAGCTGGTGGAGACAACAAAGGAGACATTTCAGAAAACCCAAAATATGATCCGCCTTCTATTAAAGATTTAACTGATAAATCAATGATGTTTTGGGTACACCACAACAACCACATACTAAATCAAGGTCTATCTTTTTGATTTTTAATTTCAATATAACGTTTAGCAACCTCTAGGTCGTACTACTTGGTGGAACTCGAACCCATTACCCGAGGGAATTGATGAAGAATTAGGAGAAGAAGAGGAAGAGAAACCAGTTATAGCTGGACCCGAACCCGAAACGGGTCCTGCGTTGCTTACTCCTTGTTCAGAAGATGTTACTTTGGATGCAATTCCTGCTTGGTCTGTTCGAAGTTCTTCTGATATTGCAGAGGAATATGCTGTCGCCATTGTTAAATCTAATTTTTGGCCAGGAGCTTACGGTTTTGCGGCGCAAGGCAAAACGTTTCATAATGTTTATTTTGGTATATAAACCCGTCTCAAAAATGAATAAAGTTACTTAAGTCGTTTTCAGGCAGTGGACTTAAAGTAATGGTTCCCAACTTTTCTCCAAATCCCCTACCACCTGTTGAACAAGATTATCCATTAGGACCGGAAATAATGGAAATCCTTGATCCTACCGGTGCAGAAGAAGAGACTTGGAGAATAGCGCACTTACCTAAAGAACTGCCTCCAAAAGAATTACGCGGGGAAGATGAGCTTGGCGGCGAAGAAGCAGAAGAAGAAGAGGAGGAGGAAGATGAAGATGACTAATTAATTTAACCAATTTTAATAACGTTTAAATGTATTTCAAAAATATAGAACCCATTTGTGAGAAAATTATTTTCGCAACATTTGCAACTTAGGTGCTGACAGTTTGACTTTTCCTGGTAAATTTCTGGCAAGTTGTTCGTCCTTGACAGCTTTAAGCAAATCTTTTTCTCGTTGTGTTATTGTCCGATCCTTTAAAAACATGTTGACAGCTGTACGCGCGGCTTTACCTCTACGACCTGTTCCGGGGGTCAGTTTTACCTTAAACCTAACAAAACAGCCATTATTAAATTTCACAACGAAATACACACACTCACTTGTAATTTGATAAAGTATTGTATGGAGCCACGACGGGAACCGCAAACAGGAGTTCATCATCAGGAAAAGGTATACCAGTGAGGGAGTTTATCATATCCAGTTCAGCTTGAACAACGGGTTCCTCATCTTCGCCTCCACCATCTTCTCCTGGTTCGATTTTTTGAATTTGGGCCAATTTTTCCTTTATTATTTTAGGTTCGGTTTTCTTTATTTTGGTTGTGCTTGTATTTTTATTTTTCTTGCTCTTTTTTGGTTCTTTTCCTGATCCAGCAGACTAAAATTTAAGATGTTTTATAAAATATAGTGTTTTTGAAATTACCATTCTTAATTGAAAATAATTTTACGACAAATAATGAAGTGTATTGTTTAAAATCAGGTTAATGTAATGATTAAATAAAAACCGGTTTAGCCCAATTCCTTGAAATTCTGAAAACACAGTATTGCTGTTATTACAATGTGTCTATCTCAACTGATACATTTGTTTCCATTAAAAAGTTGATGACACCATCATCAAATTTTATTTAAAAAAATCTCATAAAATAATACGTAATCTTTACCCGTACTTTTATTTTAACTCACAAGGGGTAATCATTACAAAAAATAAAATTCACATAATCTAATTTAATAATTCATCTAAGGCACTGGTGTTCTTTAAGTGATTGTCGGAATTTAATTTTCTATAGTGTGTTTGAATACAGGGCAGATTTTGTAGTCTCCTTGATCAGAATCATTAAAACGCATGTCAGTTGCAGTTATCACATTTTTAGCAATATCTCTTGATTGTAAACAAGTTTTTCGAAAAGTACAATAAAATACGTTACTAATAACCAGACTTCGGGATCGCGGAAGTGATGCTCATCGCCGACCGATCGCCAGCGCTATTGCAGAACTTCGGGAATTCTTAATAACAATTACTACTTTTTCTAGGTTATCCTCAGTTATACGAGTTCTCCTAGATGTTAAAATACTTTGAAAATTAAAAATGACTGTTCAGCACCACAATTTTCATGATGATATTGATCAGATAAACCCTGAATCGCATCAAACGCCATTGAGGTTGAGACTGCACAGTCGGTCAGCCAAATTTATCGCCTGAGGTCGTGCCGTCGTATTTAATATTTGTCTGATTGATTCCTCATCACTTCGCCTGTGCCTAACTCTGCTAATAACCAACTATCATGAAAATAATTTTCAAATAAAACATGTCTTTAAACGCTTGGTGAATTACGATTCTGTATAAGTCAAGTCAAATAATCTGATAGAATTGGGAACTAAATTTTATTACTTTCGAACTGTTTAACGTAGTATGAATTTTGAAATACCTGAAGAATTTCCATCCGTAATTTACGTTCTTCTTCATCTTGATCTTTATATTTTTCTTTGATCTTCTTCAGCTTGCTCCTTTGACCCCGTTTGGTTGTTGGTTGTTTACTACTATCCTCCTTTGGCATATCTAAAAATAAAAAATTTAATACAAAATATTTATGTAATTAGAAACTACTTTTGGAATCCGTTTTTTGCTGTTTGGTTTTTGACTCACTATTCCCTCGGCTTCTTTGATTTGGTTTCACAAGAACTGGTTTGTTGTCTCCCAAGTACACAACAGTTTCATTTTCATCAACTTCTTCATTTTCATTTATCACAGGTTCAGTCAAAATATTTATTCTGAAAAAGTAAACTGTTTTTCAAATGCAACAATTTAGTGCAAAACTTAATCAAGAAGAGTGTGTTCCTAGTTTTATTCTGAAGTTTTGTGCCAACACGGAAATACAAGTTCCAATAGTAAGATTTGAAATACTATTAAATTTGATTGCATAATATTATGGTATTAAATGAATTTAGGACACTTAACAGTGATGAGTTAATAAATATGCATACTTAGTTCCTTCAAAATGTTGTATTCTTATGTGAGTATCTGGGAATTTGGATTCCTCCTCATTCTCTGAAGAGCTGTCATTATTAGTATTTTCTTTTTCTATATCTTCCTGTAGAGTATTTGTTGTTTCTTCTTTATTTTCTTCATCTCCACTGTCATCAGGAATTTCAACTTCTTCTTCATCTTTGCCGATTTCTGCTTCACTGGGATTAATATCTTCTTCACCAGGAGCAACCACTTTTCTTTCATCTTTATGTTTTTCAAGGCAACTTTCTTCTAATTTAAAAAGAAAACTTAAACCCAATATTAGATATGAAAGAGGCAAAAAATTCTTTTTGCCTCTAACCATAAAACTACCAGTTGTCAGGTACTCTCCAGTTGGGGCTGTTTTACTAACTTGTTCGCCCCAGACCCAGTATGCATTTGTTACTACTTTGGCGTCCCAAGCGACACTATAAAATCACCAGTTAGCTTACTTAAGACAATAATAATAATAATAATAGTACCTATAGCATATAGCCATTGTTCCAGCTTCATTCAAAGTCTTTGGAGGCACAACTTGACCTGATGGATTCTTAATCAATACACTACTGGCACCATGAACATCAGCGTGTACATACACATCATTGGATTTCATGTATCTTTTAACAATAAGTTCATTTTGCTGTTGGTCTCTACCAGCAATAACAAGGTAATTTTCAGAACTAATAAACCAAAAAAATTTTTCAAACCAATACACTTTCCTAGCTTTGTTAATATTTGTAATTGTTTGGACCTACCAAAAAATGCAACTTAATATTTTAAAAAATACCAAAAAAAAATACATACATCTTTTAGAGTTTGTTTGGTCTTCTTTTCTGCAGATTTAAACGCTTTACTTTGTGATTCAATTGTTTTCTGTTGTTTTTTCGCAGCGTGACGTTTTTGATCATAGTATCTTCTACCATTTGCAAAAGCTGTTAAATCTAAATCTATATCAACAACCATTGGGGGTATACAGTCCTCATCTGTTTCACCCTCAGAATCGCTAGTATCTTCCGCGTAAGGGTCTGTTAGATACAGACTAATGTGATTTGTTTCCAACTTTAATTCTTTAATATGTTGAGCTATTTCATCTCCTTGTGAAGCAGCTTCTTTGATTAGTTCAGCTAAATCTGGCCAAGAAATCTAAAAGACAATTCACATAATTACGTTTGTTTTATAATAACAACAACAAACAAACTTGTGTGGCTAATGCAGTTTGTACAGCTAAAATTGCCTTATCAACCAACTCCTGATTTCTTGTGATAAGTTCTGCTTTCTGTTTATCAATTTCTTGAGTTTTCTCTAGCGCCAAAAGTCTTTGAGTGTGATCTTTTTTCACATTTTCCAATTTTTTTAAAGCCTCGCGTTCTTGTTGTAACGCCCTCAATTCTAATTTCTGACTTTCTAGAGATGAAAAGAACTCATCCACAGCAACATTAAACGACGAAAACTCTTTATATGTAGCTGACTTGTGCTGTTCATACAAAAATGGATTAAATTCTTGATTTGAATAATAATATTCTTTCTCAGTTGAATCAGGTTTAATCCTTTCTTCTTTTTTCTGAATTATGTATCCCTAAAAAACTCAAAATTAATAACTGTGCACACAACATTATTATTGTTATACTTTTGATGTGGACTCTTTAGCTTCTGCAAACAACTTTTCAGCTTCATCTAATGCATCAAGAACTTTATCAGTATCATTTTCAATGGAGAATGTTTTGCCAATTTTGGTACTATTTGAAAAACCCTGTCTTAATAAAACATGCTCTATGACAGCAGGACCATACTCTAAACAATCAAACATAAGCAACAAATCTCCAAAAATTAGAACTATTACCTAAGTTAGACACAAGAACCTTCTTCAACTGGTCACCAACTTTACCTGTCTTTAGAATCTCAATTAATGCATCTTTTGTTAATTTACTGGTTTGTCTGGCTCTGTCTTGTGGATATTTCTCCCTAACTACAAATTTAAATCGATCGCCTTCTGTGTGGGGACGAAGCACATTCAAAATTGTGAATTCATAGTCAGTTAAAATAATGTTCCCTTTATCATATAATTCCAAAATAACATGATATGCAGCTTCACCAGATCCAAATTGCAAGTCAATAATCCTATCTGTACCAAGTTGTTTCATATATTCCAGACGTTTATTTTTTAAATGTTTCCTTAATTTCATACTGAAACCCGACGGTGCGACATTTTTTGGCCACTCAAAGCCAGTTTCGTGGATGCGGTTGCCTGATTCAAGCAAAATAACTGATTTTTCCTCACTTCGTTGAAGCCTTATTAAATAAGTTTTATTGTCAATATCATACACATTATTAACTCGCATTCCAACACATCTGTAAAGGTACATTAAATATGTCAACGCGTTTATCTTACAATAGGTTTTTACTTACTTTTGTAACTCAGTCACTGTGCAGACAATATCAAACGTATTAAAGCGAGTCTTCATTTTTGACGTAACAAAATTCTCGATAATTTTAAATTAAAACTGATGTAGCAAATGAACATTCAAAAAATTTAATCAGAGTCTGAATTTGCACCACATTTCATCTAATGATAAAATAAGCACTGGAATGACACCGACGACAGATTACCTGTTGACAGGTGTTCAAATGTCACAATACTTATAGGTTATATTGCAAATATTTGTAATAATTGTTGTAATGTTTTTGCGTTTATGTCACTAAATTGAAAAAAAATAGCTAATATGAAATACTATCGAGAAAAATATGTGTCAATTCTCGTCAGCAACAATCATAAATTACAAATATTTTATTTATTATCAATTTCTATTTTATCGACTCCTGGTCAGTTAGATGTCGCCTGTATCGCTTTTATGCGGTGCCTCCACTATTCGCACAGTTTTCCAAGTTCCAGTTACTCTATCTTCCTCAGGTTTATTCAGTTCTGTTGTGTTGTGTTGAGTGTACGTGTGTTCAGATTCGCTCCGTGAAATGTTCGTGTATTAATTCTTATTTTGTGATAAACAATATTTTTTCTCAATGGAAATCGATATATTTGCGGTATAAGAATTAAAAACAATGGTGGAATTAGACTTTTCTTCGACAAGTAAGTTTTAATTGTTAGTAACATGCAACCCCCATTATTAAGGGCGGCATTGACATTTACTAAATTAGCAGCACATTTTTTGCACACTATTTGTTAAACAGATTATACTGCAATTCTGTAAAATAGGCGTTTTTTGTTTGTATCCGAAAGGGTAGGTAAGCATGAGGGTGAAGTGGTTTTTTAATGACGATGAGGTAATGAAATAATTGATGGGTTCATTTTGTGTTTTACATTGCCCTCGAGGGTTAACACATATTTTGCCCCATTTAAGTAAATGGCGGAAAGTTGAAAGGGTGTGGGAAAAATGTTAATGTCAGTTTATATGAACGACACATGTTAGGTGAAAAGCTTTCCTCAAAGGGCGTTTTCATTATATTGGAACACCTACCTGCAGTATGGACAAAAAAAAATTAACGGAATGTATTTAATAGAAAACAAGCTTACCCTGGGAAATCGAATTTTATCTAATAAATAGATAGGTAGTCCAAAATACATATATAATTTGTATATAGTATTTTTATTTCTTATTTACTTTTATTCATCTAGCGACAAAAAAGGAATAATATCATTCTCGATCGAAAATTAAAAAATAATCTAATTAAAATTATAATATACGCAAATTGTTGATAAAATATTTATACAGGCTGTATTCAATATTTTCCTTGTAACCACTGTTTAAATATTCATGCACTATTCAGTTGCATAGTGTTAATATATATTCAACAAGTTTTCTTGTATTTCTCATCAGTTTGCACCATAATGGAAATAGCTACATTATTTAAACCTGGAATAGCCCCCAAGGAGAAAAATATTTCAGTCTGTAATTTCAATTTTTGATTTGTTAAAGTGAACATTTTTATCCAATTTTTACACTTATTTGGGTGTAATGGACATGTAGTGAACATATAGATATTAATAGTAATTAAAGATAGTTGTCATGAATTTTATGAGATTTCTGTTTTAAGTGTCAGAAAAACATAATCAAAGACAGTTATGAATTTTTGAGGGTTTGTCTTTGATTGTCATTCTGAACTCAAACTTTCTAATTGACGATGATCTGACAAAACGAAATTTTTTTATATCTTTTAATAATGTGCAAAAGAGTAGTATAAAAATTTAGACGGCCAAAATAACTAATGTCATGAAAAAAAAATTGGTATTACATTTCAGAAAACGTTAGAAACATCAGACTTTTATGTTTTTTACGGACTATAATTTTGTAACTTTGAAACATTTTTGATCGATGTTAAATCGAAGTTTATAGTTTTACAGTATACTAAATAAGCTCATATGATTAAATGGCCTCACTTTAATAATTTTTAATCTTACTTTTTTGTATCATTTGTCGTTTTAAAAATGTCCATGTCATAATTTTGAAAGCGGTATTAGGCATTAACATTTATCAAATTTTTGAAAAGTGAGACATTTTTCGCGTTTAGAGTTGAACCACAAAGATTTTAAATGAATAATCGTAAATAACGATAACAGTAATAAATCTGTTTTTATCCGAGAAAATAGACTTGCCAAAAAATTAATGTGGTAATTCTTGGTGATGTAAACGATATTATTACAACTGAAAAAATGATTTTAAAAAACATCCACTACAGTACAAATTTAAAGTGCCAAAGGAAAGTTTCCAAATTTATTCTTGAAAGAAAGGTCATTAACGAACCAATTTGATTCATATGGACGTTTTTTCTTTTTTAGAATTATACCAAATCTTTTATAAGAGGCAGCCAAAGCATCAACTTTTTTCAATTTTATATGTATATTTTCAATTTCTGGTACTTTAATGTAAAGTAGCCCAAGAGCTATAAGGTTATATGACCATCATAAAAGTAGTTGATCACAAATAAATACCCTCTTTGTGTGGTTCGCACTAAGCTTATCGGTTGGCAGTAAATCGTCTTCTAAACATTTCTTGCTTAGATTTAGATATTTAGTGAAAGCCGCCCTTGAACGAAACAAAAACAGTTGGTCGAACTGCAGTGGACAGGTTATTTACGACCCTAAAACCTTGTCTATTGTAAACAACTTAACTTAGACACAATGGGATAATTTTAAGATGGCCATATAACCTTATAGCTTTTGGTTTACTATATGCACTGTGCATACAATTAATTTACTGCATATTTAAGACAAAAATTAACATGCACATGGACATATTTTATATTTATCTGTCTATATAGATATCAAGATATTAATTTTATTGTCTTCAAGTCAATAACATGTAATTTTTACCATTCTTAACTAAAGTTGTGTAAACCTCCGAAAATTAAAGCAAAAGTTATACATGTTTGGAAAATGTGTCACATTGGTGAATTTGATGGGAAATCTATAGTAAAATTCTAGACCTTTCTACCGACCAAAAAATTTTGTTTTGAAATGAATACATTTTGGTTTTAGAGTGTTGTGCTATAAATCAGTCACGTTGATTCATATCAAGTCATACTTAATCAAGCAATTTAAATTTTCATCAGTCGAAGACATTTCCCGCTAAACCGGAACTTCCGCATTATTACACACAAAAAAATCCCGAGTTTCATTTTATCGATGATATGGATTTTTACACTTAGCTTTATGATGGAAATAAATATTTTTGATATGTTCGATATTACTCAGCGTAATATTGCAGGGAAACTGGATAAGTCGTTGGTGATATAATCGATAAAATAAATTGCTTCACATACATTCATATTTCTGAAACGTTTTCTGTAACCATTTAAAAAAAAAAATAAATAAATAAAAAATAAAAGTGTATTACTAAAGCGCATGTAAAACCTCATTCTGGCGTATTTTTCACACAGGTTAATTGAACAAGATTTCACAGAAGCCTGTTGTGTAATTTTTGAACAAACTGTGAAATTCGACGGTAATAAACGTAACTTTTTTAGGATAACTCAGTGTGTTGAGAAAAAGAGGGGAATCGCTAGAGCATGTTACATTATGTTAAATTCCAAAAATTGTTGATACAAACTCGGAGAGTAAAGAAAAATTATGGAAATACACAAATTAGACACCCCCTCGGAAAATATGCTTCAAAACAATAAATAAAATTTAATATTTCAAAATTGAATGCAAATTTATGCGTATTTTAGCAGTGTGTGTTAAACCGATTATACACAGAACGACTACACAACAAACAAATAAAGTCCTATTAAAAATACCTAACGCCACTAATTCTGGCAAAAAATTACGTCACTCCCTTGTTTTGCTTATCTTCAAACATTTTGAGTTAAATTCGTGATTTGTAAGAGCCAGGTAGTTGAGATAAATTTCAAACTCCAGCCCAAACCATCAGCGAGAAAGTATGCCTTGAAAGAATCCAGCAGATGTTTCTGACACGTGCCGGCTGGCCCAGAGGCTACCGTCGCCATCAGCTGCTATAACCTTTACGAGTTTAATCTTTGTGTTTCAGAAGCAGCAGGTACTTTGTAAAGAAGTTTTGTGTTTAAAAATATTTTCGGACCGAAATATTCATTCGGCGAATTTTGTGTTAAAATTATCCTGGATTTAATCGTAGCGGACTTGCAATCTGTGGAACACATTTTTCCAAATTTAAAAAAATTAGAAAAGCGTTCGATGTATCAATGGTTTTTTTGCGCGATACATTTTAGTGATGACTTTTAACGTATAGGTGCTACCAAGGTGACGAATATTGAGAAGCAACTATATTTTTTTAGTACTTAATTAAAAGTCATATAAAACTTAGTTTTGCTTTGGTGATATGTTTTTTTTTGGTTGTTTATACATTGTTTCTCAAAACAAAGAAGAAATTTATAATCTTAATTAAATTTAAAAAGAAACAGCCTGTATATTTATCAACGTTTCATTGTGCATATGAAAACTGATATATTTCACCCCACTAAAATGCGTCATCACAAAATTTTGCTACGAAAATCTTACTTAGAAATTCTTATGAAAAAATCAGATTCGCAGAATTACATTTTACAGTTTGTCTAAGAAAACAGACTTCTTTAAAAATTTTTGCAAGACACTACGACTATTTTAGGAACACAGAACACTACCAAGATTTTGTTGATTTATTTCCTCTAAAAATTGCTGTCTCGCATTTAAAACGTTGTCCTTAGTAAAAATTACTAAATAAATGTTTATCAAATCGTACATCCTAACATGAACGTAAAAATTAATTATTTTTCAGGGGCGCGGATATAATAAAATTATACTATTTTTTTAGGGTGTAGTAAGTTCCAAAAATTTTTATCTTTTGCACAGGTTTGCTTAACTATCCAAAATTGCAATGCTACTGAAATATATTAACTAATAGTTATATTTTTGAACTATCTAGAAATCGATATTAGTTTACTTTGGTATTTCAGGAAATGCCTATTAATACTTTTTATTGTTTACTTGTTTCCTGCCTACAAATTGCCTGATTCTGCATTTTGCAAACTTGACAACTATTGATTTTTATGAAAGCTATTGTTAACGTAAACAAAAAGCGGAAGCATTAAAGTAAAAATAAAATTTAATGTTATAAATAAAGTATTTCTCTATAAGCAGCACGCAACAGGCAGTGTACTTTGTGAGATACAACTTCTGATTTTTAATTTATGTTGGGTATAAATAAGTCTGGGGAACTTTATGTCAAGACAAACTAACTAAAGTTTACAAGTTGCTAATAATTATCGTTTCATATCGGACTTAATGAATCGCCCTCTTCAAAATTACATATAGATTGGCTTGTGCTAATAATGTCGACATAATAATAAAATACTGTACACTTTTCATTTTGTCAACGATTGTGGTTTGATCGAAATATATACGGGGCTCGATTAATTTTTAATCATTTCAAACGATAAAATTTTAATTGATTTGGTTTGTTTCAGGTGCGATGCCCGACGATGGCGTCCCTGACATGACGAGGTTGACCGTTCTTGATGAAGAAGTTATCAACAAAAACCTAAAAGTGCGATACGAAAAAGATCGCATTTACGTATCCTTTTTGTGGCTTCAACTTTTGGTTTATGACCGCACATTTCCAGTTGCTACTTCCTGTTAATTAAAAAATATGTTAAAAATTATTTTCTGATATAGATTACACGAAAAGGTTCTCTTTCAAATTGATTTCTATACATTATTTTTGTATAAACAATTCAAAATTTTAATTATGTAATAATAATAAATATTCTCCACAACAATTGAATGCATTCGTAACTAAGAAGTCTTTAAAGTAATTTTACGTACATTTATATTTAAATTTGTCAGTGTTGAATAAAGAAACGTCTTTGAATTTAATGTTTCTTTATAGTTTTCCACGTTATAATCACAGAATACATTAATCAATTTGTGGCTGAAACTATTACGTGAATAATTTAAAATCCAACCAGTTGACTATTTTATGGCGTGGAATTATGTTAAACATCAAAATTTGATCAATTTATATAAATCATTTTCATTTTAGACACCTTCGCAAGTTTTAATTAATTGATTAAGTTGATTCAATTTATTTTGTCCTTTGTCTTCATCCTGTCTGATTAACACCAAGGTTCCTCCGTTCTCGAAACTGAAGCATGCAGCACCGGAACAGAACCTATAATGAGTCAACCTTATCGGTTTTTTGACCCATAAAACTACATTGATCGTTTAATGCCGCTTTTGTAAGATATTAGGGTGATTCACGCGAGAAAAATGGGAATAATTTGGTTGACATGATATGGCACTGCAATATCTAACAACCATGTTGCTGTGAAATGAGAGTACTGAGTGCTGAAACTTACCAGAACAAACTGAAGGACACTTTTTTTGATCGCACATTGCTTTCGCATCACTAAAAAACTCTTACGCTAATAAAGTTACAGTACAGTTTATTTTAGTGTCAGCTGGGGCTAAAACACTTAGTTAAAATTAGTATGGTAAAAACTGAAGATGAGGACTTGTACAATTTGAAGTACAAAATAGAATTCAGGTGGTCTATATGAGGAAATAGTTTAAATTCCAAGCGAACCACCCGCTTTATCCGAATGTACCCTAAATGATTCACAGTGCATTGAAAACTAGTTGGGCTTGGGATTCCATATGACATGTTGTCGTATCTCCCTATTATGGCTCGTAACATAAAAATAATCAGCGTATTTTATTGAGACAGTTCTATTTCTTTTGTTTAGTCCAATTTAAGGCGACTGACGGCTGAAGCAACAAATTCAGAAAAAACGAATATAAAAAAAAATCCATTTCTAATAAATAACAGAAACCTGAATTAAATGTGTTGCACATGTTTGGTGCAGGGCCTTTCACTAACACTAACACATGCTGGTGCATACAAGGTAAAAGTTCTTCTGGAATTGATCCTTGGAATAAAAAAAGTGTAAAACTTGTCGACTGTTCCATTTAATGATTCCAACAAACATTTAAACACTATTAAATTAGGCCACAATTTTAATGAGTTAAAAGCGAATCGCTGTTCACTTCCTTACAATAGGCCATCATCATAATGTAAAGCATCACATCTGATACTCAGATCCTTAAAACTGTCAGTTCGCATTAATCTATAATCATCAATTATCTACATAAAAAAATTCAAAAATATGTAACACAATGACATATTGTACTTCGTTTAAATAAAGCTTATTGAAATTATCAATTTTATGAAACATGTTAGTGGTTTTAAATTTGACCCCTGGTGAATGCCAGGTGTTGTAATATATGTTAGCAGCACAAAATTCCTATTTACAGGATGAGTCATTAAGCGGGCGGTCCTCGATATCTTATTAATTATTAGAGATTAAAAAAAAAATAAAAACGAAGGTTGTATAATTTTGGAAATTCCATTCTACCCTTTAAAAATTTATCGACGAGACGGACTGTGGTAAGAAATATTTACGGTTCACACCAGTTCACCCGAATTTGTAGGAGAACATTTAGCAGGTAGTTGTAAAATTATGGTTATTCTAACATCTGGGGATTACCGGCACACCACAACTTTAAATTGAAAATATCTGTTACTATTGTACTACTGTCCGTCTCGTTATTACCAATAAAATCTTATAAGGTAGAATGAAATTTCCAAAACTATACAGTTATTTAAGGACTATACTCTAAAATTATTTTTAATTATACGGAGTGTTCTGTAAAACACAACTTAGATTTTTTAAATGAAATACCCTATATATTTTTACACATTCTTATTACACTCTTTCTAGGCTTTATAACTACAGATTATTTTGAAAATTCCGATACGACGTTTCCACGTTATTCCAATTTTCTTGATTTTTTTTGGCATTGAGAGTGTTCGCAAAGACAATTGCAACAGGGTTATTTTTAAATATTGTGTTACAATATAATAAATAAAGGTACGGGCTTTATTTATTATATTGTAACACAATTGTATCAATTAAATCTAATTGTTATGTAGAGTGTTCTTTACAATTTTCAAACGTAGATATTTCATTTAATCACTCTGTAGATGAAAATTTTATTTTATTATAACACAGATTTCAAAAATAACTCGACTGTGAAATTTTTTTGTGACGTCGCATTGGTATTTCAGAAATAAACTGGTTGTATTGCCGAAGAAGTGTTCAATCAAAATGTGCATGTAAAAATATATACGGCGTTTCATAAAAAAATAATAAAAAATATTTAAAAATCTAAAAACTAATTTTGACTTCGGTTCTTAAATTTCTAATAATATAATTAATGAGATATCGAGGACGCGCGCTTAGTGACTCACCTTGCATATGTAACACATTGTGTTCTGTTTAATAAAAATGAATTAAATAACAACATAAGGGCAAAAAAATATGGTTTCTCCTATTAAAAAGCACTTTTTTCTAACAACTTTCATCGTTTTTGTAGCGTACCTATTAAACTTTCATAGCATTTTTTTTAATGTTATTTATAACAATTTTTACATATTACGAACAGGAGGTAATTTTTAATAAAATACTTTTAATTTTAGTTTTAAGAAAATTTTAAATTTGTAAATATTTTTACGTAAAGTGTACTCATTCCATTGTTTACATTAATTATTATTATTAATTTTTTTTATAATAAAAAATAAACCGAAAATAGGCCTAAGATTACTATGTTTAAAAATATTTTTAAGTAATACACCTTATAAAAATTTTGCAAAGTGTAAGGTGAATTTAAATAAATAAGAGATACCTTTAAATATATTGTTACGACAGTAGTTTATCTTTATTTACTTTGTTAGTAATTCGGAAAATTCGCAATCACCCTCACTAAGTAATAGGAACTGTATGAGACAGTCTGTTCGTTCGTTTTTGCAATAACGTATCACACTTATCATATGATTTCGGAGAATAAAATGCCTTTCGAATTGGGAAAGAGGCATAAAGTAGATATTTCTGTTTCCGCGTAAATTTATGACAAATACTGTTGATAGTTCCCGAGCCCACACTGGGGAAATATTGTAATAGGGTCATTCTGACCGTCTGACGAATGTCTAATTTCATATTTTCTCGCCATTTCACAGCTGGCACAATACGAAAATGTTAGTCCCTCATTTCCATCTGTTTGTTATCTATGTGCCATCTGGCGATTTTGTTAAAGAAATAATCTCTGAAACCACTGTGAACATTAAAGTGGTAATCGTGCTCCTCTTACAACGCTAACCAAAATTTGTCTTTTTATCCCTGCCAATCACTAGATGACGTCGCCTCAGAATTTTGCTGAGTAAATCTCGTTTGAAATTCTTCGTGATTTGATGTTGTAAACCTTGGAACTGAAGGAGTGTATAGACAAATTTTGGTTCGCGTTTTAACATGTTCATAACAATATTCCAAAAGACGACCGACCACAGACAGACAAGCCGAATGGCAAATTTGCAGTTTTGAGTACATGTTGCGAAAGTTTAAGAAATGCTAAATTTGTTAAAATGCCCTCATTATAATATTTCTCTTAGCAATCCCTCGAGAGTGAAATGTCATGTCGTTCCCATAGCAACACACTAACAAATTAATTGGTAGAAAATGAAGCTTTTACATTGCCCTTTCATCATTTTTTATTCATTATTTTAATATTGTGTTTGTCTTCATATACAAAACAAAATATAAACTCCACATATTTTTTGTTATTAGCATGATTCTAAATTCTCGATTTTTTTTAAAGTTTGTAGCGATATTTTAATATTTTCTTTGTTTGTTGTCAGAGATAAATATAGATTATCTATTTGAGGCTCTACTATTAATAAATTAACAAAAACTAATCAATACTTAGGCAGGTGTATGAACTACGTTAATATATTTTTAAGAAGGATTTTCTAACAACCTATTTTTTCTACGTGAGTTGTAATCAAGCTACCTTTTTTAATGTAGCATAAACAGAAAGGACTCCACTCTCATTATACATGCCCCAGTGCTACAACGTTCGCATTCTAACAAGACGCGTACTTAAAAATTTTCAATGTCATTTCCTTTGTATTATCTTAATAAGATGGACGCTGCTTGCGTCCAACAACCACCACTTATTTTGTTTACCACCAGCAGGCTAAGGCCGGACGTATACTTGTGTTCCTTAATTAGATTTAGACATATACAGGCTCAATCCTCGTGGCAGTCAACCCCTACAAGGACATTGACATCTACACACAAGTAAGTAAGCAAATGAAACTTTTTAAATGTAATGATTAAGATTCGCAACACGTGAATTTCCTGGCATTATGCTTCAGCAAGTCTAAGAGATTATTTACGAAGTGTTTAATTTTGTGCTTTAACATTTAGCATCCTCTTGCAAATTGTTTGACTCCCACGCGAGTATTACTTGAATTTTACATATTCAGCAATAGAGCTTTTCCGACAATCTGAAACTAAAACATTTTGAATCTAATACTGCCATTTTAGTGCGAAGTTTTGTTAGTTACAAAGAATAATATACAATAAGTAAATATATAATATTATTATATTATCAGTTTTTTGCAGAGGATGAAAAGATAAATTTTGGTTAGCGTTTCGTTACATTCGTGACGATAAATAAAGCAAAATCAAACATTTATCAAAAAAAGCATCAGTACTTCCCTAATTATTTAAAGCAAATATTAAAAAAAATATTAATTACAAAATCCCCAATCCCTACTTTTGGTGTTTTCGTGTATATGTATTTTATCCGTATTATGAGCAATAATTTTCTAAATGAACACGAATATATTTTCTGCCACCGAACAGTTTAGACACCTTGTATTTTTTGGTTCGATAGATTGGTAACCCTACTTCATAACAAGCAAGACAAAATGGGTCACCCAGCGGGTTTTTTTGTGAAAGATGCTTAGAAATAGATGAGCATGAAATCTCAATTTTCGTCGACCTCTCAGCACATGTGACTCTGTCCGTTATAATATAGGTTAACTTGTCGGTAAAGGGGTTGGTTGTAGATATTACGGAGGGATTTTATTGATCAAGGCGGTGGCCACCCCAACGCGTACGAATAAAGATAAACTGTGCCAAAAGCCAAAACAAGACAGAGACACCAATAAAAAGTTGACTTGAATGAACCATCCGATTGCTCATAAACAGTTGCTGGCAGGCATTTCAATATACAACCTCTTTGTTTATCGCGATGTGGCCAACAAGACAATGTCAAAACGAATCGTGATATCCCATACGGGCAAAACAAAAACTCCTCTTCTTCCATGCGATGAATTAAAATACGCACTCGAATTCCGTTATCTGAGTTATGATGGTGTATTTGTTTTCTTCTATACATCGTTTAACCCTAGTATCTTAAGCAAAGAATTCGCTTCAATTTAGAAACAATTAGTTTATCTCATATCAAGAACACTTAGTAATCAATTTTGAAACTTTTATAGCTGCCGACAATTTATGTGTATAACGATAAATAATGACTTTTTGCTCGAGCTGGAGTCTAAAAATAATAAGAGGATCTCAACGCACGCACCATCTTACAGAAATTCATGTCTATTGAATCATGACTCGATGGTTCACGCATGGAATATTCATTATTGCTTTCTTTCCCCAAATGGTGTCCAACAATATTTAAATTCTTTAATTCATAGCTTTGAACGTCAGGTTTCCCTGTGGGCGTACGTACACAGGCTGTTTTATATGTATAATGGGGCTGTGGTAATAATAGTAAATGATAGCGAATAATAATCGGGGACTTTGGTTATTACCATTTTGCACTTGGGTCACGTCTCTTGGTGTATGTATGTCTCACAGTAATAAGAGGATTATTATTGAATTATTGTGATGTTCGGCTTTCGGCGGACATCCGTTATGGTTTTGCGAATTTAAGTTATCAAAGGAACTTGCTATCATATCAGAAAACTTTACCACGAGAGTGGAAAATTTTCAGATTTTGTTAGTCTTATTTAAAAAATCAGTTGCAAATATAACATTACTTCTTCGTTTTGGAGTAAAGTACATTAAATATTATTATTATTATTACTATGTTCTTGGTTGTGTAATATACATTTTCTTAATCGGCAGTGTTACGTATTGTAGGTACAGTGGGAACGAGAAATAACGTTACGCACAGTGGTTGTCGTAATTGTAACGTCTGAAATTTGTAATTAGGCTGTATATCACAGTAAAGGAAATGCGTCACACTTTTCTCTTGGGAACATTTGTACAAAGGTATAAAGAATAAAGATAATAATCACTGCACCAGCATTAGTACTTCTGCACCTGCAGGTGTGATGAAAGTCACGAGGTCTAGCTCAGAAGAAACAGCTCAACGCGGAAACCAAATCAGGCGACTTTAATATTTCAGATGCATAAAAATCTTTCATCAAGGGAGTCAAAAGACAAAGTATTGGCTTATAATATACCGAGGCTCGGCAAGTGTAATGTCTATTGATTTTCAATTTTCCCGTGAATGAATTTTCGCCCATATAAATTACTAAATTAAAGACTATTGCTTGCGGAACTAAAATTACATGTCTTTCGAATCAATCAACTCCGAAAATTTAATACAGGTACCTATTTTTTACAATCTTGCATTCTTATGTTTGACCCGTTTTATACAATGTTTTATTGTCCATTAATCCAGGCATACATATATGCAAAGTTTTGTGGATGGAACTTCCTGTGTCTCTGAAACATAACCACTACAATATAAAATCATGTCATCAACTTTCTAAAGAGAACGAATAAGTAGATTTTCGTTAGTATTAGTATTGTCAAATTAAAAAAAAAAAGTACACATCTATGTGTTTTAATTTGTCGGGAAACAGAAAATTACAAGTGCATTTCAAGTCTTTAGTAACGGTGGATTAATGATGTGCATTAATTGTTAGTAAAGTTTTGTTTGCTATTACTGTTACTGATAAGGGGGCGAGGTTAAGATAATGTAAATGCCTTTCTTGAACTGGACGAGGAATACTTACTCGGAAATGCAAGAATCTAGATTGCAATTAAATAAATGACTTCATTGTTTTTACTTCCCGAGCGTAAGCTAAAGAAGTATTGTTTGTTATCCGAGTCCATCAGGTGACTGGCTATTTTGATATTTTCTCGACGTTTCCTGATCCCTAGAGTAGGAAAAAATGGGTTTCCAGTTTTCGTCTGTATACATATTTGTCTGGCTGCTGTCTGTTCAGATTCTTATTAGACAGACAATCTCCGAAACTATTGGATCGATTGTTGTCAAATTTTGTATATACATATGTAATCCTCTCAAAATTTTTAATAATAAACATTTTTAAAATTTTATAAATTAATATACCCTTACACTTGTAGTTTACTAATCCGCATTGAGTTTGAATCACAATTACTTTACAAAAATATTTTTGTAATATTTGCTGCGTGTTGTACATAACTTCTATCGCGCAAACCAGGTGCGTTGTGCTCGCGTGTGTTACGGCACCAGATGTGAGTAATTTAAGATTTCCGAGCGTTTGAATAAGGCCTGCAAAGTGAGTTCGAATCTCATCTTTGTTGCTTTTTTTTTGTAATTAATTCAAGAACGGTTCACTCCATTTTCTCGAAAATTATAGTAGTCACATCCGCCTATATTTAAAATAATTATAACAATAACAGCTCCTACCCCATAATTGTAGCTTAATTAATTAATCAGTCCCCACATCTGTTTTAAGGAGACTAAATCAATCAAACTTCATTTTCTTTTCTGCGGCTGCTGATGTATTTAATGTGAACACTCGAAGTTAAGCATGTAATTACTAAGAGTACGCCACTGGTTTTTACTTTATAGAGATTATCACAAAATCAAATTTTATAACTTTTGAAAGAGGCGGGAATTGTTGGACTGTACTTCAAGAGCGAGGGAAGTTCCATCGAAATAAACGTCGACCAATTTTTTTTTCATGTTCCCTTAACTTCTTTTTATGTTAGTAAAGGACATACATCTAAGAGGTAAAATTGACATCTCTAGAATGAAATTACTGTCCCATTACCAGAATGTTGGTTATTTAGATAGAACCTCCTTCACTTTTGAAGCACGATCGATGCAGTTGGGGCGTATTTTTGAATAAACATTTAATAATTTTTGGTATGGATAAATACTCATTTTAAAATATACAATATAACGTTAGACCATCTGTGAAATAACACAAAAAAATGGAGGTCGTAATGGGAATCTTTTATATACAAAGCAAACGTTTTTTATCGAGCCAATTCTGTTTATTTCAACAACGTTGATGTTCTGTATTTACAAAGCAGTTCTGTTCGGAGAACAACAAAATGATAAAACAATAATTTTTTGTCAATGTTTTGTAATCATTATAATGCGGTATTACCAAATTTGTTTTAAAAACCTTCGTTATGTGGATTCTAAGATAAACTAAAAAAAACCATCCTACATATTTTTAGGACGATACATTTAGGAGACAAAGCAACATGTCACAACTAAGTTTCAAACGAGATTAACAAAGCAACACTTTGAGAGGACGTCATACATTTTTTGATAGGAATGAATACACAGATTTTGGTTGGTTGGCGTGTTATTATCTACGCAATAACACTAAACCGTACCTAAAATTACTTAGTAATCAGTGAGAGTGTTGTAATAAAATCGCCAACAGAGAGACAATTTCGTACTGTGCGAACCGTAAAACATCGACGAAACATGAAATTAACTTAAACTCGGGAAACAAAATTCTTAACGTTTTTTGCGTTATCTTTGCGTAAACAATTTTTTATCATAACAGGGGTGCTTTTTCGCTTTTTTTCAGTCACCATCCTATATTTGTTTTGTAAAATTTAAAAAGTGTTTTGTTAAAATGTTGCATCTAATGGATATCGGATTTTAAGGTACAGTTTCCACCAAAAAGTAGTAATATGACACCCTAAACTACTTACGCCAGTGTGAGACATGAATAAGCAAAATAAAAGTTCGCACGCTTCCAGTTTTTCTTATGTTCTAGAACAACAGGTTAATCCTAACATATGGGGCCAATAATATCTGTCTAATGTTACCAAAAGTTTCCCCAAGTATATTGTATCAGAAATACAAACATTTTCACGCTTATAGAGAAATACGTACATTATGATAGTTTATTATATCAACTCTTAAGGTGCTTTCCGAAACACCATACGCAGGATTATGTGAAATTATTAATTTCCTTTACGGTCGACGTTTTCGGTGCATTCTAAAATTTATGTACCTACAAATTAATATCGTAATAATTTGCTGAACTGCATAAATTAACATTAATGTGTGCCTTCGGGTAATAATAACACAAATGTGTTGTTGATTAATTAATTAGCTCTGCAAACCCCAGTCTCTTTGTCCGTACATGATTTTGTGAAATGTTGGAAGAATTTAATCTTGTTATGTTTTTACTCTCCGAGCGTAAGCTAGGGATCTATTGTAAAAGGATCCATCCCAAAAAGGACTAATTTCAGTTTTCGCAATTAGGTCCGTCGTCCATTGTAAAATCTTAGATGTATTTTAGGAATATCGTTTAGTTGGTAAACGCTAACCAAACTTTGTTTGATCATCCCCATCGTTTGATAACCTCAACAAGTAAAATTTAGTAAAATAATATAGGTATGTACTTCTATATACGGTTTATGAATCAGCCTTTATTTTTTAACAATATTTTACAAAATAACTTGGCACTTGTTAATTCTATCCAAAAACTTGACATCATTTCACAATGTTCGGGGCTAAAATCCTATGTAAAAACTCCAAAATATTGTTAGTCTCTATTTGGTTTATCATTCATATTTTTTTAATTACTTACACATGTGACTCAAAAAATTAATGAAAGAGGCAAATTATTTTTTATTCATTAAATTAAAAACAACTTACTCATTTTATAGAAATTTTGGGAATGCAGTGCTGTTGTTATTAGTATTATAGCATCCAAATTGATAAATATACAGGCTGAATCACCACTTGCCATATTTTGTAGAATTCTGCAGTTTTGTTATTGGCGTTTCACAGGTCGTCATACGAAAATGGAAGTTTCATCTGTCTAGAGGAAATGTTCAAAATTATTCCCGAAATTACAGTAATTAATCTGAAATTTTGCCTTTAAATTATCATGAATACTTAAATTTCACACAAATAGTGCATCGTAGTACATAACATACTGGTGAATTAATAATATTTATATTTTTAGCGTTAATTAACAAAATTATGCAAAAATATAAATGTTTACAATTAAATTTTAAATCTGAAAAACTATGTAAAAAGAACTGAATTATTATGAGATACTTCAGGATTGGGTCTAATTCATCTAAAATTCTGAGAAAATATTAATGGCACGAGTATTACTTATTGTGTTGTATGATGTATCTATCAAGTTAATATTATATTATTATCTCCACGAAATTCGTGAAACCATGTCAAAGTATTTTATTAAATTAACCTGAAACATGCGCCCAACAATAAATACATGCAATACTGTTCTGTTTCAGAGACGAGGAAGTCAATCATTAAATTCCTTTACAGATTTCTTAACTGTTGTCGGTACAAACAATTAACTTTACAAATTTATGTGAGTCTATTATTACCTGTTATGTGAGCATGGCATAACTCATTTCTCCAGTGCATAACGTGACCGTATATTTGTGTAAATTTTTTTCCAAATCACTGTATTTTTGGTGTAATAGCCTTCAATATTAAGAAAAGCGCAGATTGTTAAGTCTTGTAACTTTGTTATATTCTTTTGAAGTTTCATCATGCTAGAGATAGCACCATAGCAACCTGTCATTAAAATTGGCTTTTAACCATAATCGATACTTCCATTAATAAGACAGCTACCAAGTCTTAAACAAATTTGTGGGAATCGGAGGTAGTAGATACAGGGTAAACTAAAGTTTCCATGAAATCAGAAAATTAAAGGATGGTAATTATGTCTGAAATATTAACTTAGATTTGGGAAAAAAAGAATAACAAATAATTCACTTCCCTAGCAAAGAAATAAACATTGTGTGCATCGGCACATTTTACATAATATGTTTATGTTGGTATATGAATTATAAAACCGGTGGCACAGGGTACCGCAAAACCTCGGGCGGCGCCGACAAATCGGGATACCAAGCGGTAGCTTAAGAGTAAGTTTGCCAATACTTGCAAATCTCATGAGTGCACCAATCCTAAAGGTTAAACACGTTTCTTTCATATTTCAAGAAATATGACTCATTAAACTATATTTAAATGTTGTCAAACATATTACGGACTAGTTGAAGCTTATTGCAATGTATAATACAACAGAACATGTTACCAAAATGTATTTTTATTCTTCAGAAATATGTCGGTAAATACCAAGGGAAAAAACTAGGGGCGCAAGATCCACACGTCTTCGCACTGGCGGAAGCGGCGTATGCGTCACTTCAGACCGACACAAGCGGAAAAGGACACACGAATCAGAGCTTAGTCATAAGCGGAGAAAGCGGTGCAGGCAAGACGGAAAACACCCGATTTATTTTACAATATTTATGTTCAGTCACTAGCGGCGTATCAACATGGGTCGAACAACAAATTTTAGAAGCGAATACGATATTAGAGGCTTTCGGTGTGTTTAAAAAACCATGTTCAAACACAGTAACACATTTATCCGTTTCAGGAAATGCTAAAACTGTACGAAATGACAACTCCAGTAGATTTGGAAAATTTATGCAAGTGTGCTTCGATTCCCGATGGATGATAGCGGGATGCATTATTCAGGATTATCTTTTAGAACAATCGCGGTTAACTTTTCAAGGGCCGGGTGAACGAAATTACCACGTTTTTTATCAATTAGTAGAAGGTGCAAAAGTGAGGAATTCTCCCAAATTTGTTGCAAAATTTACCTGAAAATTTATTTTCGCAGAACAATAAAGAATTGGCCGCACAGTTGCATTTAAAGGATGCAAGTTTCTACAATTACTTAAATCAATCAAGTTGTGCAAAACTTGAAGGTGATGCAAGAAGACTTGATACGTTAAGATTGGCCTTCAATGTTCTTCAAGTACCGACGACTAAGTGTAATGGAATTTTTCAAACCTTGTCGGCGATCTTGTGGTTAGGAAATTTAAATTTTGAGGATATAGACGGAGAAAAGTGCCAGTTATCGGAACAAGATAACGAAATTTTGGAAATTGTTTCAAACTTATTAGAATTAGAAATAGATAGTTTAAAACAAGTAGTTCTTTTAAGACAAATTAACGTACGAGGAAATATCACAGAAATCCCTTTGAAACTACAGGAAGTATGTGCGTTATATTGGGTCGTAAAATTAATTGTCCCTTTCGATTTCAGGCTAGAGAAAATAAACATGCCATGGCTAAAGCTCTGTATTCACGTACTTTTGCATGGTTGATTAACCACATAAATAATTGCACAAATCCGGGACAAGATTCGACCAGATTTTTAGGTGTACTAGACATATTTGGTTTTGAAAACTTTGCTGTTAATTCTTTTGAACAACTTTGTATTAATTATACAAACGAAAAATTGCACAAATTTTTTAATCACTACGTTTTCGCACTAGAACAAGAAATCGTAAGGCATGATTTAAATAATAAATATAGTTTTGTATTCACTCTTTTGCGTTTCAGTATGGACAAGAAGCCATACAGTTCAACCATATCTCATTTACTGACAATTCTTTATGTTTAGAATTGTTGGAGAAACCTCCACGTTGTATTCTTAGATTATTATCTGAACAATGCCATTTACCTAGAGGTTGTGATGCATCATATATTTCAAATCTACATTCCGAATTTGAAAATCACGAGAGATATGTCAAAGGTACGTAAAATTCTGAATGAAAATGTTTAAGCTTGTATATAAATTATTAGGGGAAGATAGAAGACGTTGGGAAACAGAATTCGGAATAAAACACTACGCCGGTTGTGTAACATACAGTGTAAAAGGTTTTGTCGACAAAAATCGGGATGTTCAACAAGATGTGTTCTTTGATATAATTTCACGAAGTAAGCACGAATTTCTTCAAGAGTTGTCCAAATATCAGGACCTGAGTACTCATGTTACTACACGACAAATAGCTAACGGAGGTACGACTGTTTCAAGAGGTACAAGTAAAGGCAAACCAACAGTTTCCGATACTTTTCGTCATCAGTTACAAGCTCTAGTCGATGTGTTACAATCAACCACGCCGTGGTACGTCCGCTGTATCAAACCTAACAGCAAGAAACTTCCAAATGATTACGATAACAATCTAGTCTTAGATCAACTGAAATATTTAGGAATGTTAGACATAATACGTATACGAAAAGAAGGCTTCCCGATCCATATGAATTTTGAAGACTTTGTAACCAGATATCATTGTCTTTCCAAAAATCGTCTTCCACCCGACATGGTGAAAGCATGTCGAGACCTATTGGAAAGTCACAATTTACCAAAGACTGAATGGCAATTGGGGAAAACCAAAGTTTTTATGAGATCTCATATCCACGAACCCTTAGAAGAGGCAAGAAATAAAATGATCACCTCACGGGCCATCCTAATACAAAAGGTCTATCGGAGATACATCGCCCGAAAGGAGTTCTTACGAGTCCGCAGTGCCGTCCTTCTCATTCAACACGCCTACATTGGATGGAAATTAAGAATCGAGTTCTTAAGGAAGCGACGTGCTGCTATCGTCATACAAAGTCACTTAAGAGGCGTGTTTGCTAGAGAAGTAGCAGCAGCGCTCCGAGAGATGCGAAGAGTCGAAGAAGAAATGAGAAGGAGAGAAAAACTTGAAGAAGAACGTAAAGCCAAAGAAGCAGAAGAAGCACAAAGACGCCAAGAAGAACAAGAGCAGAATAAGAGAATTGAAGATCTTGAAAGAAGTGAAAAGTAAGATTGTAATAAATATGAAGTTAATGGTTTCCAATGTTTGTATTACAGAGCCGCCGAACAAGAAATTGCGGCACTTTCACACATGGCCGAGCAACTGAAACCGCGCCTCAATGAACCCGTGACAGAATCTGTAGATTTAGATAATCTGTTTGCGTTTTTGTCAGACGTGCAGCCTCAAAATCGGAACCAAATCATCGATGAGATAGGTGAAAAAATGAACGAATTGGTTGAAGATCTGGACGTTGAATTAGAAACTGTGATCCAACAAGAACTGGAAGGGTTGGCGTTAGAACAGCAGCAACCCACTCCACCAAAATTAGCCATGCCAACGCTGCCAGAACCAACAGGACCGCCTCCACCGCCTCCGCCTGCCTTCCAAACGGCTCCCGAATCTCCTCAACCTGAAACCAAAGATGCTAACAATGCTGAACCAATTTATGAAGCAGTACTTCCAAGGGATGATTCTAGTTGTGTGTCACCCCCGCCACTTCCAGCACCGCCAAGGTTGCCACCGGAATCACCGAAAGCCAGTCCTCCAGTGTCCAGACCTAACAGCGCAGTTGTAAATAATTGTGTTAAGTTGGATGCATTTAAACCGACTGTTTTATGTTTTATTTCAGCCTCAGACTTGGAGGTACAACCATGAACAAGAAGCCAACAACGTTGAACGAGAACAACGACGAAAGTGCAGAGTAGAAAAGAAGTTGCAGGAATTAACGGAGACAAGTGAAAAGGATAGTTCGAATGAAGAAACATATCACGATATGATCGAATTCGCCGAAAACTATTTCAATGCTCACGAAAGAAGTCCCGAGGGAACAATTATAGCAACTTTGACGCGGAAGCGACAAAGTTCAGAAATGATTCCGAAATGTGAAATGGTTACTTTTTATAAAGGCAACACTATTCCTAACTCACACATACATATGTACGATCCAGATAATATAAATATTGCCTGCCACATTTTCAGGGTGAGTATTCTTTGAAGGCATGACTCATGCCTGGTTATTTTTATTAAAAGTACTTTACCTTCTAACAATGAATTCACTTGCGGGAATTATGACGATAGACTACCACGAATTTCAAGCATTTTGGAAATGTTGGTGGGTCTAGCGAAGCTTAATTTAATGAAGTAAAAAATTTTAAGTGGGTAATTTTCGCTAATGAGGAATTTTGTTCTAATTAAAGGACTTGTGCAAATACATTCGCGGTGAAATGAACGCAGAAAGGGAACTTCTGGTGATTCAGACAATAATAGGTCACGCGTTGGAACGTGAAGAAATTAGAGACGAAATACTCGTCCAATGCATTCGACAAGCCACTAATAATCCAAATGTAGAAGGAACGGAGAGAGTTTGGCTCCTCCTTTGTCTCTGCGTAGTATCGTTCCAACCTTCAAAACTTCTCCATCGTTACTTCGTATCATTCCTAAAGAAAAATCTCGCGCAAGGAGGCAAGATATCTCAGTATGTTCAATGGTGCATAGACAATTGCAATAACACCAAAGTTAAAGTAAGAGAACACCCACCTTCGTCGGTCGAAGTTGCTGCGATGAAACGCTTAGGCACAATAGTATGTAGATTTTTCTTCCTTGATGGGAGAACTAAAGCCATAGATGTTCATCCGACTGATACGGCCGGGGACGCCGCTAGGAAATTGGCAGAGCGACTTGGATTGCGAAATTTAGATGGCTGGGCTATTTACCAAAGTCGACCGGATGGAGAGGAACATGTTCGGGCTCACTATTACCTCTACGATGTTATCGCACAGTGGGAAATGTAAGTATGCGAACGAATTTCTTCGTGATCGATGCTGAAATTACTCATTTTAGGAGCCAAAATAAGCTGACGCCACCTAGCGGCCTTTCCACCCTCGGAAGGCGTAGTGGAACTACACTGAGTGGTGGAGAGAACCGTTTTATATTCAAACGACGACTGTTCAAGTCTAGTCGAGAATTAAGCCAGGATCCAGTAGAAGTGAATCTTCTATACGCCCAGGCTGTTCATAGCGTCGTGAAAGTAAGTGAAATTTTTAAGCTTAGGTTTTAAACACAACACTTTAAACTTCACTTTGTCCGGCTTTATTTTTTTGAGGCTCTGTTCTGAAAATACAAATAATTCACTGTCAAGACTTATGATTTTTTGTCCTTTAGTGATTGATCGTTCACGCACTATACCCTGTTTCGAAAATATTCAAGCTTTTGTTTTAAACTCTTGTCACACAACCCATAAAAAGTTTACCTATAAAAGGACACAACCAATAGCCACTACGTCTGGAAAACTTATCCATTGAAGTTATCTCCAGTAGTTTTCTAGCGGTACTTCACTTGAACAAACTAATAAAATTACTGTCTTGCGAAACAATTTCTTTGATGCGATGGATAATAAAATACTATTTCAGAGTGACGACTTCCCGGTTACCGAAAAAGTGGCTCTGCAGTTGGCTGGCTTACAAGCTCAGGTCGCTTTGGGCAACCCCAAAGACAATAACAAACTTGAATATTATACTGATATCGATAATTACCTACCGTACAGGATAAGTAGAACAAGAGGGGATGACGTTTGGGTGCCTATTATAGCGCAAGCGCATAAACAATATGGTGCTAATCGTTCCGAACTGACCGCAAAAGCTTTGTACCTGTCCTGCGTTATGCAGTATCCGTTATATGGGACTACCATGTTTCCTGTTGCGTATAGGGGGTACTGGTCATATGGGAATTCTCTCATCTTAGGTGTTAATAGCGAAGGAATAATGCTCATAAAGCCGGATGACAAATTCGTCCTCGACGAATACCGTTACCACGAAGTCGAAAGTATTCTTTTAGATCCTAGTGACAGTTTTATAACGATATCTTTACAACGACATCTAAGTGAAAACAACCATAAGTGTTTTGTTTTTGAAACAACGCAAAAGAACGAAATCGGATCTTTAATCGCTAGCTATTGCCCAACTTTAGCAGCTTGGTTAACCGAAAACGAAGCACCACAAAAACGAGTTAAAGGTATTACTAACGAAGATCGAGTACGGCTCTACCACAATCTAGTTAACTGCAGAAGGGCGTTAGTCGATCATGAAATTTTACGAAAACCCACTGATTCTTCTGGTAGTTTTCTCAGAAATACCTTACGTAGATTGAGTAAACATAAATTGGACAAACTGAGACAAGAACATGGCGGGGATACGGGAGAAACATACAAAGGCTTCCATTATGCATTTTGGGCGTTCAGTCGTCAACAATTACCTCAAAGTATTAGTAGATTACCGGATCAAGAAGAACAGATAATGTTACAAGTTTTTCAAATAATACTGACATATGCCGGCTTAGGACAAAATGGTAAGTCACAAATCTTTATTTTCATAGTGAACACAAGTACAATTTCCGTATTTTCTGAAAGGTGAGACAATACGGAGAGTGGAAGATGAACACGTTTCTCTGTTGCAAACAATTCTGGAAAGATGTATGCGAAAAGAATCTCTTCTATGTGAATTGTATTTACAACTCATTAAGCAGACAACCGATCATCCTGACCCCAATTCTCGAGTGAATCTCCGCCATTGGGCGTTACTATCTCTAGCGTGTTCCGTGGTACTACCACCTAATAAAGCAATCCGCAGATACCTTATAGCTCATCTGAAACGATGTAGCTCTGATTATGTTACTGAAGAGGGTAAATACGCACGATTTGCAGAAAAATGTCTTCTAAAGACTCAGGGAACAAGAAGGCGACAGTGGCCACCTTCTCGTGAGGAAATTCTTTGTACCATAAATCGTAGACCAGTTTATGCGCGCTTCCATTTCATGGATGGCCAATATCATTCAGTAGAATTCCATCCATCTGCCACGGCAAAAGATGTTTTGGAAATCGTGCGAGACAAAGTTGGGTTGGGCTCAGAGGCCAAAGGTAACATATTTTTTTTATATAAAAACAAACCACTGAGTACGATACTAATCATTACAGGTTATGCAATTTATGAAGTTCTGGGTAACTCAGAGAGGAGTTTAGCAGCTGAAGAAAAAGTTGCTGATGTTATGGCGAAATGGGAAAGGTACAGAGCTGCTACAGCAGCTAATACTGCGAATACTACCGGAACTGCTAAACGAGCGAGACCGCAGCATCACTTCTTCCTGTTTAAAAAACACATATTTATGGATAATTACATCAATCTTAACGATCCGGTTGAAAAAGAACTATTATACCATCAAGTGTTACATGACCTGAGGACCGATAGATTCCCCGTTACAGACAAAGAAGCTGTAAGTTTTTGCTAACAATTTTAATAGTACGCTTTACAGCTTTTTTTAAATTTTAGATGATGCTGACGGCACTTCAAGCTCAACTCGAATTAGGCGACGTGAATGACACCATTCATGATTACCGCCCTATAGCTTGCCACTGTTTACCAGCTCGATTAGTTCCAATTTTACCACATGATGGTGTTGCCATGCACCATCAATCTCTTCGAGGAATGACTCCGTCTGAAGCCAAACAAGCATTTTTAAACTTGATACAAAGCTGGCCTTTGCACAAAGCTACGATTTTCGACGTTATGGTAAGTTTTCTCTTTTGTTCTCGAGAGAGATTGTTAAAAAAGGAAAATTAGTTTAAAAAATACTTTACCATTTCAAAAACATACTTAAGTTTGAATCTTAATTTTTGGGACAGATAAATTGCATAAAAATATTTGTAAAGTGTAAAAAATATCTTCTATGGATGTTTAGACAGTTAAATATCCTAGACACGCTACTGACTTAAAAAACTTTTTCATGTTAGATATGTCCAAGTTGAGACGTTAAATCTTCAAATCAAACAAAGCTAAGAGACTAAGTCACTACTGGTAACACAAACCAAGAAAAGTGTCTTCATTCAAAATAAGCACTTCGTCAACAATTCGCCGGAAAAATAAACGTAGGAAATTCTGGGTGTTATAGACAAATATTGTTTCACATTCCATTGGTAGTGTTACACTTATTTTAATAACCCCGTATATATTTGTGTGTATTTAAGTGTTTCAACGATATTTCTCAAGCACATTTTTCCCTTTTCAAAATTTACCCGATATATTGTTTTGTATTGTATTTTAAATACTTCAATTTATTTTTAGCAATCATTTACCTCCAACTGGCCTAGAGTTCTTTGGCTCGCTGTTGACCAAAAAGGCCTCCATCTCCTTGAACACCGTTCAAGAAATACCCTTTGTACCTACGACTACGGAAGCATATTGAGCTATGCGCCCGCCCTTAACTACCTGATGATAATTACGGGAAGTGACAAGAAGCAAAGTAAAGTCATACTGACTACCGCCCAAGCATTCCAAATAGCAACCTTAATACGCGAATATATGGAAGTCCTCCATGGTGATTCGGTGGAAATAAGGAGGGCTCAAACACCAAAGAGTCGACCGGTTAGCGCTTTACACCAAAATACACCACTAGTACCGCCACAACCCAGCTAGAAAAGGGTTACTTTCGCAGATCAGGTAATGGCGGCGCACTATTAACAATACTGGCCGTCTACAAGTATTGTCCAGAAAATATATTGGATCTCTTGATTGGCAAACTTAACAAATATGGAACAAAGACATTTTAAATTGTAGAAATTGTAGGTAGTAGGTTTTTTCTGGTGGTACTTGTGCTGATCTGCGAAATTGTTTTTCCGTCTACAAAGTTACTACGTATTGTTTGGCAAGATTTTACAGAAGCAATTGTTTCACAACTAACATTGTTGCATATTTTTAATTACATGGTAGTATTGTTTGCAAAAAAAAAAAAAATCGGTGAATACTGATTACGTAACACGGACGTAAGTTTGAAACAAGTGTTTTTATTAACATAAATATGACCACAAAAAATAAATTCGTGAAAAGACTGAAGTTGTAGAGAAAGTATTGGTCATATATTATTTATTGCGGTTCTATAAATAGGTATTAGCGTCATAATTTATGCAACTAGTCAAAGTGTATATAAGCCGATAATTTTACTTTGTACAGCTGTTAAAACCCGCAATTGTTGTTTTGTATTATAAAGCTTCATACATTAAATTACCTTCTTTTATAATGTGATATTTTACTTTTAGTTAAGTTATGCATTTATGTTTGTATGTAAGAACTTTGTGCGTTAAAAAGTGTCTAGAACTATTGACTTTATTTATTCTTTGAAAAAACAAGCGTTTTTCTTATACTTTTTATTTGTAGACACTTTTTAGCCCATTTATATAAATGTCAAAAAATGGTTTATATAAATGTCTTAATTAAAAATATTCAATATGAAAAAAATCTTTATTTGACCTGCAATCTATCAGAAGTTTCGTGCCCCTTTTCCTTTGAGTTTGCTATTCTTGATCCAAATTGTAGCGCCCGCTTTTTAAACGTTGCTGCATTTTTTAATCCCAAGTCATATGCTAAACAACGAAGTAAAAGCTTTTCGCCAATTCCTGAAGGAAGATCTTTCGTTGGATATGTCCTGTAGGTATATACGTAAGATCGTTATTCACTGGTAATAGTTACAATGGGTAATCTTCACACAGGAAAACGTTACTGCTACTTTAAAGCATCTCAATTTTACCAACTGTAAAATTTTATTGAATGAAAATAAACATTAATTTATCTGTAAAACAAAAACGAATTTTTACTGAAGCTTCCATAGGAGTTCCATTTTCCTAAGTTTACTCATTGTAATAAATTAATATAAACAAAGAAATTAAAAGAATATGAACAAAATAAATATAAGTACTCACTTGTCCCAAGAATTTAAATTCTGGGTGAATTTTACAACTTCCTCATCTAAATAAGGCGTGCGAAGTTGTCGGCCATGATCAGACACCACACGGTCATCCCTGGCTAGATTCCTATGCGGTAAATTTTGCCAGTCTTCCTTCAATACTTCATCTAATTCTTTCCAACCCTTCTTCTGAAACGCTGCCCGATGTCGCGTGTAACCTCCAAACAATTCATCCGCGCCCATTCCTACCAACAAAGTCTAAATTTCAATTAAACCTTTCCCAAGTGTTTTACTTGCCCTACAAGGTGAAGTATAATTCTCGGTCGCTGCTTTACTTGCAAACCATAGAGCACAACCCAAACTATCATCCAAAATAGAATTCAATGGATATATTAAATCAGAAATACGTTCTTTTCTGTAAAAATCTAATTCTTTGGAAGTTACGTTGATTTCTACAAAGTTCCATGTTCTCTCTGAACAAAGAGTTTGTAGTTCTTGTAATGTATCTCGTCCCGTTTTCCTATCGGGGGTGTCATATGTGCCATTTTTTTCAAATGCTACATTCATCAAATCAATGGGACGCGTTTCATCTACAAACTTGTTGGCCAAGAGTGCTAAAATTGCACAATCTACGCCACCGGAAAATAATACTCCTGTCACTGCATGATTGCAGTTAAATTGTTTGAAACAATTCTGACAAAATTTGGGTTGTGTTAGAATTCTTTTCTTAATACTGCTTTCTAACAGTTCTTTCAGTTTTTTTATCCTGTCTGGGTAAATTGAGTTAGACAAATAATGAAAAATCTCTTCACTAGGCATCTTTAATAAATTATCTAGAAATTCTAACTGACTTTCATTTGGTGGATGAAATTCTTTCAGTTCTTCATTATCCACCTCTTGTTTTAAGATACTTTGTTCCAAGAAAGCTTCAAGTTCGTTCAACTTGTCATAAAAATGCTTACTTTTTCTTCGCCACGGAAAAATTTGCCAGTTTTTGGTAGTGAGATCAATACAAAATACACCTACACTTGGTAATTCAATGAAATTATACTTTGTGTTTCTTTTTGCTACACTTGTAATTATCAAGTCGCTTTCGTCTTTACCAATCAATAAGCTACGTCTTCCATACTTATCTCGTCCAAAATAGAGCAAATTCTCTGATTCGTTAAAATAGACAAACGCGAATGGACCCTCAATATTATACACAGTTTCAGTAATATTACTTGACCTTTCTAGAAGATTCAAAAATAATTTCGTATCACCCTCTTTATTTCTTAATTCGTCATCTACTTGTGGTCCACCATAAATGTCTCCATTGTATAGAAGTGTTGAATTGTTACTTGTTAGAGGTTGTTTTGTAATTCCTGGGCCTTGCAACCACAAAACACTGGCAGCTAACAATAGTTTTGAAGTTTCTAATGAAAAAAATTCAGAGTGCGACGAGTTTGGCCCTCTTCGGGCGACAGATTCTTCGAATAATTTGAACTGAAATAAGATCATCAGAAATTGCTACACATAAAATGCATTAATTAACCTCATTTATTACGTATTCCAAATTACATTTTTTATTGCTACATATCATACAAAAAATTCCACACATTTTCTTCTTGTAAATCTGTACATATGAGACAACTAGAAATATCTTTCAAAACACAACACTGGTGTCTTGTAGAACACAATTGTGAAGAGGTTATGTTTATCAATGACGCACGCACAAAGACACTGCGCGCGCACCAATGACGTCTAACGTGGTAGCCAAGGAACGAACCATATGATCACAACCAGTAACATCCCTGAGTAACACCACAAGCAGGGTTGATTATTCAAAGGTTCAATGGACTGTTCACCAAAGAAGAATATTGTCCCAAACATTTATTAAATTCCTGTTATTCCTGCATGAGGATTATTTGCCACACCTTCAAAAAATAACCTTACATATTTATAACACTGTATTAATACATTTTATTTAGTGTTGTAAAGACACTACTTGTATATTAATAAAAATTTTACAGTTTTAAATTTATGAAATGCATCTTTCTGGTCTATGAAACCATAAATTGTGAATCCACTAGTCTCCAATGTCAACATAACCACATGTGCCTTAGTGGATCAAGCTACGATACGGATTATCCAATCAGAGACAACAGCGACCTGTACCGCATTGGTTCCTCAATTTCCAATAACTGGTTAGCAGAATTTTATTAAAACCCAAAAATCCACATTATCGTGGTTTCAAATAAAGTAGTTTGTCCCAATCCTTTATTGGGCCTAAACTGCTTCTTTGACGACTTAAATCTACGCTGGATCGGACTGCGGTAATTTCTAATTTGACGCAAATGATTGAACTGTTTTAGTACCATGATTTTGAACAGTTCCAAATTGTTTATTTGTATCTTTATACCATTTATAAACTGATATTTTGATAATTTAATTCATGTATAACCAGAAGATAAACAATTTGTTTCACGAAAATGGACAAAATCCAATAAACATTTCGTTTGCCTTAATTTTAGAGTCTAATCGTTTACTAGAATTTATCGAGCCCTTTACAAAATTGAAAGAATTTATTCCAAAAAAAGATAATTAAAATTTGTTTGTATATTAAAAAAATTGACAATAAATCATTTATATATAACATTGAGTCGACAATATTGGCGATATTGATACAAATAACATTTTTTCCGATGCAGAAATACTTCAATATGAATAATTTGAAGAGGTCAGTACAGTAATACAGATCCCCGGTCACTATTGCCTGCCACACACCAACATAGTAAGGCACCAGAAATGTTTATACATGATATAATTACATTGGAAAAAATGGTATTGTTTAGTTGATAGTTTGGTGGCACTGATGCGATGAAGGTTGTGTTATCTGAAAAAGAAAAAAAAACTTGAAAAAATCTAAACGGTGAACTAAACCGGAAAAAATGTATCATCTTTCGATAACAAATGGTCTTGGACACAACCAAATGCCAGTACGGATAAATTTTTATATCCCGAAAATAATATTTTCGTGTCAAAAATAAAACACCAAATCAAGTTATTTTCGGGATTTCAATTAGTACTTTAACGTGATGTTACCTATTCAGTGCTGCCTTCAGAATCACTCTCTTCTTCAGCATTTTGGAGCCATTCAACGAATTGTTTCATCTGATCAACAAACATCATTTTTCCTTTAACGCTATAATCCTGTTTATACCACTTGAGAATAACCTGTTCAGAAATTACATCCGTTTTATAAAACAGCATTATGATTTTTTGGAAAGCCCTCATAAACGTCATGTTTGAATAGCAATACTCTTGGACCTTTAAGAGCAAATTTAATTCTGAGCGTGCCGATTGAGTGAATGCGGAAAACAAACTAGTGTACTGCTTCAAATGACGCACAGCTTGATCAGTAACTAGTTCCTGTAACAAAATAAAACCATGAAGCTAATGTTTTCACAAAAAATATTAAATGAGGGTGAGTTTGCGGCAAGAACAAAACTCACCTCCTTCTTAGACCACTCTGGAATGTCCATGACGGTTGTCCAAATGATGCAAACCGTCTCATGTTCTTGGATGTTCTCCTTGGAGGCGAACTCACGCAACTCGGCGATGATGTCACGTTGGGGCTTGTTTTCGGAAAGGCTATCGGCCAACATGACTTGCAGTTCCTTCTTGGCCTGCTGTTGATGTTGGTCGTTGTACAGTTTGAGTATTTCTTCCAGACCGTTCTCCTGGAAGGCATTACGGAAGTACACCTGAGACTGCTTCGTATCTGGCACGAAACTCATCAGATGCGATTCGATGTTGGACTTCTTAATGGATGAATGGAGGGAGTTTACGCCCTTGTCCTGGCGCCAATACTTGAACACATCGATCAAAAAATCCAAAGCCAAGTGATCCTTGACCAAGTGTGAATTACTCAACACCAGCACAGCATTGAACGGGATGCTGCCATTCGATATCCACAAATACACCATCACAGATAGTTTTTTACGTTCGGCTGGAGTAAAGTACTTTACGAACATAAGCACTTTCTTTATTTCATCCTGAAACGGAGACGTTAAAAGTAAAGACTAATGAATCAGACATTCATCAGACGAAAAATATTTTGTGCTATTTGGGCCGTATTTCTTTACTTTCCTTTTACAATTACGGAACTTATGTGGAAAAAAAGAGTATATTTTAGAATAAAAACCAAATTCTATTTTAATATCACATAAAAGAGGAAAAAGTAAAAGTTGTATGATCGTCTAGTATTAGGAATATTTTTCATAAAAAAAATGCATTAATGCAGATATAGTTTCTAATTAATGCACTGTTAAAATTATACATATATCTGTGCAAGAACCTAAGGAATGTAAGAAACTAAACATTGGTACTAACTTTTAAAGCTAATATGTTCTGTTAGTTTTCTGTTATCATTGTAAACGACTCTATTTCATACAAGCATGATTTTTTATTATCACTGTTTAGTATTTACTTTTGACAGATATGAGTTATATAAAGTAAATCAATTACCATCAATAACTTTTACTTACCCCTGTCACCTTTATTTATTCTAGTTTTAGATAAGGTGAACTAGGTGATTTTTAGTCTTATTTATTTTAATCAGTTAATACATTGTAATCAATAAGGTCTCATTTAAGTCTATTAATGTTGAGACATTTTTACGGATAAAGCAGTATTTAATTGTATTAAATTAACAATTATAACTGAAGTTGTCCCATTTTTTTTTTTAATAACACATGCATATTCAATATAGTGCCCTTCCTAATTCAATAGTAGAAATACTTGAATCAAAACATGCTCTTAAAAAAACCTCTACAGCGATTATTGAAAAAACGAAGTAGAGTGGTGTTCCTAACCCGGTACCCAATGTTTTCATTATGGACAATACGTCTTGTCCTTTCCCGCTTTTAAGAACCTAACTTCAGCAGAGGTAAATTTTTACCTGCCATTATTGTGTAGATTGGAAAGTTGGGAATAAACAGTTCCAAGAAACGCTCAAGTTAATGAACCGATTCTTTTCATTTGATAAATACTCATCGAGTTTCTGACGACCATCATCAGTTTTATACGAAAAACGCAAAAACGTAATACAAACATTTCCAAGTCATATCTAAATAAACCTTTATTAGTATTCTCAAAATTAAAAAAATATTGACAGAAATAATTGCGTTTCACTAAAATTTTCACGTGTTACTATTTCTTCTTGACAAAAACAGTTTTTTTTAATTATATAGTTTTTCCTTGTTAAAAAACCTACTCAAACGTAAAAAGTAGTACAATATACTAAACAAAAACTTTCTAAAAGCTGTTATCAGCAACAATGTAACAAATGCAACTTACTTGAAAAATCTTCTCCAGATACTTATAGCGACGCATAAGTTTAATGAAGACTTGTTCCCAACTCTTCATGGTTTCCATGTTTATTTCGTCCGGTGTGCAAAATATGCAAACGGAGGTTTTATGTGGTGCTTCCCCCTCCTGTAACAGTGTACCTCCCGGCACTACAAAACAATTTAGTTCATTTGTAAAACAAAGAAGTGAGGTAATGACTCACCAAGGATGCCACCCGCAATGAGTATGTCAAATAGACTTTCTCCATATCGACGATAATCTTGTTTATTGCCTGCACCGTCCAAAAAACGCGAAATTGCTTCAAAATTGTTGTTGCATTGATCGAGTCCAGAGATTATTGCATCCCTAAACCCTACTGGATCGTACCTTTCCTTTTCATCTAAAAACCAAGTATCAAGTTAATTGAATGCAGTCTGACGCACTTTAGGGGTATTTCACCTCTTTTTCTGGTCTTGATGCGTTGACCGGATAGAACTGGTTTTTCTACTTTTTGACTCATACAAAAATTTCTGGAAAAAAAAGAAATTTTACTTCCGTTTCCGGTTGACTTTGAGATAATGCTAAGCAAATGGAAACGAACAAAAAAGCGGAACAATTGCATGAAACGGCAGCAACAACTGCGAACAAAGTCGGAGAACAAAGAAAAAGGAGAATTTTGTCCAAATAACGGCACAAATAAACATGGAATCAGGTCAACGACTCAACAATTTTTTTTCAAGCAGAATTTACACATCTGTCCAATTTGTCCTTGTTCTGACTTTCCCAAACGAAAGGTTACGGGAATGCAGAAAAAATGCCACCAAAATGGGTTAGTTTTTGAAGCAAATAGGCCAACATTGCACAATGTGCTTGATTCATGTATCGCAGAAGGCATGGGCGACCATTACAGAGAGCTGAATCGTGAAAATACGTAAAACGTCAAATTTTTGCAACCCAAAAATAGCTTACAATTAATATTTGACAGCGCTTATTGTCGACTTTCTATAATTAAGCCTATTGGAAAAAATAAACTTACATTTTTACTGTTTTAAAAAAACACTTCACACGAGCTCACAAGAATTTCAAGACCGTATCGTCAAAAGAAACTGCGCGACTGCGGACTAGAAATAAAACGTAATGGACGAAAACCGGAATCAATACGGGAGTTGGCGCGGGAATTTCAAAACTTCACTGGCTCTAACGACTCTAGTATGGGTTAATTGCACTTTTCTGATTTTTAATATTATCGAAAAACTAATTATTGCTAAAACCCTACTATGACGCTTCTAGAAAACAAAAACAGTGCAAATTTCTAAGATTGCTAGGAAGTAAAATTTATTCATTGTTTGATTGTACTACCGGAAATTGTCGATTTCAATTATAGGTTTACAGTGTCGCCACACAAAAATTTTAACAAAACAGATAATAATGAGATCATGTAGGTAAGGCACTGATAATTTTTGCTAGATTTCAACAGTGAAGACGTGGAAAGAGATATTTACAATTTATTGCCTTTCACTTCTCTGTTATTATACCTAACACACGGAGCTGCAGCATGTACCTAGCAAATTATTTAAAACTTTTGATATTTTACACCAAAAAATTAGGTCTGTATTTAAAAAAAAAAACTAGTATTTAAAATATTGTTTATGTTTGTATATCTTCAAATGATAAAATGTAAACCTTTCACAACTGAAATAAAAATGCAACAAACTTACTAATTTTCGAATATTTATATTTTTCAAAAATAAATCGTTAATATTTGCGAAAATTATCTTCTTCAGTTATTGTGATAATACTGATAATGTAGTCTGTGGTGATAACGTCAGGTGTTGCTTTTTTTATTCTCTATTCTGGTGCTTCAATAAACCGATGTATTGAAATTGTCTACATAGATTCCATCCATAATAAAAACGTCCGAGTTGGGATTATTCAAAACCTGCAACACTCTGAAGTTGTTTGCAGAAACTTTATTAAATGCGGACCGATATTTTTTCTATATTCACATGATTTTTTTTGATGCAGAAAATGAAAGTAAGTAATCTCTGAAACTATGTTGCAGTAGTCCAAGGCAGATTTTTTGTGAAATTTTAGATTAGTTTTAAGAAAATCGTGTAGATTGTAAAAATGTTCACTGCTAAAACTTGTCTGTTTATCCTCACCTAAAATGTGATGAGGTCATCTGAAAATTTTACACAGTAAATCGGTGAAATACCCGTGATTTATCAAACAAGCTTTGTTTTAATCTTTGAAAAAAAAAATCAAAGTGTTACAATTTATTTGTAATACAACACTGATTTTTGAAGTAAATTTTATTTGACATGAGGGGAATAACAAGTATGATGTCTTCATATACTATTATTTTTTTGAACTGCGTATGAAAACGTCTCAAAAATCATATAAGTACATATTATATACGTTAATTATTGATTATTAAATCAAAAACGGTTTATAATCTCGTTTTCTTGAACTGCTGGGAAAGAACATAAGTATTTATAATTTACCTTGGAGCGAAAGAAGTTGTCTTTGTGTCTCAATAATTTTAGACCGACTTTTTTATACATCTTGAGTAGACAACTACAAACGACTAAAGAAACATTCCATTAACTTCTTTTAATCCTTAAATAAAAATTAATGTCTTATCAAAAGCCCATTGAGACAAATTGATTTGATACTACAAATTTTTGTATTTAATGTAGATTAACTTATCATGTTGTTCACCCATTTTATACATCACATGTTTGGTCTAAGGTTTATTTGTATTTCACATTTGATTATTAATCTTCTTTGTAAACCTTGTTCATAAATATCACAAACAGTAGAAAATAGAAATAGCCACAAGTCAGTAAGTCAGTAACTTCCAATCTTATCACGTGTTATCTTTCATTAAAATGTTGGGTTATTGAAAGTAAAGTTTTGATTCCAAACCGAGAAGACATGTATTATGGATCAAGTAATAAAATTCGTCCAAAAACTATATATGTACAAAATAATGACGAAATGCGTAAATATTTTTATGTACAAAAATTAAGAGTATCAACATAAGTGACAATAATGAACCTTAATTGCACATTAAACATTTTTTTTTTTATTATAAAATAATTTAATCATTTTATAAACTACACTGATTTGAAAATAAAAAGATGAAATATATTATTTAATAAAAGGAACATTTGTTTTATTTTGCAGAGTTTTACTTTTTTTCTTGTCCTCTTCATCACTAAAAAGTTCAGCAAAATCATTGTGAGTTGAAATCATACGATCATCCATTTTTTTATAAGCATTTTTATCTTGAGTTTTTGAAATTGTTGAATAGATAGACATAGCCTAAAATATAAGTTTTAATTAATATGAAGATAATTTGCACAAATCTGTTTACCTGGCCAACTAAATTAGACACATCTCCCACATTTGAGGGCAAAATGAGTGTGTTGTTTGTTTTTGCCAACTTATCAAATGCATTAACATACTGTTCAGCTATGCTAAGAGAGGCTGCATTAGGTCCTAGATCTTTTTTTAAAGCTTCAGCTACAAGCTTTAGCCCACCTGCTCTGGCTTCAGCTACAGCTAAAATTGCTGCAGCCTCACCAGCAGCTTTGTTAATTTGTTCTTGACGTTCGGCTTCAGAAGCTAATATTCGTGATTTTCTTTTACCTTCTGCTACATTTATATCAGCTTCACGAACACCTTCAGACTCAAGAATAGCAGCACGTTTTTTGCGCTCAGCTTCTACTTGCATCTGCATAGCTTCTTGTACTCTTGGTGGTAGTTTAATATCACCTATAAGACAATGTAAAATATAATTAGACGGGAAATGTGTTTTACTTACGAATTTCATAACGAAGACAAGTCATTCCCCATGCTTCACTTGCCTTATTAATAGAATCAACAATTGACACATTAAGATTTTCTCTTTCACGAAATACTTTGTCTAAGGAAATTTTTCCAAGTTCTGATCTCATAGTAGTTTGTGCTAATTGGGTTATAGCAAATTCTGGATCTTCAACGCCATAACTTGCCAAATATGCATCAACAATTCTTAAGTAGAGAACACCATCAATATTTAAAGTGACATTGTCTGAAGTTATGGCACTTTGTTTTGGGATATCAACGGCGATTTCTTTTAGACTCTGAACATATTTTACCTTATCCACTATAGGTATTAATACATTTAAACCAGGTTCTAGTATTCTATGAAATTTACCCATACGTTCTACAACCCATGCCTATAAAATTCAAAACTAATGAAATAAATTTATAACCAAAATGTAATTGTTATCATACTTCCTGTTGTGGAACAAACATAATAACCGTATTTATGGGTGTATAAGACCTATAACGTACTGGAATCAAACGCAGTGTGTTATTCTGAATTGAATCACGAATTACTGGTTGCTGTAAATACAATTATTAATATTATGGTTCAAGCACAGACGAATTAAACTTGCTTTTAATAACATTCTACAATTATTTAATAACTGTCTCGAAAACATTTTCTCGATATTTCCAGTTTACAATCAAAGAAATTTATCATAACCTACAACAACCGGAATATTTGACAGATCTGACAACTAACTTCACGCTTCGTCCATCGAGTCAGGGATTTTAACGTTATATTAATTTCAGACTGTTTTTTCCAATTCCGCCATGATCAAATTCAAATTTTGAATTCCTATACAGGGTGTAGTTTATTTTATGGTATCCAGGCAAATCTGTTACAAACAAAACAAGTGACATTAATGTCAAGAAGTACTACAAAAAGGAAGTAAAAGGAAATGAATACATTTTTATCCGATGCAAATAAATTAAAAAATATTCAATATTTTTTGGAAAAAAATGATCCTGTTTTCAACCACGTATCAAAATGTGGGTGTGATTTAAGCTTAGTGGATTATGTGTTACAGTTGGAGCAAAAAAGGTAAGAGAATCCTGTATACAAAGTAATGGTATATTCTATATGTCTTAATTTTGTAGGAAAAATGAAACGGAGCAAATAACCAACGAATTAAAAAATATATGGCACTTACTCCACAAGAAGAGAAATATTTTATTAGACAAGAATGTCAATAACTTAGGTATTAAATCTATTATTTATAAAAAAAATGGGTACATATGTATAATTTTTAAGGAAATTAGGTACCTATATCTTGTTACCAAATACTATATATAATGTCGTTGCAGATTTACATTTATTTAAACAAGATATGATTGAAATTCAAGACAAAATTCATACTTTACGAGTAAAATTATTACCTCATTATGACGTGTTAAAAGATGAAGAAAAAAATATTACAGAAATGAATGAATTATTTAGACAAAAATTAGAAGACTGGGAGAAACCAGTAAAATCAACCAGCAGACACAATTACACTATATCAAAACAAAGAGCCGTTGATAATACTAATCTTAAAGTGCGTATCCTTAAAGAAAACATTTTTTTTGAGTTTCTTTAATTTTAATTTCAGGAAGTACTGGCGTTTATGGAATTTGTTAATAACAGTAATGGTCACGAAAATGGTTGGCCTATTGAAGATCATCAACTTTTCTTAAAACTACGGCATAAATATAAAAATATCGACGACCTGGCAATTAATTTTAATAAATTATTACCCGGTAGATGAGAATATAGTTATGTAGTGGATGATTTATGGTTTAATAATTTGTAGATATTGCTTCAGACGCAGTTAAACAGCATGAAGACTGGTATCAGAAATATCTGTTTTTAAAAAATCGAAAAAATGAAGCCTTGGAAAAATGGCGCAAACAAAAAAACTCGATGCAAGAAAAACAAGATATTAATGATGAGAATGTTTTACGTGCGACAACTAATAAAACACACACACGGGTACAAAAAGACAATATTTACGAACAAATTATGCTTTGGAAGGTAATTTATTATTACTATTATTTTAATTATTAAAAAGCGTTCTAAATAAAGGCAGAAAAAGAAGCGAAGCGTCAACAAAAGGAAGCTTATGAACAACTGCAGAAGGATATCAAGAAAAGGCGCGAAGAAAATCAAAAAACAATTAATTTGCATGTGAAGGAAGTTGTAGCAAAATGGAAAGAGGCAAAAATAGTAAGAGAACAAAATGAAAAAGTTCAAAGAGAAATACAAGAGTACTATGGGAGAAAAATAAGGTGGTGCAAATATATATAAAGATTTTGAGAATGATAACTTTGCTAATATTGCAGAGCCGCCACCGCAAATAGAATGATTAAACAGTTCCAAACCCAAGATGATTTATTTATAGCAAAAATGAGATCCACTAAATTAAAAGAAGAAAACCAAAATAAAAAAAGAAGTAAATCAAGTTACTTGGTGGACAGAGATCCTGACAGAGTACTAAAACCTACCAGACAGTGGCTTTTTCGTACAACAAAAAACGATATTTTCGGCGAGGTGTCTTCACATATTCCTAATATAAGAGAGATACCAAAACTGTAACACTTATATATTTATCTGACTTAGTAGTAAAATTATGTTTTTAGAAAAATACCGGAGTGGAGAAAAAATATTTGAGGTAATTAGAAAAAGTTATGTTCCAAAATATGTTTATTATACGAATGGAAACGGTAATATCTAATCAATGTAAGTATCGAAAAAGTATGTATAAAAACATTAACAATAAAATGTACGAACAGTAGAAATAAAATGGTAAATAAAAAATATATACAAAGTATAAATGGCAAGCATAACACTGTCAAATTTTATTAACTAAAGGTCGATCAGATGATGAAAAATTCGTATCATCAAATTGCCTTAAATGAATCTGAAATTTGTAAATAATAGATAAGTCTGTATTTAAAAGTGAATGAATTACCTGCAAATGTAAATTAACTTCAGCACAGCGACTTAAATATGGAAAATTTCCCCCTGATTTAAGATGAGCTAATTTGGCACTTGGATAGCACTTATATAATTCTTCACGTACTGTATTAGATAAGGCATATTCATCAAATACATCTATAATAGTCACAGGAATGTCGGATAATTTGTGAGCTTCAACATACCCTTTAAGGCAATTAAGTGTAAGTCTACTTGCAAGTTCTGTTTGTGGAAGACTTTCTAACTGCAAATAATGTCAAAATAAAACATTTTAATCTGTCTAAGCGAGGTCTTACTCTTTCCACCATGAAGTCAATAGCCTCTACCATTTCAGGATCAACTTTTTCAGCCCCAAAATTACTCATAAGCATGCGCTTTAACACTAACCCTGGTAACATCCAAAAAATCGCTGCAGATTCATGATTATTGAAAACTGCAGTGTCAGTAAATGTGTTACATAAAATTAAGGAAGCAACTCGTGGACATTTGTGTGTATACTCTGCAAATTTTTGAGCCAAGTAGCCACCTACAAAGTAGTAGTTTTACAAACACGCAAAACAACATTCGTAGCTATTAAACCTAAAGATGCTCCAAATAAATGAGCTTTTATGATCCCTAAATAATCTAAAAGTTTTTTAAAACCTTCACACCATTCTTTTACATTCCAATAAACTGGTGCTTCAGCCGATATCACTCTGATTCCTTTGGCAGATAATGCGAGAGCTTGTTTGAAATATATGTCTGCCGTTCCTGATACAGGGGGAAGACATATAAGTGGAGACTTAACATTTTTCGGACCACAGTCATAAACCCTCCAACCCTTAAATATAGAAGTTAGAATATTCACTCATACTGATAAAACTATACCTTTGTGTTATCTGAGTCAACAACTATTCTTTTTAGAGGAACATTGCTTCTAAAACTTAAATATTCTTGAGATTGAGATAAATCACTAATATAGCTCATTTTTCAGTCTTACGCGAGAAATAGTTTATTATTAACATTGGTCAACTTACGCAAAAATATTATTTAGACAATAAATATCTTATCAAAAATATTTTCTATTGCGATTTTATTAATAGCTAACCCACAGAGGGGGCAGGCGGGAGGTACCGATAAAAAAAATTATTAGAAGGACGAAATCACTCGTTTCACATATCACTAATTCAATGAACGAAGAAACTAAAAATACATGTTTTCATTTTCCGAATGCTACGATAATGAGTGGAGACCATATAAAATCACCGTTTTTACAATACTAACATAAATAAATATTGCTGATCACGTACTAGACGTCTAATATGACATTTCAACTGTCAATACTGTCAAACACTTGTCAAACTGTCAAATTCGTCATATGTTTACGTTAACCTAATAGTAACAATATGTGACCGATTCAATACTAAAATAATGAAAAAGTATCATCAGCTTATGCTATTAATCATTTCCGTCATAAGTTTAAGTTTATTTCTGATTTATCGACATGAATATAATCGTTTACATTATGTGCTGGAAGTTTTTAATTTCTTTGGGCAACCATGCAACATTTCAAATTTGCATCAAACAGAGAAGATTTTGAGTCATCACGATTGGGGCCCTGCACCAGCTTGGCAAGAACACGAAAGTGGATACACCTACTCAGCTTTTTTAACAAGACAAAATGAAGCTAAAGCGTTAACTTTACTAAGTGATGAAAAAATGGTGCCTCGGAATTGTTACTTTTGGTTTGAAGATAAGAAGAAACCTGTTATTGGTAAATTTAAATTCTCCAAAGTAATGAATGATGATAACATCCGTTTAAACTTGTATTTTTATATCTGTGAAATGACAAACAGCGAGCATGTGCCATACGCCGTCTCATTTAGTTTTAAAATAAAGAAAGATAGTGAGTTAAAGAAGATTATGTTAGCTAATTCTTTTAAACACAGAATTAGTAACAATGCAACCATCTGTGTTTCTCCGTCGATCTACAGCAAGAAGCGTTTTGTGGAATTCCTTAGTTATCATAAACTGATAGGAATTGACTCATTTATTTTTTACAACAGGGATATTCCGCATCGTTTGGTTAAAATTATCTCCAATCTTTCAACAAGATTAGGTTTAGAAGTTGCATTTCTGCCGTGGAATTTTCCCAAAGGTGACACTTTTATAACTCGGCTCGCAGTAGAGAATGATTGTTTACTACGCACTTTTGATCAAAGTTTATATGCGGTAACACTGGAATTAAATGAATATATTGTGCCGCTACATGTTTATAGTTTTAACACATTGATCAAAAGCATAAACACTAATTCAGAAAGAATTAGTTTACCTATTGAGAAGTTTTGCATATCGAGCACAGAAACTTCACGACCAATTTCAATGGTAAATACTGATGTTGCTGAAGATTATAACTACAATATTGTCCGATATATTTATAGAAATAACATGAGAAAGGATGATATTTCTACCTATGCTGTAGACAAAGGACTTGCTTCCATTCATAAGTATGTAAAATGTTCTGTTGAGCCTTTCAGAACAAGACAGGATAAATCGATATTGAAATTTTCTACTGATCTCACAAGATCTACTTTATTTCAATTGCTCACGCACAATCAAATATAATGTGATCACTGAGTGCTTGGAAATTGTCAGTAATTGTTATTACACATCAAATTTTTGACTGCATTTTATGTCATTGTACTGTATTAAAAATACTTTTTGGACAGGTTTTTTATTTTATTGGTGATGTACACAAAAGTTTCAATGTTAATGGGTTAATTAATTTATTGTTTTAGTCTATCATATATTATTCTAAATGTGTATGAAATAAATGTGTACATTAATATTTATGCTTTTGATTTATATTTACTTTTTTACTTTTTATTTTACGGAGATTATTGTTTTCTTATCGAAGAAACAAATACAAACAAGAGCCGTGGTAGGTTTTTTTGAATTTGGATACAACTAGCCATTTTTTTTTAAAGAAGTGTAACATGTAGATAAACTTACTGATTTTTTTCTAAATTAAAGGGATATATCACGTGACAGAAGTGACTGGACTTTTATTGGTATTTAAAAAAAAAAGTAAAAGCACAGTGTTTATTCAACATTAAATATACATATTTTTGGTGGGATTTTTCTCTTATATACAGCTGGTTTAAAAAAAAAAAAATTAAGCAAATGCCTTCGAATGGGTAAATTCCTAATTTTTGTAACAATTTTTGTAAATACCCTACCTACATACTTGACAGATTGTACTGATTACTGTGATAAGTTTTATTTAAATCCAAACTGTTATCGGCATAAAGACACGAATAAAAGGAATGTCTGGGAGACGGCTGGATCAAGAAAAATACAATAAACATAAGAAAAAGAAAATGTGAGACGGCAGCCGTTAATAAACAAATTATAACTTTTAGAATTGAAACAAAAATCTCTGTTTGATTCAGTACAGTAAGTGCTTACATATTTATTTTATTTTTTATTTTATTTTTATTTTATTAATTACGTCCCCCAACAGGCACTGAGGCCCAATTACAGGGGAACGGGACATACACGTTACACCCAGAGCCATGGCGGGAATCGAACCCACGACCCAAGGTGTAGCGGGCAAGCATGATGCTAACTAGCCCACCCCGGGTCCTCCATATTTACATCGAACAGAAAAATAAAGTTATCTGTAGTTTTTGTTTTGAGAATCAACTATATTAATAATATGGTTTTGAATTACGGTTTTCAGTGGAAATGCTTGATTATAATTATTATAAATTTTTTAAATGATATTCAGTTTAATTGTTCGAGATTTTTCTTTATGAACCTTGTCCCAACTTTGAAGAAAGAAATAATTAAGAGATTTATGGAAGTTACCGGCAGATACTATACGCTTATTATTAATCTCGGATATTTAATTGCTCTTGATTTAGCAAAGTCAAGACCGTAAATATTAATTTTGTAAATTTTTATTAATATATTTTACCATGTATCCAAGGACGGCCTAATGATTGTTATATCGTGGTAGTAAATGGGTTTAAAATAATTTAAATACATATAATAAATAAATACGTATATGCAACCAGTTATACAAACAATAGAACTGGACTTGAAAATAATTATGAACGAATGTTTTAATGTTCAGTTTAATGTATTTATTTGTGTTCTAACTCATATTTTTGTAGAGATTCTTATTTCTGTATTTTTTTACTTCTAAATGCCATCTCGTATTCTAAATATTGGCATAAATTTTAAAGAAATTGGACATAATCTACTTAAAATGTTTGTTTCACTTCAAAATATACAGGAAACTTTTGCATTGGTCAAAAATGGAGTGACATTCAGTATTCTTTAACTAAAAACTCAGAAATTTTGCAGGACTTTTATCTTCAATTTTAGGTTGAAATCTAAGAAAGATGTGATAATGTTCACTGCTGTAGATTCACGCAAGAAACCGAAAATCAGCAATTTTAGCACACAGGTGACTGAAAGATTACAATGACAACAGTTGTAGCAAAAAAACTTTTGGTAAGAATACGTCACTAACTAGGTGTAGCCAAGCCAAAATTAAAATGAAGAGGCTTTCGATTCATTGACTCAAAAAAAATAGTTGTATATATTGTTACGAAATAAACCCATATGCCGCCCCGGTACTACGCCTATGGGTTCTCGAGAGCTTTCTAGTATGAACGGCGATGATGGGTGACTCATTCTCGGTGGAGGCGGTCGGGCGGCGTTCGCTAAAGAAAAACCTGGAAGGGGAAGTCGCGATGGGTAAGTTCTACCCACACCGATTTTAAATACTCGTCCATCGTAACAATATTAACTGTGTTAAATATTGGTAAGTTTTTTAATAATGACAAACTTACTTACAATACAATAATCATAAATGTGGTTCAAAACGCTTTGAGGAAACAAAAATTTTGTGTAGAGTGAAAGTATACGTGGGAAACCAAAGTTTCAAAGTGAAACTATATTGAGGCACGTGACTACAAAAAGAGGCAATCAGTGGTGCCGAATCTAAAGTAAAAGAGGTAAAAATAAAAATAATTCTGAGTTATGTACTACGCTTTATTTTTTGTTATTCAACATGTTATTAAATCTGACTGTTACATAGTACTCACTGTTCGCTTTACTTTTTGTAGACACTACAAACTACTTGTCCTCACAAATTTTAAGCTTTTTGGATACAAGCTCTAATATACGGTTTCAAAAAATTGTTTCTGAACTGTTGAAAAAATTGATTTATACTTGCGATTTGGGACTCTTTCAGTAATCGTGCTGATTAAATTTTAAACATCGTTTTGTAAAAAATGTACATAGTTATTTGTACTAAATTAATATCCGCTGTCTATCTAAAAAAAGATGGTACTTTTCTCACAACATATCGGCAGATAATTTTGGATTGGACTGGTTATGAACCACGCTAAATGTTTGCCGAAACGTTAATAAAAAAAAAACACATTAAGTGCTAAAAATTTACTGAATTTGTTCAAGTAACAAACCCTGCTTTTTTAAATTGCTCTAATTCAGGTTTTGTTGTTTGCAAATTTCTTTTGTTCTTATTAACAAAACAGCAAATTTGTCATTTACATCTCGTTTGTACTATAAGGGGGCACAAAATGCCAACGTTCATTTATTGGTTTGTCACGTTCGTCCATATTGTAGATCAGTTATCCAAAAATAAAATGGAATAATTTTTTGGTTCCTCAGTGTAAGCTAAGGAAGTATTGTAGTAGGGTCCATCTAGCGAATGGCTGCTTTCATATTTTCTCGTCTGCCATATGTCTGCCGTCTGTCGTGTTATTTGTCGTTTGTCTGTGTGAATTTTTATTAGACAGATCATCTCCGAAACTACTGGACAGATTGTGGTCAAATTTTATATGTATGCTAGGAATATCATGTAGATTATAAACCGTTAACTAAACTTTCTCTTTTTATAACCTTCCCGTACTAGTGGTTTTTGCATCCGCCTTGATTTTAATTATAATTACTTTACAATGTTTTTTGTGTAATATTTTCTACGTGTTTCATATCTCGCTTATGCATCAAATACCTCGTGGTTAAATGAAGGATTGTCGGACTTCTGTGTTTTGTTGATCGTGTGTGTATATTTTCTACTTGTAAAAATAAATACAATTTTGTAAAATCAAATTTTATAATTTTTCAAAAAAACTGAATTTGTTAGAATGCATTTAAGGGACGAGGGAAGTTCTGTATAATAACTTTAGACCAATTTTTCAAATAATTTTTAAGGAAAACTTTGCATTTTCAAGATTTTTCAAAGAAGCGGAATTTTTTTGTACTATTTTTGAACTGTAGTTGGAACCCTGTGTATATTTTGTTATATTATATTATTATAAACTAATAAGCTAACGAATTTTAGAAATAAAGCATGCTACATAATAATAATAATTACTACTGTAAGTGCATCGAGATTTTTTTTGCCATAGTCAAATGTCATTGCAATTTAATTTCGCGTAGCAGTTGAAATGATTCAGAGCGTTGAAGAACGTTTATAAAGAGCTTATTGCATGGAGAGAATGATTGAAGGATTGAGGGACAATGTATGCCATTACGAGACATTAGCGCTTCTTTGAACGTTTGCAACCTAATAGCATGGTAATGGATTCCGGTCGCTCTCAACAATCAGCGTGATTCAATTTTTAAGTCCGCAATTTCTCACAAAAAGTTAACAAAACCCCAAATTCTTGCGATAAAATAATATTCATCGGCCTTTAGGGAAAAAATAAATATCTAATCTTATCTGAAAGTGACACATCAAACTAAGTAGACATGTCTGTATAGTGCGTCAGGAACGGTAATAAGACATATTATAATATTTGGTTGGTAATTACCTTCATATTGTTGGTACAAGGTTGGCTGTACTCAGCAGGAGACGAAGTTAGTCCTGTCAGAAGCATCTGACGGTGCTAATAACCCGCTCATTACCTATTATCATGCGGTTTGACGTCTGCATACCCGGCTTTTATGTGTCCTTTAACTAACCAAAAACTCAGATTAATTAACCTGTACAAACCGCTAACTAGCTGTTTCTGACGGACTTTTACCCCTTGATGTAACTCACGATCAATCAATTATTGCAAATGCAATTAAAACAATATTTCCATATTTAACTAGAACCGAGAGGTGAGGGGTTTTTCTTTACTAAAAAGTAATGGCTTGTTAAATTATTATTATTATTTTTTATTATTATAGAATAAAATAATTAATAAATCATAGTAAAAAAAGAGAAGATATTGTATCGGTCCTGAAGTTAAATTTTTTAATTAAATTATGTAAGTATTTGGCAACACTAATTTTGTAATGGCTGAGTATTAATTTATAAGTAAAACCGATTTTTCAAATCCAACACGCGTTTACAATATATTTATTTCTTTTTTTCTTTGTCCATTTGTTCTATCATTCTTTCTTTCAGAAACAAATTCGTTAGGTTTGTCGAAATAGTATATTATATAACAAGGGACTGGAGTGCATTATTTAACGCCACGGGTGAAAAAGGGAAAAAATGATAACTCAGACCCGTGGGATCTATGCTACTTTTTGCACTTCCGAGGCACTTTTTCAGAAAAAAAAAAAAATCAGAAAAGAAAAAATTTACAGTTAAAAGTCGTTTTTAAATTTGTTCCGTGATAGCATCAAATATAATTAAAGAAGCTGAAAACCAAGCAATTGCCGAGTTAGTGCCTCCGAAATCTAGTAAAATTTATCAAAATGACTACGACGAATTTGGAAAGTGGTGTAAAGAACAAGAATCTCAAAGAATTTACATGGAAATCGTATTCTTGGCATATTTTCATCCATCAAATACATGAGTTCTACACTTTGAGCCAAATATTCTGGGTTGAAGACAATGTCTAAAATTGAAAAGGATTTGGATATATGTAAAATTATTGGCTTTCCTAAAACGAAAAAGTGGAAATTATAAAGCGAAAAAATCGAAAATTTTGTTGATGGAAAAGTAAATTAATTTTTGAAAAAGGTCTCTGATGATGCATTTTTAATTGTTAAGGTAAGAAATTGTTAACGGATTAGTAAGCATCCTAATTAAAAATGTATTGTACAGGTTGCTTTTATTATTGGCGTGGAAGTAAAGAATTAGTGGATTTACTAAGAACCGATGTTCAAGATTTAGACTCTTCGTTATTTAAGTCAGAAATACAAAGAACAGAGTTGACAGATTATTCATTGTCAAGAATTCATCAAACAATGCTAATGATCTTGTCCAAATATGCAGGAACTATATGGAATTCAGAAAGAGTGAAACGAAACATTTTGGTATATTATGTTAAGACAAATGTATAGTGCAATCAGTTGGCAAAAATATCTTTAGTTCCCTGCCTCAAAAAATTGCTAAATTTCTAAATCTTCCGGAAGCGTCGTTGTACACGGGTGACTGTTTCCGACGTATCTCAACATCTCTTCTTGCTGACGCAGGAGCTAATCTAGATGATTTAAAACGTCATGGGGACTGAAAGTCTCAAGTAGTAGCCGAAGGATGCGTTGATAATTCAGTGAATAATAAAAAACAAATTGCTGAAAATATTTTTGGTCAAAATAAAGAATGTCAACCCTCTATGTCCAGTAATGCCTCGACTATTGAAGAGTGTTCATCCGACGAAAAACGGTCATACGGAAGTGTTAGTGCCTCTGGCGGGAACCTGTTTCACCCCTCTCCACCCGTAAGGGTGGGAGCCAGGGCCACCTCCACCTTGGAACACACTACACAGGGAACATTATTCATTCGCTCTTCAAGCAATTCAAGCTTAACTAAACATAGACTCTA